AAAACTGTAAAACTTCTTAAACCTATCTCCTCCCACAATTTTTGCTCAATTGACACCAAACTTGCTACAGAGCATCTTCGGGCACAAAAGCACAGGAAAGAGATGGGTTCACATAACAAACACCTGTCTAGTCCGTGCGAAGATATGATACATTGTTTCATCAGGAAGGTGGTTCATGTGGGAGGATCGGCACATAAGCACGGGAAAGAGATGTGTACCCACAAAAGACATTGCTCAGTCTGAAATGTGTGGTTCGTGTGTGTGTGTGTGTGTATTGGGGTAGTGTGTATGGGGATGTTTTCTCATCTGATGGGTGAATATAATCTGGATACCCATTCATTTCCTATGGCGATCACTTCTGACAGGGAACACCACAGGTGTAACAAGGTTGACTAAACCACTCAAAATTCAAATAAAGTGGTGATCATCACTTTTATATGTTCAAGGGCACAGTGTGGAGGCCCATAAGGCCCTGAGGCAGTCAGATGTAAAACATGATATTTATGTTTTAAGTTGTAAATCGGTCAGATTTGACCGGAACACGACAGGAAGGTTTCCAATATAACAGATAAATAAAATAATGGGGGGTATACACAGCCTTTTTTCTGTCTGTTTAAAGTAAGCCCACTCATAAGCCAAAAACCCATTTCCTCCTCTGTAACCTACCCATCCACTTAGTAGCACACCCACCTAATCAACTACCATTACACCACTGAATATGAACTATATCAATGGATATTAACTAGCAGAAGTAAGAGAATATTTGTCTTGTTTGTTTTACAGTTTGGGTGAACTGATCCTTTAACCTTGACCTGACCCTCACATAAATGCAGTAGAGAGGATGACTTAGGACTTATAACTTTAAATAAAAGATGTACAATAGTTCTAGTATACCTGACGTTGTTCCACAATCATTTTTAATGGTGTATTGTATTATATAAGGACGGCAGATGAGATACCCGCACACAAATGACAGCCACAGAAAAGGTTCACAGGCTGACATCAATGCAAAAAAACACCTGTGCACAAGAACAAAGGTGCTCAAAGTGCAAAAAATAATAAAAAATTGAATGAAAACAGCTTCAGACATTTCAGTCCTTGACTTACATCAGTGCTACTGACGTGCATGTGTCACAGAACAGATATAGACCCAGACAGATTATTACCAGGTGTGATGAATCACTCAGCTGGTGCCACTAATCACATGAGATCAACTCTGAGGAGCAGAGGCCCGACGACCAGATCACAATGACCTGTCATATGAGAGTTGTGCTGTTCACAACACCCTCAGACACCAATGTGTGATGGCAGAACATATACAAATGTACAAAAACACACAACTATATACAGAATATATGGTTATATATCCATAAGGGCCACACTGGTAGTCGCAGATGTCTGTAAAAGGCAGGACAGATTAAGTACTTCATTCAGGCCTAAAGGCTGTTCATTCACACTGCAGGAGTTTAGTTTCCAGATCTGTATGTCTGCGGTGAGGATTAACTACATCAGTGCCACAGAAACTGAGAGTGCAGTTGCTAGATGTTTCCTCCTGGAAGTGTCTCGCTACAGAGGATAAAAATGAACTTCTCAGAAAACTCTTTGGCAATAAAATGTTTCTCATTATCTTCATTTAAAGTATAATCTTTCACAATGTGCAAATGGGCCCTTTTTATATTTGTTAAACCTCTAACACAGCCCAGTATGGTGTATGGGGTATACTGTGGGGATTATATGGAGAATTAATGTAAAACAGGAAACAGCAGATACTGAAACAGGACGGGATTAGACACTGAGTGTTGTTATATAACATTGGTTGAAGCAGGATTACCAGTGTTGGAATGTAACTACATTTATTTAAGTTCTGTAGGCTATATAAGTACATTTCTGAGATACTTATACTTTATTTGAGTATTTCAATTTTCTGGTACTTTGTACTTCTGCTGTAGCTACAACATCTCATGGGTCTGACAGCTTTTGTAACTTCACAAATTAAGCTTTTTGTACACAAAACACATGAATATCTTATTAAATATGATGTTTGATATGAATTAAGTTCCCCAACAGTCTATTGACGAAATTATTGGGCACCTCCAGAGGCTCTCTCCAGGTTTATTCAAAGACAAGACAGTAATAGAGTAACAAGGAGCAGCTTGAATGGCAACTGTAAGACGCCATTTTGTAAATCTCAATTTGGACAATCAGCATTTTCCAATAAAGGGCTGTCAACTCTGAAATACATTACCAACTGAAATCAACTGATTACAGATTTAAAATCCTTCACAACAGGTCAGGTGCTGCTGGTTAAAAGCAAATTAGAGCTGTACTCACTCTGAGCTAAAGGTGTGGTATGTGTATTGTGGTTTATGTATTTCATTGTTCCTTCCATGTTTATAGTGTAATGTTAACCACATTATATGATGATGTTTTAAACTATTTTTTTTTTTTGTAAGATTTTAGATCTACACGTAAAAGCCCAACTATGGACATGAAATTAGCAATAGCTGTAAAGTCTCTGCAACACATCAGTCCCACACTCTGTATTGGAACTATGTTAAATTACATTGTCCCTTTAAAATAAAATGAAATAAAATAAAACAAAAAAAGTCTAAATAAAATAGAATAAATAAATAAATAAAACTATACTGATAATAGTTTAAGTCATTATTCTTGCAAAAAAAAAAAAGGTAATAACATTTCATGGTTCCAAATGTGTGGATTTAGGTCTTTTTTTATTTGTTTATTTTTTAGATTTGTCTACATCGAATGTTACTTTTTAATACTTAAAGTATATTTTCCTGATCAACAACTTAACTTAAACTTTCAATGCAGAACATTTGAATGTAACTGAGTATTTTTGCAGTGTGGTATTAGTACTTTTATGTATGAGTAAATTATTAGTAATTATTAGTAGTAGTAGTAGTCATTATTATGATTAGTAGTAGTAGTAGTAGTAGTAGTAATTATTATTAGTACTTCTTCCAGCACCACCACCAGTTGTTATATAACATTATGGCTTTAGGCCTACCATTATTAATACTAATACCTATATTGTATTTTTGTATTTGCATTGCATCACATTTTTATTTTTTTTCCTTTGTAAACCGCTCTATAAATCCAATTTATTGTTCTTTTTATTACTATTATTATCAGCAGTAGTAATAATACCTTATTTGACTGTTTCGCGCAGCGTTCAGTTCGCGTATTTTGTCCCACGCAGACTCCCGTACCAAAACAAGGGAGTAGCAACTTCTGCTATCAGGATGAATGATGTAGAACCAGACAAAAAATACATAAAATCTACATCTATCTCGGTAACTAGCTGCAGGATAACTTCGTAAATCCCACAGTTGTTTCCTAGCATAGTTAAAATGTATTCGAATTTGAACGTTATTGTTTTATTTCCGTAAAATAGCCATGTTTTTACTGCTAACGAGGCTAGCTAGCTAGCAGCGGTGCTAACGTGAATGACAGGGATTGAAATGGTGCAGAACATGTTTCGGACCGGGTTTCTTGTTCGGGCCACGCACACACTGCTCACCTGGGTCATCACCCTCGTACTGTTCCTGCACAACACAGGTAAGTACATCCAGACTGGGACAACTTATCCGAAATAGCCCCCCTGACGACAGACCACCAGGGGCCAAAACAACAGGAACACCTGAGTAAACCTGGGCAATAACGTCAGTCAGTAGTGGAGTAGTCAGAGAATGGCGTGTGTCCAGACACTGTTGCCTCAGTGTTGTTTGGATAGTCCTGAAAACGTAAATGTCCTCTCTATATCACGAGTGGAGGACGTATTCAGATCCCAAAGTCCAAATGCCACATTACAAGTGGAAGTAGTCATTGTGCAGTTAAATGCTCCCATATCTATCTGTTGTCAGTGGATTAATATTACAGCTGCATTAAGCTTTGTGTTGATGCATCTTTCAGCTGATACAAGAGGGTTTTTAAAGTTTATATAGCTTCAGAAGAAGGAGAAATTTTCCAGTACAAACATTTAGCATCAACAGGAAGGGGGTGAAATACTCATCTGGAATGTAACTAAAACTGACAGACAAATGTAGTCCAATAAGAAAGCACCATTTCCATACTAAAACAATAGGGCACATAACACAACAATCACACTAGGCTACATCAGGATAATGGCACAGTAAATAGAGTAGTTTGGCTTGTTCCAGGACACCCTGTGCAGCTCCAGGTCCCAAGGTGACCCAGAAAGAATTTAGCTCCATTCGGATAGTCCTGAAAAAACTCAAATACTTCCTCTGTATGCACCCTCACTGGGTATTGTTTATTACTAACATTAAACATCAACACATCTGGACATACATGCTTTTCACTGCACGGGAAGGGGATGAAAAACTAATCTGAAAAGTAACTAAAGCTGTCAGACAAATGTAGTCCAGTAAAAAAAGTACCATATTTTCCTCTCAGATGTAGTGGAGGAGAAGTATACGCTGCATAAAGTACAAGTACCCTGAATTTGGGAATCTGTATTTCAGTAAATGTATTCAGTTACATTCCACCTTTGTCTGAAACCCATGACGACAAACCAGCAGGGACCTAAAATGACAAGTACACAAGGCTACATCAGGATCTGCAGAGTAAATAGTAGAGTAGTACGGCTTGTTCCAGGGCACTCTGTATGGCTGCAGGTTCCCAGATGACCCAGAAAGATTTGCTTTAGCTCAGGTTGTTCCCAAAAACACCCTCAAATACCTCCTCTTTATACAATCCACACTAGATATTATTTATGCTCCATGTTGTTTGAAATGTATGTAATGTCGTCACCAGCAGTGGAGGTAGTATTCAGATCCTTTACTAAGTAGAAGGTATTAGCACGTCCAACTGTCTGAGATGTGTTTGAACAGAAAATCCTGCACACTGCTCATTTCAGAGGTGTCCACAGGTGTGAGGGAATTTATCAGCTGTGGGTGTGTTTCCCAATAATTGGCAAGAGCCTGTGCACCATGTGACACATATCCAAAAAATGAAAAGAACAAGGGTACAAGAAAAACACGCACACCTGTGAAATGGTTGAGGCAGTTTCCGTTTAAGCTCTGTGTCGGAAATAATAGTGTTGAACACTAGTGTTACTACACTTGTAAATTGTGAAGCTGAGCAAGAGCAGTGTGCGGGATTTTCTGTTCAAAGACACAAGTTCCTGTATCGAAAATGTTCCTAGTTTCCTTGATAATGGCAAAAGCAGCAAATCCTCACGTGTGAAGCTGGAACCAAACATGCTTTTGTCATTTTTGCTCAAATTTCCCTGCTTAAAGGTTTAGCTTATCTAATACAACTGCTTTCACATTCAAACACCGAAAACACAGCAAGCAGCAAAGTGCAGCCTGCAGCAATCTGCCATGCAATATCCATGGGAAGGAGCAATGGCTGCTCTAAGCTGCAGAGCGAAGTGCTGCCAATCTAAAAGCTGTGGATAGTTTAACTTTTAGGGGCAAATTATGGCCGGTGAACGCAGTCCTGTTACTTCTGTGACATGTTGACCCCTGAAACATATAAACAGGCCTCCCAGCTGCAGAAAAACGTAGTTATTGCAGCAAGCCGCACTTCACTGCTGCTTCAAGTGTTTAAGAAAAACACTGTAGGGCTGCTTTAATGTCATTATAAATGAGATTAGCATAACGTACAGCTTTAATGTTGTATTTACCATGTCTGAAATACTTTTATGCAATTAAATACAAACTTTCTGACTGTTTTTCTAAATGAATGTTGTGTGGAAGCACATCCAAAATATCTTAACCTCAGAATCAAGCATTTGATATAAAACATATTTGGCTCCGTAAGTTCATCTCTGTTTTGTCTGTGTGTGTGTGTTTGCAGATTTGCGGAAGTGTGAGGAGCGAGGGGAGCTGCTGCTGCCCATTCTGTTCTTCCTCGTGGTCGTGCTGTCGGTGCTCTTATACTTTGCTGTTTCTTTAATGGACCCTGGCTTTGTTCTAACTGACAATGTCAAGGTGAGAATAATTTAAACACAATCACGTTTATCATCATGTGTTTTCTGATAGTTTATCGCACTACAGTGGTCACTGTTAAGCAGCTGACTCCAAGGCCTCAAATGCTGAAGCTTTACGATGTCTATAAAACAGTATGTGCTCTTAAAGGTCCAGTGTGTAAGATTTAGGGGATGTAGTGGCATCTAGAGGTGAGGACTGCAGATTGCAACCAGCTGAAACTTCACCTGGTTTGAATTCCTTCGGTGTTCATTATTCAGGAGGTTTTTAGCAGGAGCTGAATTATCCACAAAGTTTTCTTCCTCTCCAAAACAAACAGACCAGGTGATTACATTTTACAACAATACCAGACGGTAGGTTTTCTACAATGGATCATCTTCGTTGTAAAGTTTGTGGAAATGTTCTTAATCACTAATAAATCTAGAAGCCTGTGAACTGTACTATAGAAAACATTCAGCAGTGATGATGACTACATGTGATTTTTCATAAACATGCTCAAACGTGCCGAAACATGAATGAACAGTGCTTTAAGTCAGGGCCACAGTTGACGCACGTGTATGTAAACGTGTGACCTACATCAGTCTGTGTTGTGTTCAGGGTTCAGATGAAGAAATGGAGTCGATGATTCCTCAGTCCTCAACCCCTCGGCTGCGTCGCTGTGGATACTGCCTGCTGCAGGTAACCAGCTTCTGCCAGCTGCCCACCCACACTCACTCTGTGTCCAACAGCATTCAAAGTTTAATATGAGTTTGTCATTGACACGCGCGCAGAGTCACATATTTGCTTTTGTTTTCTGTCCAACTCTTGATGTATCTATATCAGGTTTTTGTTCATTTATTTATGGGGCAATAATGCAACTTTGGCAGAATTACAGTCAGACAACATGTTCACATGTGGTGGAACATTTTGTCTCCTGGTTGCATGATGATTCAGATCAGTGCAATCAGTCAGGCTGTAGCAGAGAAAAAACATTCCAGTGTTTTGACACACTGCTTTTATCCTGTCATTACTGCTCTTCTCTTGAGAGGGGTTTTCATAAATAGTACATCTCTCTTTCTTTCTCTCTTTCTCCCTTTTTCAAGCAGCAGCCAATGAGAGCGAAGCACTGTCAGACGTGTAAGCGCTGCGTTCGTCGCTTCGACCACCACTGTCCCTGGATCGAGAACTGCGTGGGAGAGAGGAACCATCGTTGGTTCATCGTCTACCTGCTAGTGCAGCTGCTCGCTCTGCTCTGGGCGCTTCACATCACTCTGTACGTCTGCTGAACACCCCAACCCCCTCAATATCTGTGTTCTTTAAAGGTTCTCTATGACATTCAGAGCAATAATACAGCAGCAAACCACTACTTGCTATTTACAGACATAGTGCTTAGCAGAGAATGAAGTCACACTACCTCTGTGTGTGTTGTAATCTGAGCTGTGGTAAGTCTGTTGCTGTATCCCACTATCTAGCTCGTAGCTGCCACTCTGCACTGCCTTCATATTGTGGTTAGCACTGATACTGGGATGGTGTTGTTGTGGAAGCATCGCGCCCGCCCTCTGGTTCCCCCCTGGTTAATACTGATACCTCTGTCAGCACTGTTGTCATTGTTTTGCAGCACTTTCAAAGCTAGCCACAAGAATAATTGGTGTAGTTTTAGTTTTCTTGAGTGACTAACACTGCCTTGACTCTGCTCGCCACCCCAAAAACACATGGACTTTTAAGGTAAACAAAGAAAACATGCGCTGTGCTGGACCATCGTGGTGAAGCTGAGAGCTGAGCCAGAAGGGGATTTTTTCGATATACTGGTCCATCTATGTCCGAACCCTCACCTATGGTCATGAGCTCTGGGTAGTGACTGAGGGAATGAGGTCGTGGATACAAGCAGCCAAAATGAGTTTCTTTTGACGGGTGTCTGGGCTCAGCCTTAGAGACAGGGTGAGGAGCACAGACATCCGGAGGGAGCTCAGAGTAGAGCCACTGCTCCTTCATGTCGAAAAGGGTCAGTTGAGGTGGTTCGGGCATCTGATCAGGATCCTCCAGGGCGCCTCCTGTTAGAGTGTTCCAGGCACATCCTACTAGTGGGAGGCCCCGGGGTAGACCCAGGGCACACTGGAGGGATTATATATCTCGTCTGACCTGGGAACACCTTGGGGTCCCCCAGGAGGAGCTGGAAAGTGTTGCTGGGGAGAGGGATGTCTGGGGTGCTTTGCTTGGCCTGCTGCCCCAGTAACCTGGCCCCCGATAAGTGGATGAAAAGAGATGGATGGACGTTGTTGGTGCACAGTGCGACAGTAGCACATGGCCTGTGAGACACTAGTGGCTCCGTTAGTAGTTGTCATATTGTGCATTATGGATGCAATACAAGCTGGATTTAGCGTCATGATGCTATCAGCACAGGCTGCTAACGTACGCTACTTTTTAATTTACCAGAATAAATTTTAGTTCAGCGCTGGTTTGCATGAAATCAAACTGGGTTAAAGGGAAGTTTCAGTTTATTTCAACCTGTCTCCTATCGTCCTAAATTTGTGTCAAGTGACTAGTGACATAAAAATAATAGTTAGCATGTTAGCCGTTAGCCTAGATACAGCCAGGGCGCATAGTAGCCTCAGACCTGTTAAAACGTAAGTGAACGGGCAACCTTCAAGTGCAAAGTTAGTCCACTAAACAAGCTTTTTTTCCACAAAGACCGCCTCATATCGTTAGGATAAATGTCAGAGAACATATAGAAAACGACATGTAAACGTGTTGTCTTACCTTACCGGTGTGCTGCCATGTTTGTTTACCATCTAGCTCTGCTTTCCAAAGCGCGGCCGAAATATCGCGAGAACAAGCAGCGATCTCATACCGTGCCTGAAATCTCGCGAGCTCTAGATAAAGCCCAGCTGGATACTACTCCAGGTGGAGGTGTCTCGTCCTCGGTCACATCCAGACCTTGAAAATAAGGCTGCAACCGGTCCCATTCCTTGCAACAGAGGCATTCCTCTTCTGTGGGCACTGGGGCACAGCATTCACAGGTACACCACCAATCTCCAGAGCTACGCAGCCTTGCAGCAGCCATTCCTCCTCTCTCGTCCTCTACCTGTTGCGCCTCTCTCTCTCTCCTCCTCCGTTCTTCAATTTCACGAAGCTCTTCGTCAGTGTATTCTGGCTCAAATAAATAAGGGCGGCCATCAAACTCTGCAAAATCAAATTCCTCCTCCACAAAGTCAAAGTCTGGCAAAAAGTCAGCCATTATTCTATAAATCTTTCATAAAATAAATGAATGAACTTTTCAGGCTACTGTCCGGTTCTGCCTTCCAGCTGTTGCTGCTTGTTCTCGCGAGATTTCAGGCACGGTATGAGATCGCTGCTTGTTCTCGCGATAATTCGGCCGTGCTTTGGAAAGCAGAGCTAAATGCTAAACAAACATGGCAGCACACCGGTAAGGTAAGACAACACGTTTACATGTCGTTTTCTATATGTTCTCTGACATTTATCCTAACGATATGAGGCGGTCTTTGTGGGAAAAAAGCTTGTTTAGTGGACTAACTTTGCACTTGAAGGTTGCCCTTTCACTTACGTTTTGACAGGTCTGATGCTACTATGCGCCCCGGCTGTATCTAGGCTAACGGCTAACATGCTAACTATTATTTTTATGTCACTAGTCACTTGAAACAAATTTAGGACGATAGGAGACGGGTTGAAATAAACCGAAATTTCCCTTTAAGCTCATACATCTGACAGCCAAAACTGGAAACTGACCCAACTCTGTTATCTGCTAGCTGCCAGCTCAGCCACCTTCACATTGAGAACCATGTGCAGATAACTCATACATTCTGAATTACACAAAGAGCTCCTGTAATATAAATGTCCTTATCTGGTGGAGAACAGCCTTCTCATTGTGACTCAGTGAAAAATAAACTCGTAGTGCACTCTGATCTGCAGGTTAATCTCTACAACATCAGGCCATGTTAGGAGACACGTGAGTTTGAGAATACAAGTAGATTTACAGATATTCACTGTTCATATTTGGTAAACAGACACTTTAATGTGTTGCTCAAGTACAATCTCAAAGTTCATCCTCATTTTAGAAATCGATCCTGCAGAGATGAAGCATGTTGTAGCTCGTAGGTTTGGCTACACACACACACATCAACTTGTATTTGGATTAAACCTTAACAAGTAGAGAGAGTGAGCAACTGTTATGTGCAAGAAAACTAAATGGAGAGACGTGAATGAAAAAGAAGGAACAGTAAAAGCTGATGGGTATCCAAACAAACTCCAGATAAAATATAGACAAGCTGAGTGAATGTGTTTGTAACAAGCAACACAAGATGATGCAAGTGCTGCAAACTTTCCACAGAAATCTGCAGTACAGCTTTAGGAGAGACAATCTCAAAGACCTGAAGAAGATTTTAAGGGGCTTAAAAGATCCCAGTTATGAGAAGGGCCCTGAAGCACGTGTGTCTATAAAAAACATTTACTGTTGAAAATCAATTCTGGTAGCCAGTTAAGAGAAGCCAGCACAGAGGTGGTGTCTCTCTTTGTGGTGTCAGTGTGAAACCAAACAAGATGCAGCTGAGACAAGTGAGACGGACTAATATGAACATATAAGGAGTTACAGTCATGGTCCGGTGTACAGGACTCCCATGAGGAGTCACAAGATGATTAACAGGAGGGTGAAGCATTAAAAAGAAAAACATTACCTCAGTGCAAAGTTATTTTAATTGTCTCAGACATTCCTCTAACCTTTGCCCTCTGTTGTAAGTGACTCAATAATTTCAGGAACAAAGTTATTCATATAAAACAAGGAATGAGGAACATGTCACAGCTGGTAGACGTGATGCATCCGGTGATGAGGGGTCACAAGGGCTTTGTTTTGAGTAGTACAAGGCAAAATAAAGGCTGGGAACCTCATGTAATAAACAAAGGCTCACTTTGTTTAGAGTCTGGATAGGAGGAGGCGTGATATTGGAAGTTGCCAGCAGCAGGACTTTCACATGTGGGTCTTTCTTTGGCAGTTATGATATTGAAAGGTCAGCAGTCAAGCTAGCTCGGGCTAGGTACGGTAAATACACTGTAGGGCAGGCGACCCGTGTACAAAGGCTGTCTCCTTGCCACAGCAGCCGGGGGTTTGATTACCACCCACGGCCCTTTGCTACTCTGTCGGTTGCTGGTATCTGTGGTCGTATCTTCTCTGTAGATCGGACTGTTTTTGAGGTGTGAATTTTTGGTCGTGATGGTGCGTTGCTTCCTGTTGTAGTGACTCAAAAACTTTGTGTCCAGCTTGGGAATACTGGAAAAACTGTCTCAGCTTTGTTGGCTAATGTTTAACCCACCGTATAATCAAGGATGAAACAATTTCTACTGATATACCGCCAACACATTGTCCATAAATGAAATCTAAATAATAATGACTGAATGTATGGATGGGTGTTAAATCTTCAGGACCAAACCTTAACATACGCATACTTGCTGGGTGTTGCTTGGACACCCAGCCTGCCAGGCAAAGTTCAGGGCAAAGAACAACTCTTGAAATAATAAGAATATTTGTCATTAACCTTGGTGTTTATCCTCCAGGTCTGGCATCTCGCCCAGCATCACATGGGAGCTGTGGTTCAGAGCGAACGGGTTCCTGCTGGCGGCGCTGGCCTTCGTCAGTATCTTCTCCATGGTGGTGCTGCTGCTGCTGGGCTGCCACCTCTACCTGGTCTCCATCAACTGCACCACCTGGGAGTTCATGTCGCGTCACAGGATCTCGTACCTGAAGAACTGCGGAGACGAGGAGAACCCGTTTGACCGTGGTGTCCTCTGCAACCTGTGGGATTTCTTCTGCATCTGCAGGACGGTGGTGTGGGAGCAGACGTACAACGACAGAAGCACCACGAATTCTGTCTGACCTACAACCAGACGCCACGTCGCTACCTACACCTGAGTCAGACGCTTCTTTCAGGGAGAGAGAATAATTTTCTTAACCTCAATAGCAGAGATTTTTTTTAATTTCCTTTTTGGGTAAAAGTTTACAACTGAATTGAACCACAAAATGTTTCCTAACTACCTGCTAAAGTTCACATACAGTGCTAACAAGGCATTAAGCAAATCACTGAGCTGGTTTAAGCCTAAGCTTTGTTTATACCAGCGCAAGACACCATGGCGTGGGCCTCGGTAGATGACATGCAAGCTATGAGCATGCACTGAGGTGTTAAAGCTCAATGTGCTGTTGGCTGCAATATGCTCCAAAACACTGGGTGACACACAAACAAAATATTCTGTAGATAAGCAAGAAGTCTTAACAGCGATCTCATGTGCCTCCACACCCTGCAGTAAAATGTCTTTCCCAGGTGTGTTGGCTGTTTCCAAAAACATAAAGCCATTAGATGACTGTCCCTGTGTTCTCTCAGTGAAGAGTTGTTATTAGAGATCAGTAGAGATGTCAGTACAGGCCAATCTGCTTGGTCAGTCTTCCCTTGAAAGTGCTTCTGTGGAACTGAAAAGCGAGGTGGGCACCTAGTAACAGAAACTCAGAGGTGCATGACCAAGCATCGTAACAACTTTTTAAGCCCTTGTGGTCGATGCACAAAGGGTGATTATGTCATTTTCTGGCATGCAAAGGTCGCACCCGGGACACTAAGGTGAGTATGAAACACAAAACAAAAACACCCCGTCTGTTTTTCAGTCAGTTCACCACTTGACTGAAATAACTCAAAAACTTTTAGATGGGCTGCCATTAAATTTTGCAATTTGTTCATGTTCCTCAAAGGAAGAATCCTTTTTAGGATCTTAATGTAGGGCTGTCCCCAAATCAGGATTTTTCAAAGTCAACTCACTTCAGAGTGAGTCGAGCCTGCACTGGAAGTTCTTTTTCAGAGTCGATGCGTTGCTTAAAAGACAAATATTTTAATTTATAGACATATTTAAAGATAAATTTTTCTTTGTGAGGATATTTTTACCTTCGTTGGACAATTTGACAGTGATGAGGTAGACAGGAAATGGTAGAAAAAGACTGGGCCATGACATGCAACAAAGGTAATAGTAACTGGACTGAACCGGCGACATTGCAGTTATGCGACACACCCAAACCACTTAGCTACCAAGGCTCTCTGCATATGTTTGTTATTGTAAACATTATTACTGCTGTTTTGTTTTCGCTTTCAGTATAGTACCTTTGGAACCCCCATCAGACATGGTACCTAGACCCTAGTGTTTCCACCACAAACAGTCCTCTGAAATGTGGGCAGGGTTGTTGTCACTCACTGCTCCGTCCAGCGCTCACTGTATTTCCTCCTTTAACTGTCAGCACCTAGTTTATCGTCCACAGAACGAGGCTGCACGCCGACATTCATCACTAAAAGTGTATGTCATCCAAGAGAGACAATACAAACTAAAGTGATGGTCATAGTTGTCACAGTGAAATTTAAGGTGTGCTGATGGATTCACATCATCAACTCATGCATTGAGTAACATTACAAGTTAACGTTCCACCTTAAAAGTCGCCGGCAGTCGGCCCAGTGAATGAAGTTATTTTTTCTCAGACTCCAGCTGCTGTGAGAGGCAGCAAAACATCCTTTCATTTTATAGTTACAGTTTACTAATAAAACTCTCCACAGTATGAACAGTGGTTACATGAGCCTCAAAACCAGACACAACTCAGCCCTGAGCAGAGTGACCGTCCTCTACTGACCAATCAGACTGCAGTGTTCACAGCTCCACCTTTTTTTACCAGATCTGTGTGCCAGGTACCCCAACAGAGTGGGGACCAAACATGGGGACAGTACAGAACAGTTCCATTGGTACCATCCAGTGGAAATGGAAAAAAAGTACTGAACTGAACTGAACTGTACCGGTACTGCTCAGTGGAAATGGGGCTTAAGTGTCACTTCAGTACACCTGCAGAGCAGCCGCCATGTCCTACAACAGCCTACCAGTCTTGTTTTACCTTTAAGACTCACGTTTTAAACTTCTATTCATTATTGGGATGTGCAAAAATCAGATTTACACCCAGTCAGAAAATTAAAAAGTGTCCATCCTGCTCGTAGTTCAGTTAACAAAATCCAAGCGTATTTATAATCAAGGCTCAATCTGACCTGATTAAGAGTAAATAAGGCGAAGAATCTGACATTATGCGCTCATTTTTGGTTCTTTACACTTTGATTCTGTGGACAAAAAAGGAAATGAGTTTTCACAATGAGCATTTGTCTGGTGGATGGTAATATTTGCAGATAATTCCTTAATATTTACTTAAACCCTGTGGACTGAAGAAATCTGGACTCCAACTCTGGATTACAAACACCAGAGGCAACAAGACTGAACGGTGATATGGTGATAATTTAATGCATTCAAATGTTTTGTTAAAATGAAGATGATTTGATTCAAACATTTGTTTCCTCAGGTCTGGTCACCACTGTCTCTTCTGTAAATGTTTCTCCTGTTGCCTGGTGAGAGTGGTGACCTCTGTATTACAACACTAACTGCCTTTACGTCTGGTGTGATTCATGTCTTGTGCCTTTGGTTTCGTGTGACTGCTGTAAGTGATTATTTTTATTGTTAATAATGAACTATAAGATAATCTTCACACTGGGAGCCAAATATTTTACAAACATTTTTTTTACTGTATTTGTTCTGTTTGTATTTATTGACAACGAGAGTACATTAAAACACTGATGATATGCATGTTGTTATAGAGTACATCTGTACAGACTGACATTCTGAGTCAGGATGCTTCACATACATACAGTACATACATACATACATAAATACAGTACTGACACATAATAACATGTAATATTCAGCAGCATGAACTTAAAGTGCTACAGCAGCTAAATCAACACGGCTGGTTGTCCTGGTACATTTATTAATTTAGCTGACAATCTCGTATCCACAGCAGGTGGAAGGTTCAATGACTTGCTCAGGGACACTTCAGCAGACACGTGGCTGTAAAGGGACACTGGCCTTTTTTAATTTAACCCTTTCAGTTTCAGGACAGATTTTCTCATAGTTTAAAGAGCAACTTAACACCTGTCGCAGCTTGAACATGTCTTTCTTTATGTATGGAAGTAAATAAATGACGAAAGAACTGAGCGAGCAGTAAAATCCTCGCTGTGTGAGAGCACTGAGAGCAGAATCAGTTTCAGAGTGTCTAAACAAGTCAAATTTAAGACTTTTAAGGATATTTTAATGCCACTTAAAGTGAAATTTAAGACCAAACTTGCAATGGGTATGAACAATGTGAAGGGTGGCTAGCAAGACCTTAGTATAATGATGCCTGAACGACTCGAGAGGGCAATTACAGGGGCATTGCTCGTGACTTAAAAACATTTAGGAGCCATCCACTCTAAATTAAAATTGGTTTAATACTTGACCCGTGAGCATCCTGAGTTTCATTTGCAAATGACAACGAACCATGAGCACAACAGATGTTCTGTTTTTGCTCATTCTCATGTTTGGGAATCTGATACAGGGAAGGGATACCAGACTCAAAGATGGCACCCATGAGCTTGAATTAAAATGGCTGATCTTGCTCATTCATTCATTTTCTATAACCACTTATCCTGTTAGGGGTTACAGGGGGCTGGAGCCTATCCCAGCTGACACTGGGTGCGAGGCAGAGTTCACCCTGGACAGGTCACCAGACCATCACAGGGCTGACACATAGAGACAGACAACCATTCACACCTACGGACAATTTAGAGTCACCAATTAACCTGCATGTCTTTGGACTGTGGGAGGAAGCTGGAGCACCTGGATAAACCCACACTGACACGGGGAGAACATGCAAACTCTGCACAGAAGGGCTGCCCCACCCCGGGGTTTGAACCAGGAACCCTCTTGCTGTGAGGCAACAGTGCAAACCACTGTACCACCGTGTTGCCAGTCATGTTTCATATATTTGCATGTCAGCATGACAGAGACATTTTACCAGTGTACAAGTAGTCATGACCCCTGCATGTGGATATGTGTGCATGGCTGAAGTTTTCTATTCACAGAAATGTCTGTGACCTCAATGTACTCAGGATCAGCCAAAACATTTGGAAAGCAAATTGAGACAGCAGACACAGAAAGAAGGGTTAGGTGCTCAAAACTGATCTTACTCTTATATGCTGACTTGTACATTGAATATTTACTTTCATACAGATGCCCTTCAGATGTGCTTTTTCAGTCTTCCATCTTAGTTTTGAGTGTAATTGTTTAAACTGGAGGTCAAAAGCTTGAGTCTGGCTACTAGCCTATCTGTTGCACAATCTCTTCAAATTACTACAAACAAGAAATTTGGCTTCAGTTCTAGTGCATTGCCTTGTACTCTTGGGGCGTAGAGTACATGATAACACCACAAGTTATTTTTGATCTGTATGACTATTGCCATGAACACTAAAGACTGAGACTCGATCAGTTAATACAATAATAACATGTATATTTGCTCTTAAAAGTGGATTTTGTTAAGTTACTCTTTAAAGTCCCATATCTTAATATAGTGCCCGATAGCTCCCTCTCTGATGCTTTTAAACTCAGCTGTGAGTTTAAAAATATCAAAAAATGAGCTGAGAGGAAATTCAACAAAATCAGGGCATTCATCTTAAAGCTTCGTCCCTGCCGCTCCTCTTCTTCCTCGTCTTTTATTGCACTGACATCATTAGAGCTCGAGTATCACAGAATATGATTTTGCTAAATTCAAAATACAGATATTTTCTGACTATTTATGGCTATATTAAATTCTCTATGGCTTCTCTTATATATATCGCTAGCATTTACAGGATCTCTAGTGCACAAGTTCACCACGGTGCCATGCACTTCTACTGTCGTAACAGAAAAAAAAAAAAACAGGTGGAGACTGATATGTGTGAATGTGTCTTTGCTTTACGAGGGAATGACTTGACAAGTACGTGAAACATTTCCATGATTTAAAAAAGGTCTGTAACCAGAAATTGGGTTAGCTTGTTTCATTTGTTTGGTCAAGGCAGTGGGCGAAGCCTGTCACAGTGATGCATAGAAACGGCAGCACGTACTGTACATAATTATTATAAATCAATATAATAAGCAAAGGCCACAAAGCAAGCTGAATCTGTCTCCAACACACGTGATGCTTGAAGAGGCTATCACTGAGTTTTAATGCCAATAAGTACATTTATAGTTCGCTAAAAATGGCAATAATGGCTGAAAAGTAGCATTAATAGCATTAGTCAAGTCAGTTATATCTAATGTTACTAATGCTAACTGTTATGGTTTCAGCAGTAGCAGTTAGCATTAGTCAAGTCAGTTGTATCTAATGTCATTAATGCTAACTATTATGGTTTCAGTATTAGCAGTTAGCACATGTCAAGTCAGTTTCATCTAACATGTTAAAGGCTAACCGTTATGGTTTCAGTTATTGCAGTTAGCATTAGTCAATTTTATCTAATGTGACAAATGCTAACTTTTGTGGTTTCAGTGGCAACAATTAGCATTAGCCAATTAAAATTTAGCATTTGTTCAGTAAATTTTATGTAGTGTAACTAATGCTAACAGTTATGGTTTTAGTAGTAGCAGTTAGCATTAGTCAAGTCAATCTTATCTAACATGATTAATGCTAACTGCTATGGTTTCAGCAGTAGTGGTTAGCATTAACTTTAGTTAAGTAAGTTTTAGCTAATGTGACTAATGCTAACTGCTGTGGTTTCAGTAGCAACAGTTAGCATTAGTCAAGTAAATTTTAGCTAATGTGACTTATGCTTACTGCAGTGGTTTCAGTGGCAACAATTAGCATTAGCCAATTAAAATTTAATTTAAGTAAATTTTGTGTAGTGTAACTAATGCTAACAGTTATGGTTTTAGTAGTAGCAGTTAGCATTAGTCAAGTAAGTCTTATCTAACATGATTAATGCTATTATGGTTTCAGCAGTAGCAGTTAGCATTAGTCAAGTAAATTTTATCTAATGTGACTTACGCTCACTGCAGTGGTTTCAGTAACAGTTAGCACTTAGTCAATTGTATTCTAGCATTAGCATAGTAACACCAGCAGAAACTTTGCTAAAGGACGCAGCTTAGCTGGGTAGCTACCTAGCTTGTTTAGCTAGCACTAACAATTGGCTGAAATTGTTAACAGTTTTGGAAAAGAGACTGTTAAAGCTCGACCAATCCTAGATTTTTGACACTAAAAATAAATATTTATTATGATTTTGAAATAATCCAATAATATTAACTTTTTAAACATCTTGTGATTTTGTTGTTTAAAAGAAAATTAGTACAGCTACATTTTCTTTATTGGCTGTGCTGTTGGTGATCTGCTTATCTGCACTATATTACTGAGCCTTTCCAAAAATAACAGTACAATTACAACAATATAGTATCCAATATCCAAATTTAGTGAAGCTAATTATTTATTTTTATTAATTAATAATTTGTTTTTTGATAAGACTATCAGAGGTGTTAATGGGCTTCTGATTTGGACCTTTTATAGTGTTATTAAAGTAACTTTCCATCAAGTGTGTTTCAGTCAGTGTTGTTTTTATTCTATGTTCCTCTTTGTGCCTTTGTAGTTTTCCTATGTAATACAATGTCGTCATGATTTACGAGACATTTCCTCTTACAATGTTATGTAATCATGTCCCGTTTGTGACTGATGCACCAGCGGCTGAGGCAACTAACACTGCTGAATACAAGTCAGTATTATGGTATCATTTTCAGAAAGGTATGACAATCATCATTTATACATTAATGAGGCAACATAAGGCAGTTTACAGACTTTTACAGAGTCCACGCAGTCAGTGCCTTAACTGCTGGTATATCAAGACAAATTTGGGGAAATGATGTAGTGCAGCAAGAGGGAAAGTGGCTGAAATTATGACGTTACACACAATAAATGCAGGGGCTCACCAGTAGTGACTGAAAGTTGGGATATGTCTTGAACTTCAGCTTCAAAAATGACAATAAACTGACTCAACACCTCTCTTGACAGTCTTATCAAAAAATACTTGGCCAGAGGTTCAGGAAATGCACTGCAACTGTTAATAAAGATTTTGCTGTATTTTTGGGCATTTTGACAGGAACTATAACGAGGGATAAAGACATGGAAGAAAGCAGTGACAATGTTTGAAACTCTTCAAGCATCCCGTATCTGTTCGTACAACATCTCACCTGACCACATCTCATAGATAAACTCTTATTAGCAGGAGCAGGTGAGTTGTATTACTGCTGGGACAGTCAGAACAAAGCTCAACTCTCCACAGAGAATATAAAGGGTTATAATCACTTTCTTTTGCTCTGTTTAAAAAAAAAAAAAAAAAAAAGATGCTGCCTGGTTTAGTTGATCCACGGTTGGCTGTCGATTAGATGGCGGTGAGAACAGTCAGCAAAATCAGCCATGGGATCATATGTAGAGTTCTTGTTGGAAAATGACTGAGCTGCAGGAATATCCGAGATGTTAGTTCATTTGGTGGTACTATATATCAAGACCAGGGTGGGCGACTTTATTTAGAAGGCTTGAAGGGCTGTTGATCAATGAAAATAGCTGAATCATTATTGGGCTGGGAGGTCAGATTTCTAGCTTTCAAAACTCTTAATTTACTTCCAAATAAATCTGGACTCTTTTGTGAAATATTTTGTGAAATATGCTTATTGACTTTCTTTAGATAAAAAGACTGATAACCCTCTAATGTCTGTATGATATGAAGCTACTGTCTTCGGTCAATTAGCTTGGCTTAGCTTAGCACAAAGACTTGAAACGGGGGAAAAACTAGCAGGGCTGACTTATCTTTCAACAGAGCCAGGCTAGCTGTTTGCCCCTGTTTCCAGCAGGCCCCCAAGAAGTGCGCCAGGGTTTGACGCCAATTTTCATAGTGGCCAAACGGTGGTACTACAATTTCTGGGGTCTGTCACATGATGCCCTGCAGCTCAAAAAGACTATTTCCAATTGACTTACATTGGGAAAGAGACATCTGTAAATCAGTGGATACATTCTTTTGAGCGCCACAACCCCCACAAAAATGATTCGCTTCACTATGAGGATTTGATCCATTTGGTCCGATAACATTTGGAAAGTCTAGAAGAGCCACAAGATGAAATTATTTTATCCCCATCCCCATTTAGCGGAGTGCTAAATTGGAAGCTATCCATTCAGCTGGCAGAAGTGAGTTGTTTGGCTGCACTGTAGTGTCTCTAGTGTACATGCTCTATGGGCCACACAGTGCTGAAGTAATGCTGAAGATCTCCAGATCAGTCGGGTTATTTCGTATGCGACAGATGAACCATTTTGGCTTCATGTGCCACTGAGCAACTCTCATAGAAAGGAACAGGGCCCAGCCGCCAATGCTGTATCCAGTTCTGCTAATCCATCCATGGTTCCCAGTCTTTGTGCTAAGCTAAGCTAAGCTAACCAGTAGCCTCATATTTACTGGCATCAATCTTCTCATCTACCTTTTGGCAAGAAAGCGAACAAGACTATTTCCCAAAAGTGTTTCTATTATTTAATTTTTCAGTCTGTTTTCACACAAACATGGGCTCCAACTAACTTTATTTTCCTTTCACTGAAATAGTTTGAAACTTTCTGAAATATGCTTATTTGCTTATTTTAGATGAAAACATCAATACGTCCTATATCTGTACGGTACATATGACACTAACACCAGCAGTCAATTAGCTTAGCTTATAGCTCAAAGCCTGGAAACACAGGAAAACAGCTAACGCGGCTGAGGGGCTGGTAGGTGGATTTATGTTTTCTTTGGACAGAGCCAGGCTAGCTGTTTGCCCATGTTTCCAGCCATTATGCTAAGCTAAGCTAACAAGTTGCTAAGCATAGCTTCATATTGACCGTACAGATACCACCTGTATGATTTTAAATAAATAAGACCATTTCTACAATAAACTGTCAAAAGACATGACGACCAATGGTCATCGCAAGTTACCATGGTCTATAATTGAGGTTAAAAAGTTCTTATGTCACATTTTTGGTTGTAATCTTCTTGTTTTGGGTTTGTAATTGATAAAGGACTTAAATGAAAATTGTTAGACTAATTTAACAGATACATTTTATGCCAATTGACCAATTTATTAATAATCTAACACAACACTAGACTAGAGATTAAAGTTTTAAAAAATCTGTTTTCTTGCGAGTCCTGCTGCTAAACAGCTAAACCTTTAATGTTTTTAATCCAAAAAACATATAAATAAAGTCACTACTCACTTGAATAATTTAACTTCCCAACAGTGGGGTTGGCTATACTGTAAATAAATAATGATGTTTGGTAAGTCTACTGAAGTGGACAAGCTTCCCAGCCACAAAATAAATGGAATAATTTTCCCACCCTGGTCCTTTGAGTTTGTCTTTCACCCGTGCAAGGCGCAGAAGTCGAAGTCTGCGAAGGCTTCCTGCTGCTCGGCAGAGAGGATGAAGGGTTTGGAGGGAGGCGACAGGATTGGCTGAAGTCGAGTGAACTCGCTGTCAAAGTTGCTGACGTCCATCGACTCTTTGATTGACGGCAGGAATGGAGGTTTTACTTTCTTGGCTAGGAGGGCTTCCCAGTCGATGGTCTGAAAGAGGTTAGAGGTTCAACAAGGTATTTGAACCTTACTTGAGTATTTCAATTACATGACACTTTATACTTCTACTCCGCTACGTCTCAGAGGGAAATATTGTACTTTTCAGCAATCAATAATTTAGTGGGAAAGTGTTTATCACAGCTTTGTCTTGGCAGGTTCAGTAAATGCGTATAATCAATACAAATCAATACCTCATTAGGTTGAGTCACAAGTGGTGGACATGGATCTTAACAAATACACAAAATTATTTTTTTACAGAGTAATACGTGATGTTTAAAGAAAGTGATTTACCTCAAAGAATTTCTCTCCTTTGACCTCGTTTGCATCCCTCTCTCCGGCTCCGATTCTTTTCAGAGGATTCTTCTTCAGCAGCTGCAGACGGATAATCAGAGAGTTTGTAAATAAATTATACTTAAAATGGATAAATTATATTTTATATCCTATACTTTTTTTTTAAATACACCACATTGTGTTACACCGAGGGAAATAAGGTATAAGATAAGGCATAAATATCTTAATAAACTGTAGTAAAATCAGGGTTAAGTGAGCAGATGAGCAGCGTTTACCTTCTGGATGATGCAGACAGCATCAGGAGGAAGACACCCTGGATATTGCACATCATCATTGACGATGCTGTCAAACACCTCCTCCTCATCCTCACCAGGGAATGGAGACTAGTGGTAGGGCAGAGAGATGCTGAGTTAGAGATTTAACTATATTTTTGAATTTGGCCTCTCTACCTAGACGATAAAATTTGACTGTGGACCAAAAATCAAACAAAACTGATGGAAGAAAAACAAAAATGAATGTTACCAACCTCCCCAACGAGCATCTCGAAGATGAGGACGCCCATCCCCCACCAGTCCACCGCCCGGGTGTAGTTGTCGTCTGTCAGGACCTCAGGAGCCAGAAACTCAGGAGTCCCACAGAAGGTCGAGGTCCGATCGCCGTGACCCATCCCTGCCGAAATATTAACAAAAAGATAATCACAGAAAGACTGAAAAAGAGTTTTGAGTAGATAGACTGCACTTTTTTTTTTTTTACTGAGATTTTCAAAAACTTTCATAATCATGAAAAACTCAACTCACAGAGGATTTCTGGAAATTACTTAAATTGTAAAGACAAATGTAAGACAAAAATATGTTGCAGGTGTATCTCAAGTAGTGGAAGATCTTTTACTTGAATAAAGTAGCAATACAGTGCAAAAATACTCTGTTAAAAGTACAATCAACACATATTTAAAGAACTAATAGTAAAAAAAAATCAATTTCCCCCCAGGGATTAATAAAGTATTCTGAATCTGAATCTGAATCTGAAATACTCCTTATATTAATTGATTAGTGATGCATGATCATACAGCTGATAAAGGTGGAGCTAATTTCAGCTACTTTATAAACTGCCGAGTAGTTTAATCTGTACTTATACACCCTAATTTATTATGTAGTTTATATTTATAATTTGAATCTGCCAAGTCTCTAATGTTGTTCGATAAATGTAGTGGAATAAAAAGTACAATACGGGCTTCCAAACTGTGGGGGAGTAGAAGTAGGATAAAGTAGCATAAAATGGAAATACTCAAATACAAGTACCTCAAGATTGTCCTTAAAGGGAAATTTCGGTTTATTTCAACCCGTCTCCTATCGTCCTAAATTTGTTTCAAGTCACTAGTGACATAGAAATAATAGTTAGCATGTTAGCCGTTAGCCTAGATACAGCCGTAGCGTCAGACCTGTTAAAACTTAATTGAACGGGCATCCTTTCAAGTGCAAAGTTAGTCCACTAAACAAGCTTTTTCTCCACAAAGACCGCCTCATATCGTTAAGATAAATGTCAGAGAACATATAGAAAACAACATGTAAACGTGTTGTCTTACCTTACCGGTGTGCTGCCATGTTTGTTGTTTACCATTTAGCTAAGGCTGCAACCAGTCCCATTCCTTGCAACAGAGGCATTCCTCTTCTGTGGGCATTGGGGTGCAGTATTCACAGGTAACGTTACACCACTGAGCTCCAGAGCTAAATCCTTCCAGCAGCCATTCGTCCTCTGTCGTCCTCTAACGTTACCTGTTGTGCCTCTCTCTCTCTCCTCCTCCATTCTTCAATTTCACGAAGCTCTTCGTCAGTGTATTCTGGCTCACATAAATAAGGGCGGCCCGTATTGTACTTTTTATTCCACTACATTTATCGAACAACATTAGAGACTTGGCAGATTCAAATTTAGGACGATAGGAGACGGGTTGAAATAAACCGAAATTTCCCTTTAAGGACAATACCTGAGTGAATAGTTACCTTCTTTACAAAGTCCAAAGTCTGTGATTTTCACAAACCCGTCTGCATCCATCAGCAGGTTGTCCAGCTTCAGATCTCTGTGTAAAACACACAGTAGGTGTACTTGAATCTGAAGATACAGTACAATGATGCAGCATCGCGTCAGCTGGTGCAACTTACCGATAGATGATTTTATTCAGATGTAGGAACTCTAAACCCAGCAGCACACATGCTGAGTAAAACCTGTAAACAACAACAGCAACAACAACAACAGATTTTAAATTTTGGATTATAAAAAATATGATCCACACTTTCTGCAGTCTGTTAGAAATATTTAGAACTTTTACTTATTCCACCTCTTCATTACACAAACAGTGAAGTGTCTTTGAACAAGACAAGGACATACTGTACGAACCTGGTCTGCGCCTCGGTGAAGACATTGTTGTGGATGTGGATCATGAGGTCGCCGCCTGGTAAATATTCCATGACGAAGCAGACGTGGTCGCTGGTCTGGAAGCAGCCGTGGAGGTTCACCAGGAACGGATGTCTGGAAGCGTTGATCATCTCAAAGATCCTCTTCTCACTCATAAGGCTGCAGAATGAAACCTCACATTAGCACCAGTTTCTCTGAACTTCATATTATTCTAATTTAGATTATATTATGTTAATATCATTATATAATAAAATTTAGATTATTTTTATTTACTATATTCTCTCATTAAAATTTGTAATGTTTTATTTATAATATTATTTTATTTCAATTTATTTACATTACTTTATGTAACATTTTATTTCATTTTAATGTATAGGCTATTATTTTAGATTGTATTATTTCAAATGTATATTATTCTATTTTAGATTTTATATATTTATAAATGAAAATTTTATCCCTATTTTAACTTACACAATTTAATGTAGATTTTAAGTTTGTTACTTGTCTTCAACTTGCCTTTTTGCCTTTTTTTAAACCCATATTTAATGAGCATTGAGAGAGATATATGAATTCCATTGTCAATGACAGCTTCTCTGTAACTGCTGCCCATAGGACAATAAAGGACTTGAAATTTCCTAGACCTGAAAAACAAATTACCATCTGTGGAACTTTTTCAGTTTTAGCTCAGTGCTATAGTATGGCCTTGGGTCTACAAGTAAATTGGTACAAATTCTGTTAACGTGAAAAAATAAAAGTAGAAACAAACAAGTAAGAAGAGACAAAAGAAAGAGGCTCTTGAACCAGAACACTCTTTGTTTCACCTCGTCTTCTTTTAACTTAAAACTCATTGAGATGACTGCAGCAGGCGTTTCATTTGTCCTTAATTTGGTACATTTTTAATGAAGAATCCAATGAAGGTTCTTTGTACTGTTAAATAGGCTTTAATTAAGTCAAATCTGTTGCTTCATTAACAGAAGCAATGAAACAAACCCTTCCTCAAGGCGGATCGTTGGTGTTTCATTTAGTTAATCTGAAGTACAAGTACAGCTTTGTAGAGAAAACTGCCAAAGTCTGTTACTTTTAGTTATTTTCAAGGGTCCATTTGCTCAAATTATAGAGGACTAATCTTCTATTTACCTCGTCTGGTGCAGATTTGGTATAATGTGCATAGGTTTTGGTACATATATTGGTGTCTGGTGGTGAAATAAATTTGTGGATTTGTGGATATTCACACATATTGGCAGAAAAATGATGGCATTGTGCATTTCTGCAAACCACGGATTTGTTACAGTCGCATGTTATTATTTAGCAGAAACGTGTGATTAGGTTTAGACACAAAAAACACTTGGTTATGGTTTGGAATAGATCGTGTATTGGCTTAAAATACCCGGTTTATGGGGCACAATCCCTGCTGGAAAAGCAGTGGTGTCTCAACTGCTTTTAACGGCTCTATCCCTTTTTGAAAAACAGCAACAGTGTCACAGCTCAAGTTTCTTAGGTTATGTTTTTTTTCCATTCACTCGTGCTGTTTCCTGTTTTACTTTGAAACTCATATCTCCTCTCGTCTCAGATCACTTCACTTGCAGGTGTGGCTTGTTGCTGTGATTTGGATAAACTTTAAAGCTTTCCCTTCACACACACACACACACACACACACACACACACACACACACACACCTGTCCACTTCATCTCGAGTCACAATGTCTCTTTTCTTCAAGGCTTTGATGGCGTACAGTCTTCCTGTCTTCTTAAACTCTGCCAGCAGGACCTGAAACAGAAAACATTCACTGAGGAGATGTTTTTAATCGAGCACGATGAATTTAAGAGAAAAACTTTTAAAATATTACCTTCCCAAAGTGTCCTCTGCCCAGAACTGACATGTATTTAAAATCGTCCATTTGCATCCTTGTGGAAAAAAGACAAAAATATTAAATGAAGGCGATGCTTCATTCTGAGTGTGTAAAGAAAGTGTATGTGTGCATACTTTAGAGCAGATACAGGCTGGTCTTCACTTCCTTCTGTGTTGTTTATGGACGACTGCGAACAGAGACAAAGTTTGGAACATTTAACCATTCAGTCACAAATCACATCCCAAAATCAATATGTCTCGAAATGTTTCCCATCTTTATCCAACACACTGCATGTATTACTGTCATTATAGAAGACAGCATTGCCTGACTCTCTTGTTTTGAAAGAGTTTCTTAAACTAATAGAAACATTCAAGTTTCTGAACCCACAGGAGACGCTGTAAAACTCCATTAAAGGTCCAGTGTGTAGGATTTAGGGGGATTTATTGACAGAAATGGAATATAACATAACAAGTATGTTTTCTTTAGTGTATAATCACCTGGAAATAAGAACTGCTGTGTCTTTTTAAACACTGAAGGAATTCTAACCAGGAGAAGTTTCAGCTGGTTGCAATCTGCAAACCTCATCACTAGACGCTACTAAATCCCCCTAAATCTTACACACTGCTCCTGTAAAAGCTAAAGATCACCTGATAAATGGAGCACCAGCAACATGTCATTCATGTAATCTGGTGGATAACAATGAAATACTACAACTGAAGGAGAATAATTTGATTATTTAATACTGTAACAGAATAAAATATAGAGCAAATGTATGTTTGTGTGTTTTTTAACCATGCTAGCTGTGCTGTAGTGTGGTTTTAGACTTGTCATTACACAGTGAATAACATTGGAGAATTTAGACTTAAATGTAAAAATAAAAATGTGTATTTTCTGGCAGGTTTATCAACAATCATTTACCAGTGCTTCTTGAGATGCAGTCAGAGATGATGTTTTGTGTGCCGTGGTGATGATGGTGGGAGTGTTGTCTCCCAGGTCGAGGCTGGTGGGAGACGGCTGATCCTCAGTGACGCTGAGTCTGATTTCTGGAGCTTCGCTGCAGATATACAAACACAAAAACAACATTCATACATTTATTAATTTTCCATAACTGCTTATCCTGTTAGGGGTCGCGGGGCTGGAGCCTATCCCAGCTGACACTGGGTGAGAGGCAGGGTTCACCCTGGACAGGTCACCACACTATCACAGGGCTGACACATAGAGACAGACAACCATTCACACTCACATTCAGTTTAGAGTCACTAATTAACCTGCATGTCTTTGGACTGTGGGAGGAAGCTGGAGTAAAATTAAACCCCAAAAACCAAACTGTAAACAATCATACTGTTGCAGATGGTGCTACAATACAAGTTGGAAGTCAGTGCAGTTTTCACACAGGTATAAACTCTCCTATCTAACTCTATGTCAAGTCAGATACTGATGCTTTGATTGTTCTGACCTTGGCAGTGGAGAGGTGGTTTGAGGCTCCTTCTCGGTGGGACGCGACGTGTTGTTGGCCACCAGGTCAGGGGTCGTGGAGAGAGTTGAGCTGAATGTGGTGAATGAGCTGTAGCGAGGGAGGATGCTCATCATCAGGTGACCCCACGTGGCAAAGTTCATGTTCATCTGAGCCGCCCGGAGGAAGTTCTTCCCTGAAGAAGAATAAAATGCTTCACTTACACTGCAGACACACAAATAAAGCGTTGATCCTTCAGGGTGATCGTCTGTACCTCGCTCTTTAGTAAAGATACATCGCTGACGTCTCAGTTTCGGCTGCCGCTCAACAACAGTGTCGATGAACTGAAGCTGTAGAACCCACAACAAGAGACATCTTTTAGATGCTGGCTTGTGTTTACGCCTTGATTAAGAGCTCCTGAACATTTTCTATTTAAAATATTTAATATGTGTGGTTATTTTCCTGACAGTCTTTGTATAAAGTAAGGACAATGAGGTGTTGTAAATAGTATTTTTGAATAAAAAGACAACTGAAAAGTTTCGTATATATGGTATCTATGTTCATATACACTCATTAGCCACTTTATGAGTACACCTGTTCAACTGCTCTTAACACAAATAGCTAATCAGTCAATCACTTTGCAGCAACTCAATGCATTTAGTCATGTAGACATGGTGAAGACAACCTGCTGAAGTTCAAACTGAGCATCAGAATGATGAAGAAAGGTGATTTGAGTGACTTTGAACGTGGCATGGTTGTTGGTGCCAGACGGGTTGCTGAGCGTGTCCATCCCTTTATGACCACAGTGTACCCATCTTCTGATGGCTACTTCCAGCAGGATAACGCACCATGTCACAAAGCTCACATCATCTCAAACATGACAATGAGTTCACTGTACTCCAATGGCTTCCACAGTCACCAGATCTCAGTCCAATAGAGCACCTTTGGGATGTGCTGAAACGGGAGATTCTCATCATGGATGTGCAGCCGACAAATCTGCAGCAGCTGTGTGATGTCATCATGTCAATATGGACCAAAATCTCTGAGGAATGTTTCCAGCACCTTGTTGAATCTATGCCACCAAAAAGGGGGTCTAACCTGGTACTAGCAAGGTGTACCTAATAAAGTGGCAGGTGAGTGTATGTAAGGAAACAACCTGATAATAAATACACCAGTAATATGATAGTTTCTGGTCAATATGCCAACTAGATGTTAAGTAATAATTCCCTCCCCAGACTTTTAGTACCTAGAATTTATAATAAATACATTTTCTATTTCTGTACTAAAAAAACACATATTCATCAGATTTATTCCTCCCATTAAATTAGATACCACCACACACGTACAGGTCACTGTGTGTACCTTGGCGTAGAGGCAGCCCTGCGGCTCCAGACTGAACTCCTGGTCGTGGCTCGGGTTGTCCATCATCTCCTCTAGTCGCAGGAACTTGACGGCACACATTGCCCTCCGGTTCCGCCAGAAGACACAGACCTCCAGCTCCCGAGACTATCAGACAGAACATGAACACAATCACAACAAATACAATCAATGAACATACTCATACTCAACTTAATTTTGTTTGATATGTGATATGTGAATGTGATTTTTTTCCAATATTTGTATTGTTCTGTAGGTTTCTAAATTTTAACCCAATTAAGAAAAACAAACACAAAAGCTTTTAAATCAGACGGAATAATGTAGCCTTATCTGAAACTGGATCATCTGGTTTCTTCCTCTGATTTTAAAGTTTTAATTGAGTTTAAATTGAGTGAATCTCCAAGCTCACACGTACTTCTGTCTGTTATCTTTAATTAAAAGAAACAAATCACCTCTAAGCTTTTGTTCTGCAGCACTGAACATGTTTAAGTTTGTCCCTTCCTGCACATCTCTGTGTGATAAATGAATGTGTCTGTGATGAATGAATATCTGCAGGTATTAGGGCGACACCTGCCGGTCACAGACACAACTACAGCAATAATAAACCAGTGCACATTAAACAGCAGTAGCACAGTGTAAACCCTGACAATAAGCATTCAGAGTGATACTTTAGTGGAAATATCCCCAGGTAAGTGCACTTGAGTATCACAGGTAGGAGGTAGGAGTGTAGATTCCGCAAAATGGCCTTTTCAGAGTGTTATATTCTGTGTTTAAATAGGATTTTAATGTTGTAGATATTTTGAAATACTGAATTCTGCCTCATCATGCTAATTTGCCTCCTTGCTTCCCGCACTTGCCATAAGTCCCACCCATGGGAGATGCAAGCAGAGGAAGCAATGAAAAGATGTGAGGACGATGGAGCCAGTGCTGCCAGATGAAAGATCCTTGGTCTCATAGCGTCTATGTCTATGTTACATATGACCTGCTGCACAGCTCATCCAGTGTCAACAGAATCTCCCAAAAGAACAACTTCAAAACCTTATAGCATCTTCCATAGATAGATAGATAGATAGGAAGATGTCTTATAGGCCTATAAAAGTCTTATGATTTGTAATGATCACTTGCATTATTGTTATCTGCACCACAAAGCTGTGTGAGAATATGTGCACATTGATTGTACTGTAAAAAAAAAAAAACTAAACTGTTGCTTTGTGTGATGCTGCAACACCTTGCATCTAATGATCCTTTATATTCTAAGGTGTTAGATTCATCACACACAAGGTGACGGCGTATTATACTGCTTCACACCATGTAACTGTAGATCCCCATCTATACACGACACTACAATAGGCAATGTGAGAATAAACTGTGTGAATGAAGAATCATGCAGTGGTGTGGCATCACTGAATGCGAAAAATAAATCAGTAACTAAAAAGAAAATGTCGCCGTGACCCTGGGGGAGCGCCATAGTCAGACCACTTGATGTAAAACTCGCTCAAAGCTTCTCCTAAAGCCTCCTCTCCCCTCGGGGTGCATTTAAAGGATTGCAGAATCTGTCATGATGGTGGAGGGGGAACGATGTTTGTGTCACGGGAGGAGAGAGGAGGTGAGGAGGCATAAGTAAGTATAGTGAAAAGGACCCTGGTCCGTCCCTTCAGTCACCTCTCACTTCATCTCTGCCAGTGGTGCCCAGCCCTGCTCTGCCCTGCATGTTTCAGGTCCTGATCAAACCACACCTGATTTAAACGACTGGCTCTCTATCGAGTGCTTATAAGCCTCAAGTGCTTAATAATGAGCAGATCATTTTCACTTCTGACAGTAAATCCACTGACAGGGTGTCCTCATACAACTACTTGGGTATATGAATAGATGACAAGCTTTCATTTACATATTGCTGCTCCTGTTAGGAAGCTTAAAGTGAAGATTGGCTTTTATTTGAGAAATAAATCTTGTTTTACTTTCAGTGCTAAGACAAACTTGTGGAAGCTCCTTTTCTGTCTGTGACTGATTACAGTGACATATTGTATATGATGCATGCAACCTCCACCAGTTTGCGTAGCCTTGATTCAGTGCACCATGCATCTCTACGTTTTATTACAGATGCAAAGTCACTTACTCATCACTGCTTTCTTTATGATTTGGTGGGTTGAACACCACTGACCACTCACAGACAGCACTGGTATATTTTTATCTATAAAGCAATATTGGGCAAACTTCCGGCCGACCTCTGCACCCTGCTCTGTGACCAGCTACGCTCCTCCAGGTGCTTGCTTTTTAATGAACCCTGGGTTTTAACAGATGTGGGGAAAACTGCATTCTCCTACTCTGCATCATGGACATGGAACGATCTTTAAAAAGATCTAAAAACTTAGAAACACTTATATCCATTGATGAATTTAAAGGGATAGTGCACCCAAAAATGAAAATTCAGCCATTATCTACTCACCCATATGCTGATGGAGGCCCTGGTGAAGTTTTAGAGTCCTCACATCCCTTGCGGAGATCGGCGGGGGGAGCGGCTAGCACACCTAATGGCAGACGGCGCCCCAGACTAACGTCCAAGAACACAAAATTGAATCCACAAAATATCTCCATACTGCTCATCCGTAGTGATCCAAGTGTGCTGCAGCCCCGACATAAAAAGTTGTTTGGAAAAACATCATATGAACTCTGTTTTTAGCCTCACTGTAGCCTGTAGCTCTGACTGCTTCTCTGTGCTCCGTGTTCACGTGTGTACGCTTGTGCGAGACCAGCGAAAGCATGAGCTTTGCTTACTGGTGTTTACATCACGTGACACGTGCACCGCAGGGAGAGACAACAGTAACCACAGAGCTAAAAGATAACTTGCACTACGGTCTTTTAGCAAAGGACAGCCCAACATGTCTGAAGACTTTGAAATTGAAGAGGAACAGCATTTCTTTGTTGAGCCGTATTTGTTTGAGCCCGAGTATACGCACGGAGCCTAACCCCCAGCCAGCCGCAGAATACCGGAGTCGAGCACTGGAAACCTGGTGATGTAGTTGTTTCAAATGCAAAGCATTGCCAACGGATGAGGAAAGTCTTTGCTGCTCAGACTGGGAATTGGCGATGCCTGCACTTGAGAATCTGGACATCAGTACTGATGAGAGCTCTTCAGAGACCGTGCATCATCGACCACCCTGAGTTTCCAACACTGCTGACCCGTGGTGTTTTTTACTTCCCCAAGATCAAGTGGAAGAAAAGGCAGAGGCCCACAGGACCAGATGGCAGGCTTTCAGAGGAGTAAGTCATTCATTTCTACCTTAGTTCAGGCGGACAATGGAGTTGGTCTCGGATATATGGTTACTGTTGTCTCTCCCTGCGGTGCACGTGTCACGTAATGTAAACACGGGTAAGCAAAGCCCATGCTTTCTCTCTCATGTGTGCGCGGTTGCGCGACCACATGAGAAGCAGTCAGAGCTACAGGCTACAGTGAGGCTAAAAACAGAGTTCATATGATGTTTTTCCAAACAACTTTTTATGTCTGGGCTTCAGGACAATTGGATCACTACGGATGAGCAGTATGGAGATATTTTGTGGTTTCAATTTTGTGTTCTTGGACGTTAGTCTGTGGCGCTGTCAGCCATTAGGTGTGCTAGCCGCTGCCCCCGCTGATCTCCGCAAGGGATGTGAGGACTCTAAAACTTCACCAGGGCCTCCCTCGGCGAGTAGATAATGGCTGAATTTTCATTTTTGGGTGCACTATCCCTTTAAGGGCATCATAGAGAATGCGGTGACAGAGACGTGCTTGTTTTTCCTGAGAGACCACTGTGTTTGAATCGGGGATTTTTGTATTATATGTTGTATTTGTGCATTTTAATGTGTTTTGATTGACTGCTACCTCGGCCAGGTGTCTCTTGTAAAAGAGATTTTCAATCTCAATGGGACCTCCTGGTTAAATAAAGGTTAAATAAATAAACAAAATAAATCATTGTTAATTAGAAGAGTAGGTAGAGACCTAAAACATGCAGGGCAGTAGCTCTCCAGGAGCAGGACCGGGCACCGCTGATCTATACCCATGCATTTGCAACTCCGTTCCCTCCAGTCTCGGTCAACTGACAGCCTCCTCACCTGTTCCCATTTCCCCTAATCAGCACAGTTGTACATATTCAGGTTCATTTTCATGAGTAATCTGCCAATTTGTCAAGTTGCAATGTTGCTCTCTTGCTTTGTGTTACCGCTTTAAAGCTTCTGTACATCTCTATATACCCTCGCTTTAACAATAAAACATTGAACTACACCACTCTGCCTTCACCGTCTGTGTTTGGATCAAATCCTGCATTATCTCAGTAGTGACAGTTTTGAAAGTAAAAATATTTATCTGCAAAGTAACTCGTAGCTGCAGGTGTCAAGTAAATGAGTAACAAAAACAATATTTCCCTCTGAGATGGATTGAGTTGCACAAACTGAAAATAATGAAAGTACCTCAAAATGATTCAGTGAATTAATTTGTTTTTCCACCACTGAAAAAGAAACACCTTCTGGCGTATTTGAGGGCCTGAAAAACTCTCGCTTTCTGAGCAGAAATCTCGTCGTTCAAGCGAGCCCTTCTTCTTCTTCATATGTCGGGTGTCTGTGTATACATCCTGTGTATTCTCTGTCCTGCACGGTGCCCTTGTACCACCTGTAACGTCCTGTGTTTGCTGTATTACATGTGTCAGCACATACAGAGTAACGACAGCCTGTAAGCTGCTGATGCTGGTTGTACCTGTTCCAAAGTCACAGAGACAAAGTTCTGTACATTCATCACACAGGGAGAACATGTTGACTCTGATCTGCAGTATTTCAGTGGCATCTTGTTTCTGTAATTGAACTTATTTCAGGTGGAAACAGGATGACGTGGAGGGAAGTAAACTCAGAGGAAGGAAGGATGGCTCGGACGTGGGTGGTTTGGATCAGAATGAAAAATGACTCACGAATACTGGAAGCTGGCTCACAGTGGAGCTGGTCTGCAGTAAAGGAGGTTTAGAAGATGAAAAAATCTGTGCTTTCTGCATTACAAACCTGACACTATCATCGACATGATCAAAAATACTGACTGTATTTTTGTCATTTAAAAGGTGTTTATTATCTAACAAGCAATATCCCAGATATTAGATGGAGATGAACTGTATTTGAATACTTATATATGGCGTTTATCTAGGTTTATTAAATGTACAAGACACCATAAAACTAAATCAAGCCAGGACCAGAGTCAAGTGTGCATATTTTCAGACAACATTTAAAGGAAAGAAAATCGAGCAAAGCGACGAAATCATCCCACATAATTAGATCGTCACTGCGTAAAACCGAGTTCATGGATAACTCACAAAGGCAGTTACTGTGTCACGCTGAAAAAAATCAAAATAAGTGCTAATCAAACTTTCTTGCCTTCTCTTTCAGGCTTTTGCGACAAAATTGGCAAACTTAAACACATAAAAATTAAGCAATCATTCTAGATTTTGGTCGTCTGTGTTGTTGTATTTTTGCTTTTCTTGTTTTGCTTTGTCGTTATAATTGTTGTTTTTTGTTTTGTTATTGCAGGAATATGATGTACACTCTAAAAAATGATTCATGGGGTTCATCGATAACACTTGAAGTTTTTCAGGATAAGAAAAGGTTACATTTGTTTCATTAACGTGTTTTAGTCAGTTGACGGATTATTTGAAGAAGTTGGTCAAAATTAAAAACATTTTTGACTTTGGGATGGAATTAAAATAAACAAATTAGAATATCTTGAATAAATAATATGATCACTAAATGTCAACACAACTTTAGGATAAATATTGAGGTCAAAGCAAATCTTATTAGTTGTACTAAACTAACTGAGTTTGTAAGATTATAAAAGAGTATTTACTTTATAAAGTCAGTGTTGGAACTACTGAAGAAGATGCATGTAAATTTTTATCTTAATTTCTTTAAGCTAAACCAGTGGATTCTTTAACCCCGTTTCCACCAAATACTTTCGGTATGGTACCTTTGGAACCAACAGTAACCCTTCAGACATGGTACCTAAATGTGGGCGGGGTTGTTGTCACTCACTGCTCCATCCAGCACTCGCTGTATTTCCTCGTCAGCGGTGACACAAGCCATGTTTCCATCAGCCTGTTTAGATGTGCATCTAGAAGTATTGCATCGGAAAATTATGATGGAAACGCCAAAATTTGAATTAAAATCCCCTGATTCGCACAAACTAAAATACGCTCGCTTTAGCCGGGTTTTGGTTGATTTGAAAAAATGTTGATTCGCAAAATGGGGGATGGAAACAGTTATGTTCGAATTAAGCCTGACGTAGCGCACCTCTCTCCATGGTGATATCCACACTCGGGTCGGGAAGGCGGTAATGCATTTACAAGCTGGTTGCCAACCTCCAGAAAACGTAGAAGAAGAAGAATGGATTCGTATTTCTTTTAATGGGCATTTCCCAATGATTCAAATCACTTTTGGATGGAAACATAGCTACAGATGGAAGTCTGCACCTGGTTTATCGTCCACAGAACGAGGCTGCACACCCACATTTTCAGAACAAAATAGAACAGGCTGCAGTGAGAGTCTCTCTCCATGGGATATTTAAAAATAGCAGCTTTGTGCATTTAGTCCTTCTCAGGCAAGCTCAGGGGTTTAGTGTTGCTGTAGCCTGACGCTACTCGACCCTTACCTTCGAGTGAGGATTAGCATATATGCAGTCCACATAAAACGGCCGAAATTAATACATATAAACTCTTGAAGATCCACTCATTACTAAAAGTGTGTGTCATATAAAAACTAAAGTGATGGTCAAAGTTGTCACAGTGAAATTTAAGGTGTGCTGATGGATTCACGTCATCAACTCATGCATTGAGTAACATTACAAGTTAACGTTCCACCTTAAAAGTCGCCGGCAGTCGGCCCAGTGAATGAAGTTATTTTTTCTCAGACTCCAGCTGCTGTGAGAGGCAGCAAAACATCCTTTCATTTTATAGTTACAGTTTACTAATAAAACTCTCCACAGTATGAACAGTGGTTACATGAGCCTCAAAACCAGACACAACTCAGCCCTGAGCAGAGTGACCGTCCTCTAGTGTAGATTAAAAGGATGATTAAATACATATAAAGACAAAAAGAAATCCCACATATTGGTTTTAGGAGCAGCTCAGATTTTCTGGTACCATAAAGTGGGCTCACTTTTAATAGAGTTACTACAGGTAATGACTGTACTCACTTGCATGTGATTGACTTGTAATAAAGAACTCTATTTGTGCTCATGGTTCGAGTGGAAATACACAGGTTTTTGTTGCTTGAATTCTTCCTTATAAAGTAAATATCCATTGCACAATATAGTAACTATTGAATAATGACAGTCAACATTCAGATTGGTTCCTCATAAGCCTCACTTTCACTGTGTACTTCTGTCTGTCAGTGGGTTCGATCTTCCAGGAAAATAAAGCCTCCATTACCGGCACAAAGGACGTGAATCACCCATTGTGCAACCTAAACAGGAAGAGGTTAGTCCTTTCGATTTCCCCAGTAGCTATCAGTAGCTATTCCCAGTTATCAAAGAGTATCAGTTAAGTTTTTGCAGTTACTATCCTCAGCAGCAGAAATGGCAAACGGTGAAACAACTGAAATAACTGTTGGAAACAAAAATGCAGTGTTTCCTGTGCTGTTGGCAGTTTAGCACTGTAAGGAAAAGGAACTTAAGTGTATTGGGTTTGTGATACAAGCCGCTGGATAAGCTTTTATCCTGGTTTTGAGACGGATACATAAAGAGAGATACATAAAGGCTGGTCAGTGAAACTAAAGATAAAATGAGTAATAACATAATCTAAACTTGAAAGGTCCAATGAAGCCAACTCCAGTGTGATCTTGTTCACTGTGAAAACTGTGCTTCACTGCAGAACTTGGGTAAATGTACTTAGTTACATTCCACCACTTCAAGTAGGTCTGTGTGCACGGCGGCAACATGACAAGATCAGTCTTTTCAATTCAAAGCCCACACACATCCCATCTCCTACTGACGCTTCTCCTCCAGATGTTGGCGCCACTCCCTTCTCTTCTCTTTACCTCAGCACACAGTCCTCCGTCCTCCTCCACAGCAGCAGAGGGGTCTCTCTCACATTAGTTACTGGACTTACCCTCTCCAGCTGGATGCAGAACGTCTGATCCCAGTTCAGCCTGCTGACAGCTGCACAGCGTGTCTGGCCGACCACTCTGGTGTCCAGCCTGAGCACCGCGCTGATCTCCGCTGAGGGGCAGACAGAAACAACACGTCACTGGAAACAAAAATTCACCACCAGCTCGATCCTAACATCTATCAGGATCTGTCGTGTACAACATCCCCCTGCTCACTCAGTCAGTGTGTTTACAGAAAGTGTTTCCAGGCAACTGTCTGATTGTCTGATCCGTCAGCTGAAGGTCAAAACTGCTGCCTGTGTTTTTGTTTTTCCCACTTCCACAGGCTTCTGCACTTCTATGAAGCTTTGTAGTCATTGCTACTCTCCACCTGTCTGCAAGATGCCCTCTGAGTTTTACATCCTCCTGCTCACCTGTGTCTAATTCTCCAGACACTATGTCAGTATATCTAACATCCCTCTTTTTCCATTCAGCTGAAGATAGTAAATGTTGCTTTGTACCTTTTCTTTCTAGCCTCTCAAACCTGCCTGCATCTTTTATCTGACCTGTTCCTGCTCACCTGTGGATTCTCACCTACGTCTGTTTGGACTGCTGCCTTTGCCTGAAACCTATTCTCATAACTTAACCATTAAATCAGTGAACAGTTCCTGTCTGTCTGGTTTACTGCATTTGGGTCCTTTTCCTTGCTGCCTCACACACACATCCCATGACACTGAAGTTCAAACGGAGCATCAGAATGATGAAGAAAGGTGATTTAAGTGACTTTGATCGTGGCATGGTTGTTGGTGCCAGACGGGCTGGTCTGAGTATTTACTGGGATTTTCAGCACAACCATCTCTAGGGTTTACAGAGGATGGTCCCAAAAAGAGAAAATATCCAGTGAGCCAAAATGCCTTGTTGATGCCAGAGGTCAGAGGAGAATGGCCAGACTGGTTCAAGATGATAGAAAGGCAACAGGAAGTCAGATAAGCACTGGTTCCAACCAAGGTGTGCAGAAGAGCATCTCTGAAGCAACAACACCTTGTCCAACCTTGAAGCAGATGGGCTACAGCAGCAGAAGACCACACCAGGTGCCACTCCTGTCAGCTAACAACAGGAAACTGAGGCTACAATTCACACGGGTTTTCTCACCAAAACTGGACAATAGAAGTTTGGAAAAACCACATTCAGATGGAAGCATGGATCCATCCTGCCTTGTATCAACGCTTCAGGCTGCTGCTGTTGGTGTAATGGTGTGGGGGAGATTTTCTTAGTACCAACTGAGCATGGTTTAAACACCACAGTCTACCTGAGTATTGTTGCTGACCGTGTCCATCCCTTTATGACCACAGTGTACCCATCTTCTGATGGCTACTTCCAGCAGGATAACGCACCATGTCACAAAACTCAAATCATCTCAAACATGACAATGAGTTCACTGTACTCCAATGGCCTCCACAGTCACCAGATCTCAGTCCAATAGAGCTCCATAGAATCTGTGACACCAAGAATTAAGGCAGTTCTGAAGGCAGAAGGGGGTCCAACCAGGTATCTCATGTGTGCAATAAAAGATCTGAGAATGTTCAAAGATGCAAAATGGTGTTTCTGTGTTGATAAAGTCTTGTGGGAGTATGGACGGGTAATTTAAATGAACTTAAAGCTGCATTTGGCAGCTTCATTTAGCTTTTCTGGGGGCAGAAAAACTCCACAACAAGTAGACAGACTGACATATCATCTCATGAACATGTTAGTTATAGCAACTTCCACCTACTTCTGCATCTAGCAGACACACAGCAACATTATCATCCTGTCAAAAGTCATGTGCACCAAGAGTCACTTTCTTTTAGCTCTGTTTTTGGTCTCCACCAGCTCCTGAGGGAAATACCTGTCTCTGTTTACCTGCTAAATGCTCAATATGTTCACCAGCTCATCTCCAACTCTGGAAACAGAGCTGATGAGAGCAAACTGATTGTCAATACTACAACTTTGTTTTTTACTGTTTACCTATTTATCATATCCAGCTGATGCTTCTACTTTCTCTGCTGCTGTTACAGTGCAAATTTCCCCACTGTGGGACTAATAAAGGATGAAGGATTATCTTAAGAGCAGCAGCTAAATATAAAATTAGTGTGGATCACCACAGCTGGAACCAAACCTGAAACATTAATCCTTTTAATGGCGTGCTTTTCCCCCTGAGCCACACAGGAAAACTCTACAGTGATTCTCCTGCTTCCAAATCTGCAAACTTATAACGAGTTTATACTTGTTTGTTGTTTGTCTTTTCTGTTCAGTTTTATGAAACCAGCGAGTAAATGTCATGCCATTTAGCAAATGGCTTTTTGAGATGACTTCAAACATCCGTGACAGAGGATGTAACGTCATAAAATGCAGTAAGCATGCTGATATTAGATTAACCTTCACACAAGTATTCATACTTCACAACAAACATGGTTCAGTTTTAGAAAGGCGCGCTCAATATCTGCAACAAGTGTAAATCAATGTTGATAAAACAACAAAAATAGCTCTGTACAACTGAGCAATGTCCGTTCATCAAGACCGTAAGATTAGCGACGGGCAACAATGAACGAATCAGTCTTTTTGAAGGACTCTTTTTAGTGTACAGTATGTACCGAGTCAGCCTGTGGAACATCTGAATGCTCATGAATCTTTAACGTGTTGCAATGTAGTGCATAGGGTTGCAACGGTGTGTCACAGTACGATAACTGTCTCAGAACATATCACAGTATCACGTTATTACAGAATTCATCTTATTATCAGTCAGAACGACCCTTAAAGGGAAATTTCGGTTTATTTCAACCCGTCTCCTATCGTCCTAAATTTGTTTCAAGTGACTAGTGACATAGAAATAATAGTTAGCATGTTAGCCGTTAGCCTAGACACAGCTGGGGCGCATAGTAGCGTCAGACCTGTTGAAACTTAATTAAACGGGCATCCTTCCAAGTGCAAAGTTAGTCCACTAAACAAGCTTTTTCTCCACAAAGACCACCTCATATCGTTAGGATAAATGTCAGAGAACATATAGAAAACGACATGTAAACGTGTTGTCTTACCTTACCGGTGTGGTGCCATGTTTGTTTACCATTTAGCTAAGGCTGCAACCGGTCCCATTCCTTGCAACAGAGGCATTCCTCTTCTGTGGGCACTGGGGCACAGCATTCACAGGTACACCACCAATCTTCAGAGCTACGCAGCCTTGCAGCGGCCATTCCTCCTCTCTCGTCCTCTACCTGTTGCGCCTCTCTCTCTCTCCCTCCGTTCTTCAATTTCACAAAGCTCTTCATCAGTGTATTCTGGCTCAAATAAATAAGGGCGGCCATCAAACTCTGCAAAATCAAATTCCTCCTCCACGAAGTCGAAGTCTGGCAAAAAGTCAGCCATTATTCTATAAATCTTTCATAAAATAAATGAATGAACTTTTCAGGCTACTGTCCGGTTTTGCCTTCCAGCTGTTGCTGCTTGTTCTCGCGAGATTTCAGGCACGGTATGAGATTGCTGCTTGTTCTCGCGATATTTCGGCCGCACTTTGGGAAGCAGAGGTAAACAGTAAACACACGGTTAGGTAAGACAACAACTCTGAAGACCACCTAAATGTGGAATGTTAGTATATAGGCTTTCCACATCGAGAGGCGATGGCCGCCCTTATTTATTTGAGCCAGAATACACTGACGAAGAGCTTCGTGAAATTGAAGAACGGAGGAGGAGAGAGAGAGAGGCACAACAGGTAATGTTAGAAGACGACAGAGGAGGAATGGCTGCTGGAAGGATTTAGCTCTGGAGATTGGTGGTGTAACGTTACCTGTGAATACTGCACCCCAATGCCCACAGAAGAGGAATACCTCTGTTGCAAGGAATGGGTTGCAGCCTTAGCTAAATGGTAAACAACAAACATGGCACCACACCGGTAAGGTAAGACAACACGTTTACATGTCGTTTTCTATATGTTCTCTGACATTTATCCTAACGATATGAGGCGGTCTTTGTGGAGAAAAAGCTTGTTTAGTGGACTAACTTTGCACTGGAAAGGATGCCCGATCACTTACGTTTTAACAGGTCTGACGCTACTATGCGCCCCGGCTGTATCTAGGCTAACGGCTAACATGCTAACTATTATTTCTATGTCACTAGTGACTTGAAAAAAATTTAGGACGATAGGAGACAGGTTGATATAAACCGAAATCTCCCTTTAAAGGAAAGAGAACAGAAGAGTTATTGTTGGTTAAACAAACATTTTATAAGTAGAACTGAAACTTGAAACCATTTTTTAAAAATGGAAGTAAAAAAATCTCTCCTTTAAAAATAACTAAAATAAAGGTGAGATTCAACATCCAGTTGCATTTTTTTTCAATGTCGTAGATAAGCAAACGTACACAGTTTGTTTTATTGTTAGATGGTGTGAGTTGCTACAATACAGAGAGAAATATATTTCAGTATAATGTTGACGAGGTTGTTAAATATGTGAGGTCACTTTGTTCCTGTATACTTTGACCTCTGCAAATGTTTATATTGGTCCTGTGCGGCTACCGTACATACGTGAAAAACAGGAAGTGAAGCCTTTACTGTGAATTGTTCAGTTTTACAATACGGTTGTTTTACCGTGTTCGTTTGTTAGCGTTGCTGCCGAGGCGACTCAACGGGTAAAGCAGTCTCCTGTCGTTATTAAGATTGAATTAAGGCAAAGACGAAAACAATGCAGCTTAAAAATAGCCACTACACATGGTATGATAACCGTCAACTTTTATGTCAAGGTATACCTTCAAACTGGTATATTGCTGCAACCCTAGTAGTGCAGCAAAAGCACTAAATGAATGAGCCTGGACCAGAGGTGCCTTCACATGCTGCACACATGGTGATTCTGTAAGTTGAAATGTGGAAACTACATCGATGTAACAAAGACGATATGTTGTATTTTATTGTTCTGAGTGCTCGAGAGCAAAGAACATGGATCAGGTGAGGCATGTAATATGATCGGGGAATAACTTTTCAGATCATTCCAACACTTGATTGCAACACAATGCTGCAGAGGTAACTGGGACATCTGCTACTTGCCCCTCAAAGAACGAAAGGTTTAGGGTCTGGCCATGAGTAATGAAAATGGCCCAACTTGAGGGGCGGCACCAAGCATGCATTTGTAAATATCACTGCATGTAATTGGATAACACTACGACCAATCAGAACAATACACGGGGTGACGTATACGCTTAGCTACCAGTGGAGCTAACTGGTAGATTATCCGGTTGGCAAAACAGTAAAAACGTCCTTCTTGCAAAGGAAAGACTCGAGCGCCGTCTTCTGTTCCTCTTTTAGAGAAAAAGCCAAGTCTAACTCGTTCATTGTAGCGGCCAAAGCCGTTTCAAACAACTGGTGTTCATCCGTAGCCATCTTGCAATGTTTACTGACTGATTCCGGACGTCGTCGTCGCAGCGCTGTCGTCATCTGTTTAGCTCGCCTCTGGCCCGCCTTTATCAGATACACCGATGTGATTGGTGCAGCTCGGCTCCAACAGCATGGGTAATGAGCATCATTACTGACTGCCAGAGTGACTCGCTGAGCAAATTCAAATTGTGCTCTCGCGAGAACTCTGGATTTCCAGGGTACCAATTTAAGGGAAAAGGGCTAAATTTAAAATATTCATTTATTTATTGTTATTAAATTATTATAACAATTTATAGTATTGCAGGCTTGCCTGTAGACAAATTTCACATTTTTTCTTGTAGCAAGTAATTGCGGTCAGTTGGAAATGTACCAATTACCAAATACCAAATTCCACTGTTCTTTTCAGAACATAGTTACTCAGAAATTATAAACCTGTAAAATTAAGCGTTGCTTTTTTCTCTTTCTTTTGTATGTTTCTGTATTATTATTTATATTGCTCTCCTACTGCGTTTTCGGTAGGAAACACAGCTGAGAAAAAAAGCTAAACTCTCTGCAAATCAGTAAAATGTAAAAACAAAACTAAATGTTTTAAAAATCCAAAATGTCCACTCACCAGCGTTTCCGTCTGTCTTGTGAGCAGCAGCTGAGCCGTCCTCAGTTGCACTCAGATGATTTTCCTGCTCTTGGTTTATTCGAGGTGTCAATAAATTCTCACATCCAAGAAGTCTGACTTCAAGTTTGCCTGAAAAAATTATAAATAAATTTGACTCTCAGTTTACAAGAACACACTAGATTAAATGCGTGTTGCTATCAGTTACAAAAGTAACTACACACAAACTCTGTTGTTACTAAATAATGTGTTTCCAGTATCTGGTAATGAATCTCAGTTTAAGCTGTTGACCAAAATGAACTCAGCGTTTCAAAATAAAACCTTTCATTTGTCAGCATGAATAAATCTCTGTGACTGGAGCCTCTAATCAGTGCTGTCTGGAGCTCTCACATCCTAATTTTCTTCATTTCACTGTAGTGCTAACAGCTGTGGAGCAGAAAATCACCCCGAGTGTTTTCACCGCTCTGAGACCTCGCTCTCATTATTCGCTGCCAACAGAGCAACTCCAGGATTTGTCTCCTCGTTACATCATCAAAGGCCTTTTTTTTTTGCCTTGTGCAGCTACAGAGAGACTGGCTTACAACTGAACCGTCCAGAACCAACAGATTACATGTCCTGATTATCCCCTGCCAGAGGTCAGCCGTATGGTAAATCGTGTTCAAACACTGGCCGTCCATGATACGACTGAGGATGGCTGCTTGTTTAAATCAAAAATACAGGAAAAATTCAACTTGGAGTCGTTTTCTTAGGAAGAAATGTGGTTTTAAAAAATCAATAACCTACGAATCAGGCTGCAAATGAGAGAAAATACTTGACTTGTGAACCTGACAAACCTCAAACTGCCTGAAAATGAATCATGCAGAGAAATCTATTTATATGCACGTTAAATATTTGCAATGCTTCGCACCAGTCAAGGAGGCAGGTCTGATAGAGAAGATGGACGGGGAGGTGGACAGTGGACATCCAGGTCTGGACTGGTGGGGGGACAAGGATCCCTCTGAAGGGTCGATCCCCGCTTCAGGCTCTTGTAGAGGCTCCTGGCTCTTTTCCTTCATGCATTTCTCCAGAGAAAGCCGCAGAAGATCCAGCTTCTGGGAGGACTCCTGCACTCGGGACTGAGCCTGACGGGAAGACAAACATTGTGTTGTTATGTTTGGTCTTCTTAAACATAGTGCTGTTTGGTATTTTGGGATACGGTTAGAGTTCATGAACATGTTTTCCAGATTTTTGCTGTTATTATAATGTCAGATTTTAGCTCCTTTGAGACGGTGAAGGTGCCAGGATCAAAGGCTCAACATGAAACAGTACTGTCAGGGCACATTTTGTGTCTTAAATCAACCTTTACAGATGCAGGATTATTGGTTGCTGTTTGCAAACACGCTGGCCAGCGAACATGACAGCAAAAGCCGACCCAAGATTCACTCTTGCTTGGCATTTCACCTTGCTATATTTGTGTTTGTCCTGTGCTGACTCTGGTGCTTACAGTCTGGCACTTGGTCGCCTCCTTTAGAAAAAGCCCATGTATGTCCCAAAGAGAAAATAAGAAAACACAGGCAGAGCCTCTGCAGAAAAATCAAACTGCCACACACAGGTTGGGTCATGAGTGATTCATAGGTACTTAAACAAACAGCACTACACTGGTGGAAATGTCTTTAATTTCATTAAAATAAAATGTCCTCAACTACTTAGCTAAATGGACTGCACTTGTATGGCACCCTTCTAGTATTCCGACCACTCAAAGCACTTTCACATTACATGTCACATTCACCCATTCACACACTGGTGGCCGAGGCTATCAACGATGGTGCCACTTGCTACTCAGTACTCATTCACACACTCTCACACACCAATGGAGCAGCCATTGTGAGCAACGTGGGGTTCAGGATCTTGCCCAAGGATGCTTCGACATGCAGACTGGATCTTCCACTTGGTAGACAACCCACTCTGCCTCTGAGCCACAGCTGATCTAAAGGCAGATTCAGAGACTTTTCCACCCAGAGAATAACACTTAAATAAAGAATAGTAGGAAAAAAGAGAAGAAAGAAATGTACTTTTTCTGAGACATCTCCTGAGCCAAACCAAATTTAATTTTCTAAAGGTCTTTTTTTAAGCATTTTAGTTATTTCATTTACTTTACTCTTATTTGTCATTGGCGTGTAAGAATGCATGTATTATTATTTATATTACTGTCATATCTATTTTGGATGTACAGTAGCTATTGTAAAGACTAATACTTTCTTTTTTCTTTTGTTTCTATGAGAGTAGCCCAACTGCTGTAAAAGACTATAAGTTAAGAGAGTAATAAAAACATACTTGAATAAGTTTTCGACAAGAAAACAAGCCGGAATTACAGCATCAGCTCCAATCTGTCCTTTAAACCCAATTTTAGACACCTTTCTCTGTAGCTGGAGATTATTCTGCAGTTAACAGTACAAAGAATCAAGTATTCAGTTACAATAAATGAGCTGTCATAGTCAAAGTTTATACAATTTTCCAAACTTGGTCACAATAATTAACCCTGATTTCACACACCTGACTACACCACTGCCAGCCCATATCTATTTCCCAGCACTCTGGCTCCCCTGAGCTGCCTTAAAATAAAAGTGATTGAGAACCCCACCTCAGCCAGTGCCTTCTGGTCCAGCGATGAGATTCCCTCCAGCTGCTTCACCACATCCTTGGCCAGCACCAACGCGTCTGTCTCTCTCTGCATGTAGTGCTGCAGCTCTGCCAAACGAGCATCCACAGCACTGACGGCGAGCGGAGAGATGCCTGAAAGGAAGAGGAAAGTGGAGGCAGAGAGAGAGAGGAGGAGTATTTCAGCGTGAAGGAATTCACTTCAGAGGAGCGATGCACTCTCATAGATCCTCTTTTCATTCCTGCAATAAATATTTATAACACTGAAGTGATCCCCTTTTCTCCAAAATGTCACTGTGCTCCAAGCAAAGGTCTTAACATTACATTATTTAATGTTCCTGGCATTTAGCTGACACTTATCTGAAATGTATGAAAGCTCTAATAGGTGAAATAAAAACGACTGGGGAGGAAAAGCCTTCACCTGTTGCTAAGTTAATATAATGAGGCAGGCACTGTAAATGAAGTGAAGCATTTTGCTCTGAAAAAAAAAATCCTTTTTATTTATTCTTGCTGCTCGGGGCTTTGGAAATATCAACTTCTAAATGTCTAGTTTTAAACATTTGATCCATTTCATCATCGCTTCTCCAGCCTGCAGCAACAGTTTACTGTGGGGAATCTGCACCAGTTAACACTCTCCAGACTGTAAACATTATTAAATGGTTTCTGGATGTTGAATATTTGTATGGGATATGGGGAAAACATTAATTTTGCTCCAAATTTCATATGCATATGCTTACAGGGTGTGAAACTTCACAGTAGCGCTGCTAAAAACAGCAATTATTTAACGTCTAATTTGATTATAAATGTGTTACTTTTCCTCCGTAAAGATGAGATCTGTGAACAAATGTATGTGAACCTGTTTACTTTTGGCATCTGTATTTTGAATTTGCAGTGTCCTGTTAACGTGTTTATATTTCAGGCATTGTGTGCACTTGCTTGGTCATGATTTCTGGAAAGAGACCTTGCTGTTGAGTTTTTTAAATGTATTTTATTTTCTAATTTATTTTTGGTGTTTTGAGCACCACAAACTGAGAGATTACATTAAAACTTAAATTATCAAACAATAAATCGGCGGCTCCATGGATGCATTAAAAGACCTGGACACAGCATTGAAGGTGGAACCCCATTCATTTTAATGAAAGTTGCTGAAAGTAAGAGATTTCTCGGGTGATCAGTGCTGCTTCTACGTACATCACTGGGCCCATAGCTAACAGACTTAGAGTCACTGAGCACGGCCAAGTACAGCCGAGCGCAGCTGGGCAGCCAACTTCTGCTGGCTGAACGGCTAACTTCTGGTTTAGTACTGCGTTACCTCGAATGGGGATAAAATTATTTAATCTTGTGGCTCCTCTGGACTTTCCAAATGTACCAGACTGAATGGATCAAATCTTGATATTAAAACAATATATTTAGCGGGGGTTCTGATGCTCAAAAATATTTATCCACTGATTTCTTTTGTCTCTTTCCTAATGTTAATCAATGGGAAAAATAATTTTTGGGCCTGCTGGCATCATGTGACAGACACCAGAAACTGCAGTATCACTGTTTGGCCACTACAAAAATTGGCTTCAAAGCCCAGCACACTTCCTGTTGGCTACGTGGAAACCCTTCAGTAACTCTGAGGACTCCCTCGCGCAGTGGTTCCCAACTTGTCCAGCAGGGTCCAGATTTCTCCTGAGTCACTAGTTCAACGTCCTTACAGTTTAATACACTCAGCGTCATACTTGCATTTGGCCATGTCACCGAGCTAGTTTGCTGTCTCTTTTAAGGAGCCGTCGGTTAACTCTACAGTAAGAAACAGCACTTCAAAATAAAAGCTCTGTGCTGGAAATTTACTGTACTTAAAAATAAAATGTGTTTTTTACAAACTTGACATGTTTGTGAGTCACTTACGGTCCATTCCACTTTTGGACCACGACCCACCAGTTGGGAGCCACTGCCCTAGCGGTTGCGGACCTCCTGTTGAAGACCTTTTAACTGTCTCTTTAAAAACAATCAGCTGATGCATACACAGTGGACAAACTTCCTGTAACAGTAAAGAGGACTTCAATTCCCTGCAGATCACCACATTACAAAGAATCAAAAAAAGGAAATAAGGGGTCAGGGGTCAGGGAAAGGAAACATGAGCCAAGGAAACAAGGGACAGTGCTCATCGTCTCATATTTCATACTCTTTTGAGCCATTAATAATTTTGTAAGTTTCAGAGTTTTTCAGATGGCACACATCTCCAGTTCAGAGTTAAATGTCACATTTACTCTCGGTCTCTAATAATGCTCTCAGAGTGGTTTCACTTTCCGGATTATACAAATAACACCTACAAAGACGACAGTTGGCAGGAAGCACGCTTCAGCGAATATGGGTTTTTGATACCAGCGCTGATATTTCTGTTGGAACTGAAGGTTTGAACAGGCAATATACAGTTACTCAGCATCACTGAACGTGGCCTTTTTAAAACCAGAAAAGAAAACTGTAGTTTTTCCACAGGAAATACCTTTAAAACATAAAAACATAACTGAAACTCAAAATAGTACATTTTTTTGCAGCTTTTTCCAACATGTTTGGAAGGCAGGAAGCTCTGGGACACATTACTGCTTTTAATTGAACTGAATCAAACTATTTTTAAACCACATTATCTGGGGTAGCATCAGAAGAAAAGAAACAAGATTAAAGGTCCAGTGTGTAGGATTCAGGGGACTGTATCTGCAAAAATATAATATAATAAATATGTTTTCTTTAGTGTCTAACCACCTGACGTCTATGTGTACACAGGGAATGGGTCCTCGTCTAAAGAAATCGCTGTGTTGCACCGCCATGTTTCTAGAATAGCCCTGAACAAAAAAAGGAAAACTGGCTCAAGATAGGACCATTTGCATTTTGGCATTGGCCACTGTTGTTAGCAGCCTCTCCATGACGAGCCGCATTGGAAAAATGCTGATTCTTTAACATGAAACTGCCTTATTCAGTGATTTTACCTGTTAAAATCAACAGATCTTTTTGTTTTGAAGAAGAAGAGACTTCTGCAGATGATTGGGCTCCCAGTAAAAACCTCCTGAATGTCTGTATCTTAAGTTATAAAAGAAAAAAGGTGAGCACATACTAACAAACTACAAACAGTACCAGAAAAACCACAGATTATTAAAACTGCTTTATGTAGTGCTTTTACCGGTTTAAATCACCTTGTCTGTTTGTTTTGGAGAGGAAGAGACCTCTGTGGATAATTCAGTTTCCAGTAAAAACCTCTTCAACAATGAACATTGAAGGAAATTTACGTGGGAGTTCATGATTGGTACAAAGGAGAAGTTTCAGCTGGTTGCAATCTGCAATCCTCACCACTAGATGGCACTAAATCCTTTTATTCCCTCACACTGCTTCTTTATCGATACTGGCAATGTTTGCAAAAGCACTCGAGATAGATCAACAATAACAGTGTGAAAATTAGGCCTTACAGCTGTAATTTCACAAAAGTATTCATGCCCATAAATCTGTCTTAACTCTACCAAGCAGCTCTCAACTCTTTTAACTCTCTGACCCCAAAAAACAAACGTCTCTGTAAGATGTGATCCCCATAACAAAAGGAGGACTTTAACCTCTGACAACGAAATGTCATTGTTAAGCGCAATGAGCTATATTTTCCAGCCATGTAACAAAAATAAATAAACAAAACATGATCTGCGGGGAATGATAGAATTGGTTATCACTATCAGTGTCTCAGTGATTTTTTTACCAGTGCAGAGGCTTGTAGTTTCAAGCCTCAGTCCCCATTATAGTTGTAATGGTTCAATTGTTTTGAGAATAAAAGGCCGGATTTTCTTGCAAAAATGGCATTACAGTTGTATCATCCCAATATGTTGTTATCTAATGATTTCACGTTTAACGAGCCAGCTTACTCCTCAAATTTGGAAAATCTGACTGTAACCAGTAAGACATAAATTGTGTCACGTGTGTTGATGTTTGCTGTAAACAGATGTTTCCGTATCTCTTTCGAGCTTGTTTACACACAAGAATAAGATGGAAACATCCCTAATTTTACATAACAAAAGGAATGTCTCTAAAGTAAAACAAATTCTGATAAAGAAACACCCTCCTGACATCCCCAGTGTCATTCTGTGACCCTCTAACGGAGTCATGGCCCAGGACTCTGACCTCCATGAGTGGAGCTGTTGGGGTTTCCGCCACCATTCCCGCCGCTGCCGCCACTGCTGCTGCCAGCCTGGGTGACTTTGATAATCTGCAGTCGGATCAGCTCGATCTTGGAGCGGCTATCCTGCAGCATCTGCTGAGCTGTGGACAACATCTGATCCTGGATAACGACATCACATCAAGAGACAACAAGCCACACTTCATCACCACGCTTTTCTTTTTTTTCCCCTCCCCTCCTGACAGGTCAGCTGGGACGGGACTGAACACAGCCATGATTTATCATAACAAGTGGCACCACATGAGGGAACCACTAGAGACTGCACACGCAACTCATTTCCATGTTGGACAAAAACAAGTGGCAAAGAAGACACAGGACAAGTGAGGATGACATGAACATGTCAGGTGGAAACAGTATGACTTTGCACTTCACTAACCTCGGAGTGATGCTCTTGCTCCTTGCTGAATAAGGACTAATTTGTCATCCTCTGTGGAGGTGGAGGGGAGGTCTTCTCAGGTTGCGCCTCTCCACCTTCACTATCCTTGAAACACAAGTCCCCTGATGTTATGGTGCGTTCACACACACTCTGACTGAGGGCTCCTCTGATGCGGCTCCTACATCTTGAAACCTGGATCACACAGCTTGTCCTGTTTGTGTTTGCCTCCGTGCAGCATCCTCTGCAACATCCCCTTCCCACTGCATCCTCATCCTCCTCTGCTCTGTAACCAAATCTCTCCCTCTCCCTCCCTCTCTCTGTCTCTGTCTCTTTTAGGGGGGTTTCTTTCTGCGGGGGGATGGCGGAGTTCCTCTCTGGTGCCAGCACTGCTGCTACTGCTGCTGCTGCTGCTACTCTGACAGTGCTGATCGCCTGCTCCAGGCTCGGCATTGGCCGCTGCATGACCACATGTTCCTGTGCTGTCACCAACCAAAAGACACCACAGAGCTGCTGCTGCTGCTGCTGCTGCTCTGTTCGGGACAAGGCAGAGACCAGCCAGCATGCAGTGTTTAGGAGATGTGTTAAACCTGCTCTGACAAGAAGGAGGTGTGAGGGACATTAATAGCCATACTGATTGTAGTCACCATACATCCAGGGAGTGTGGAGTGATGGAGCAGCTGCTGGTGTACTGAACATGATCCTGGACATATAGTTAGATTTACTGACAGCTCTGTGGATGTTCACAAGCCCTGACTTCTTGTCTGCAGCAAACATGACAGCTCTGTTGTTGTTGTTGTCCTCAGCCGTCTGCAGCCCTGACAAATGAAAACAGAGATTGGGGGGGGCTCAGGTTGACAGACTGACTGATTGAAATCCAATAATATACTTGCTCACGGTGGTGGAGGAAGTATTCAGATCCTAAATAAAAGTTCTAAAACCACACAGTAAAAACACTCTGTTACAAGTGAAAAAATTCTGCATTGAAAATGTTACTTAATTATATGTATCATGAAAATGTCATTTAAGTATTAAAAGTAGACTGTGATTGTTAAGATATATTATATTATCAGATTATTATTACTCATGTATTAATGTAAAGGCAGAATTTTTCTGTTGTAGCTGGTTGAGTTGGAGCTCATTTTGAATTTATGTTTTTTATGTCATGGATTAATCTGCTGATTATTTTGTATGGCAAGAAACTATACATACATACATACATACATACATTGTATATATGTATACAACATTATCACAATACTGAAGTCACAGCACAATATTATTGTGATTTTAAATATGTTGCAGTATGCTGAGTATATTATAAATATTCTATTATATTATTAGATTATCATTACAATTATTAATTGCCTAACTGTGAAAGTAGTAAAAGCAGGATTTTACTGTTGTGCTTGGTTGAGGGGGCTCTCTTAAAATCAATGTCCCATGTTTCTGTTACACAATGATATATTACATCATTAGATTATTATAACTGATGCACGTATTAATTGCATTCATGTGAAAGCAGGACTTTACTGTTGTTGTCGTTGGTTGAGGTGGAGCTCAGTTTGTAGTCTTATCTAATGTGAGAAACTACAAACTATCTGGGTGGGAAATGACTTCAGGGACACAGTAAATGATGAAGACCATTTTGAATATTTTATAATTTCATGGGATTTACTTTGCACTGGCAACATGGTAAAATCAGGCAGATCCATGTACTAAAAAATGTCAGCAGAGTAAAAATAAAATAAAATAATTAAAAAACAACAACCTAGTTTTAATGTGTGTGTTTACATAATGAAGGATGCCTCAATTTATAATATAAATCTTTTTTTGTAAATATGACACATTTTAGTAAAGAAAAAATGAATGTCCCTGTTATACTATATCATGAGAGTATGATTACTTATGCACTATGACTTGCATTAATGCAAAAGCAATGAAAGCAGGACTTTACTGCTGTAGCTGGTTGAGGTGGAGCTCATTTTGAACTACTGACTAAGACTTTTTTTATTATTAATTTATCTGGGGATAAACTGATGTATAATCTTATGGCTCATAGTTCTTGTAGAAGTTGATTACTTTGCACATGCATGTACCAAAAAACGTCAGTAGAGTAAAATAAAAGTACTTTTAATGTGCAGAATTGCGTTTATGTGATAAAGTAGGCCTTAATCTGAAAAAATATGAAATGTGAGAAAGTAAAATTAATGTCCCCTGTTCCTTTTATACTATGAAATATCATTAGATTATTATTACTTATGCACTTATTACTTGCATTAATGTGAAAGCAGTTAAAGCAGGACTTTACTGATGTAGTTGGTTGAGGTGTAGCTCATTATCAAGTAGTAACTGTGTGGAAAATGTCTTTAAAAAAAGAAAATAATAATAATAAATAAAATGTACCAAAAAATGTCAGTGGAGTAAAAAAAAAACCTACAGATATTTATTCATAGGTATTTAATTATAAGTATTTTTAATTTGCAGAATTGTAGGCCTTAATCTAATAGAAACCATTTATCATGAATATCTGACACATTTTAAAGAAAATATTAGATAGTAAAATTGATGCCCCATGTCCCTGTTATACTATGAAATATTATATCATTAGATTATTTTTACTTATGCACTTGTTACTTGCATTAATGTGAAAGTAGTAAAGGCAGGACTTTACTGTTGTAGTTGATGTCTATCTATATTTTCATCATAGATTTATCTTTTTTTGGAAAATGACCGATTTATAATGTTACTTTGCACTGGGGACATGGTGAAATCAAACATATGCATGTACCAAAAAAATGAATGTGCAGAAATGTGCGTCTATAAAAAAGCACTGTGTCATAAATATTTAACGCATTGTAAAGACAATATGAGAAAGTAATGTAGGGTGGAAATAATGTTGCTGCATGACATAAATGGCCTATATGGTGTATAATATGGTACATTATGGTATGAAAGAAATACAGCCTACGTAAGCTTCTGGACACAACCTAAAAATAAATGTCGTGTTTATGGGTGTATTTCGTGTGTAAGAGAAACAATTAATCGGGGACAACCTGTGACTAACGGGCTAATTTGCACTGACCAGCAGAATGAGGTTCCTCCTGCCTTCACTGATATTCAGCATCTTTTTTTAAAGTGCGCAAGTGCGAATCGGTCCAACTGAAGGTTTGGCCTGGCCTGAATAAACAGGAATATTTGGGGGGGGATAAATTTAAAAATCGGCTGTGGGATTAATATTAGTGCTAATTTGAGGTTTAGCTCATTTTGGGGGTGATTTTAAGCAGAGAGATAGTAGTAAATCAGCAAATTGGAGCCGAGTAGTGAGACCTACTTTGAGAGGCGGAGCTCGCCTCTTCTCCATTCGGCGAGGCGCGTTCGTAATGAAAGGAGCGCGTGAGCGGCGGTTGCTCTGACTTCCTCGCGGCTCGTCGGCAGCTACATTGTGTGGAAAGCAGCACGTTGTTGGCTTCTGCACGCTCAACTTTACTCTCCTGTTCAAGGAGAAACCAGATTTCAAAGCTACCAGCTATTTTCTCAGACGTCTGTAAGTTACCCCAGCTTGCGAAAACATGTCGGCCTCGGCGGCAAAAGTGAGTAAAAAGGAGCTGAACTCGAACCACGACGGAGCGGACGAAACCTCCGGTAAGAGGGGAGAATGGCGGCCTCCCGTTCACCGCCATTTTCACTTTCTTCTTCTAACATAATTTGCATCGCCATGGGGTGCAATATTGCTTATAATTATTGTGTGTATTGCTTGGATTTTGCTCCGGGGTCCTCTTTGTGGTTGCTGCGTTTGTTCACATTTCGATAAACAGCAGCTAGCTCGCCAGCTAACGCATTTATTAGCATGCCGCTGCTCCTGTGCCTGCTGTTGTTCAGTTCAGCCCGGTGCTGAGAGGCCATGTTAGCTCGTTTATGTAGCATCATCAGCGTGGCCAGTTGTGTCGTTGGCTACTGACCGAGTGGCTGCACGCGATGCTGGAGGATTTTTATCCAGTAATTCTGTTGTAAAATCAACTCAAATTGACTAATGTATCCTTTACATCATTATTAACGTGTGAAATCACCGGAAAAGTTGCCCGTTTCATTTGGGCATTAGCAGTTAGCCAGCTAGTGTTGTTGTTGTAATGTTACCTAACGCTAGCTGACGACGTTATGTTTTGTTACTGGTGAAAATGCATTTAAATCCACCGGCCCTTCAATCAGTTACAATCAGTATTTACTATATTTAGACATCTGGATGGAGGACTGCGCCGTATGAGCCACAGTTTGACAGTTTTGGGGGTCTATTCTGGCATCTGTCCTAGCACGGTCTCTCACGTTATCGCGGCTCTGTGTGTGTCCCACATTTAAACCACGCGGCCTTGTCGGTAGCAGCCGGCAGGAAACGGTGAGTGTCTGAGCCGCTAGAGCTGCAGCCATTGGCCGCTTATGTTACCTTAACCTCCGGGGGAGCCTGTGTATTAATCTGCCATATAGCATGACAACCGCCGTGATTTACCTTTTAACTAACGATGGCTTTAACATAGTAAACACCACAAAATATTGCCAGTAACAAAACACCCCCCTCTTAGAGCTTAATAGTTTTCGGAACTACGATAAACTTACTCGGGGATTTATAAAGCATCTCTCAATATTGCAGAAAATTATATTTCAATACGCCTAGTTTGCATGCATGTACACAATTTTTAATTGATAATAATATGCATGTTTGTTTTTTTTGTTCTTGTCCTGACTCTTAATTCATAAGTTGTACATTTCTTTAGTTACTCATTTATGATTTTTTTCCCCTACAGAGAAAGAGCAGCAAGAAGCTATTGAACACATCGACGAAGTTCAAAATGAAATTGACAGGTACATAAAAAAGTAGGGTTGAGATTTTCTGTCCAGTAGAAAACACAACAGAGATGATGGTGCATGTTTGTGATTTAAGAGAAACCACCTAATGAAGTTAACTGCTGTAACTTCTGATTGGCATGAAAATCTGCAGAAAATCATTCCTCCACAGTGCACTTCTTGGCACCCCTGTCCTCAAATAAATATGATAATTGGATAATTGAAATTCATAACAAATTGGTTTCATGTATTATTTTTCCTGTATAAACAGTAAAAACTGGTTTAATAATTTGTTTTGTAATTTTCCCCCTCAGGTTGAACGAGCAAGCCAGTGAGGAGATCCTCAAAGTAGAACAGAAATACAACAAACTCCGTCAGCCATTCTTTCAGAAGAGGTCAGAACTGATCGCCAAAATCCCCAACTTCTGGGTCACCACGTTTGTCAACCATCCACAAGGTAAACAGTTGAACATATGTTTTTTTTAAATTGCAGAAATTAGGGACATCGCAATAACAAAAGTTAGAATGACTTGGACAGTGACTCAATTTAAAGTTTTGTCTGTGTAATCTGTTCCCCCCTCACAGTATCTGCCCTACTGGGAGAGGAGGATGAAGAAGCACTTCATTACCTGAGCCGAGTGGAGGTGACAGAGTTTGAAGACATCAAGTCAGGCTACAGAATAGATTTTGTAAGTTTGTTTTTTTAATGATGCACACACACATACAACATAGGTGCAAGTTATTTCTTGTCTTCTAACCTTTTTGTCTTTTTCTCTCTCCTAGTATTTCGATGAAAATCCGTACTTCGAAAACAAAGTACTTTCCAAAGAGTTCCATTTGAACGAGAGCGGAGACCCATCTTCAAAGTCAACAGAAATCAAATGGAAATCAGGAAAGGTATGTGTATCTTTGAGTTTGTTTGCTGTCAGTCGAGTAATCCAGAGGGGAGGTTAGACGTGAGGCTTCTCTTCTTACTTGCAACTAGTCAGGTGGCATTCTTATGATCCTCATTTAAAGTGTGCTTTTCAAATTTACATTTTAGCATTTTGTTTACCTTCTTTTTTAAAACACATTCTCTCTGAGCTGCCATGGAAGCTTTGAATCATTACCTAAAAAAAATGTAAACTATTAAAGCATGTGACCTGACTTGACTCAGGATCTTGCACATTGAAAGTTTTCTACAGTTAGACATTTAATGATTTTGTGTGTGTTGTGTAGGACCTGACCAAGCGCTCCAGCCAGACACAGAACAAAGCAGGAAGGAAGAGGCAACATGAAGAGCCAGAGAGCTTCTTCACTTGGTTCACTGATCACGCTGACGCCGGCGCTGATGAGCTCGGGGAGGTCATCAAGGACGACATCTGGCCAAACCCGCTGCAGTACTACCTGGTATGTTTATGGCCATGTTAAATGTATGCTTAGCTGCTTACACTATAAGCAGTTTTTTGGTTTGATTTATATTAATATTATCTGTGTTGTATTAGGGACTTTATCTTTCTGGTAAAATATATTACATCCACCAGGGCAGGAAACTTTCTTTGTAGTCTGGTATAGTTGAAAAACAAAAGTGCTAAAAGTGCTTCTTATCTCCAGGTTCCTGACATGGATGACGAAGAGGGTGAAGGTGAGGACGATGAAGAGGACGAGGAGGCTCTGGAGGACATAGACGAAGAGGGAGATGAAGATGGAGAGGAGGACGAAGAAGACGACGGCGAAGATGGAGAGGTAAAGAGAGAAAGTCAAACATGTGTTGGTTTAAAGTAGTTTGTTCTCAACACTCGCTGATCGTTCTGAAATCTTGTTCTTTCAGGATGACGAGGGAGAGGACGACTAAAAAAAAAAAATAACATCATCTACCCAGACCCTCAACCTTCTATTCCCTGTTTGATTTTTCCACTCACTTTCGGGAGCAAAGGTTTTAATTTTCTTTTCTTTTCTTTTTTTTTTTTTTTTTTACTTTTTTTTAATTATTATTATTATTATTATCCGTGTGTGCTTCATTTTCCATTCTGAAGCCTCTTCACCTTGTCGGTGCCATGTTGTTTCCTTTGACTCATCTAAGGCCAATGGCACTTTGCCCTGAATTGTGAGTACCATCCCCAAAGTCATCTCAAAAATAATAATTAAAAAAAAAAGTATAAAAATAGAATCAGCACGGCATCCTGAGTAGAATTTGAAGACAATTCACACAGAATTCCTCCTGTTAAAGGTTGTGTGGTAAATTGACTTAAAGCCATGGTGTAGTGACCCAGCGCTAGTTGACCTCTTCAATTTTTTTCCCCCATATATTTTTTTTCAGTTGGGGTGTTGATCTCTTGAAAAATGTTATTTTTCCCCTATGTGGTTAACGAGTACCAGCTCATTCCTTTGACTTGTAATGTTTAGGGGGCGGGGGGTGGGGTAAGCTGGGGAGGGGCAGGAGTATGTTGGTTATCGGGGAGAGTGGTTATTTTGACACCATTTCTATGGGACTTTTTTTTTTTTTTTTCATTGTATTGTTTTACAGATATCCATGAGATTTGAAATGACATTTTTAATAAAGAACAAAATGGAAAAAAAAAACAAGCTTGTAAATTTTGGCCCCCACTGCTTCATGGGTAAAATAATAAAAAAAAAAAGACCTGTTATCTCATAGAAGTCACATTTAATCACCTTTCCTTTTCCGCTGGGGGGAAAAGAAACTGTTTTAAATTTGAGGTGTAAAACTTGCTTTGTTACAATAATAAAACTTACTGTGTTTACATGTGGGTGCATAGAAATTTATTTTAAAAAATAGATTTAGGTAGCAGCAAAGGCACCTGGGTTAACTGTACAGTCAAATGGTCCCATCAGCTCATGAAGGATTTTGGAGTCATTAGCAGGCTTGAGGCAAAATCTTCTCGTAGTAGACGATGGGTGATTAAAGCCAGGAAGGTGTGCGCGGACTCGTCAAATTTCGTTTTTGTGATGGTGTCCGGCCAGTCGCTGGGCTGGAAGGCCCAACCTGGAGTGAGGGGGGGGAAATAAGTTTTCTGAGAGACAAATGGGCATCAGAATATAAAATATAACATTGATTCAAGTGCGTTGGAACTGTACAGGTGTAGTCTAAGAGTCTCAGTGTGCTTAGGAGCTGTTAACAAGATATCAAATATGAGATTATAATTCCTGATAGTAAATCATGGCAGAGGTTTTCCAGAAATATTGGACTTAGAATTGAAGTTTTTATCTGCCCCCAAATTAAGATTTACTTGACTTAATCTTGGCTGTAAAGTGTGGCACAGACACAAGTAAAACTACTTTGAAGTTACTAAAATGTGTCCAACTAAAGGTTTTTTTTTTTGGTAATTTAATTTTCAGAATTGCTCCCTAATAGAGACAGGCAGTCAAACGATCTCTTCAAGTCTTTATTATAAGACTTTATGAAACGAATGCATGTATTTTTTAAGAAGTTAGGAGTATGCAAAACAATTCAGCCATAAGACCTGTTATACAAGATAATAATTACCCTTTATAATGCCATAAACACTGATTTATTAAAGGGTGACTGACTTTCTGGAGTTACACTCCACATAGCCTTAATTATGATATAAATTCTGAGTATTACAGGATTAAGATCTTAATGTTGACAGTGACAAAAACTTAAAACAGTTGCATAACATTGTTTATTGGTAATATGGGTGCAATCTTACAGGACACATGCTGAAACTGCTCCCGGCAATAACTGGTTTGATGTCGCAGATTTTTAAGTAAACCCTGCTGCACCATTACAGGTTGGTACCCACCTAAATGAGTCTTACACCGCGGACAGGTGGCCACAGTCCATGCGAACCCCGGGAACCAGGAGAAGTGTTTATCTGCCGGCCAGTGCTGGGTAACGTCCGCTTTCCTGAAGGTAATCACCTCAAACTGGTGTCCGTGGGGGTTTTCGAAAAGCTGGATGTTAACCTTTCGGCCCCCGATGGACGTGTCGTTGCGGCTGGAGAGCGCCAGCTGGCTGGGGACGAAGTGGATGTCCGCGCCGACCGCCAGCTCGTGCCCGCACGCCCTGCACAGTATCAGGGTGGCGACGCTGCTGGTCGCCCCCTCCTCCGCCGCGGCAGCACACCCCTCAACTGGCTGGTACGCGGCGGGATAAAACAGCAACACAAAGGAAATATACTGCATTATAATTATTAACGTCTCCAGCTGCTTCACCAGCCGCCACAGGCTCCACTGGTGCATCATCGCCGCCTCGCACGCACATGGAAGGCTAATCTCAAACTAGCTAGCTGCTAGCTGTTTTTAGCTGAGGTGAGCTAACATCGATCAGTGCCGTTTGATTATCGAATACCAATCAATAGTGCGTCAGATTTGCCCCTTACGTATGTTAACTCGGACAGGAAGTACGAATCTGCAGTGTAAACACACAAGTATACGGTGATTAGTGAACTTAAGAAGCTGCTAGCCAGTAACGTGTTCGTTAGCTCGATGCTAACTTTTGGGCGGAATTGTTGATATCACAACCATTTCCTTCTCAAACTTTTGGGCGGAAGTGCCGTCATCCCGACCATTTCCTTCTCTAAAACTGCGCACACAGAAACAACAAAAAAATGAAAAACTTTAGTTAACTTCAGTTAAGTTAGAATTAGTTACGTTCAAAGAGAAGTTATATCAGTTATGTCAGTTAATTAATTTAATTTAAAGAAGTAGATCCCTCTGTCACCACCATTTTGGGCTTCATAAAACTTTTTTGTCAAGAGAAAGAGGAGTGGGGGAAGTATTTAGATCCGTGACTTAAGTAAAAATACTAATGAAAAGTAAAAGTATAAACTCCGCATTAAAATGTTACTTAAGTAGAAGCATGTAATCAGAAAAACATGTTTAATGTAATAAAAGAAACTACTTAATGCAGTAAAATGTCTCCATAGGCTACTGCTCGATAAAAATATTAACCCTTAAATTATTATTACTCATTCATTAATGTAAAAGCAGGATTTCACTGTTGTAGCTGATTGTGGAGCTCATTTTGAAATATTAACATGATTATTTTCATTATGGACTAATTTGTTGATTTTTTTTCTCCAGTAATATATTGTTTACATTGTATTTTGTTTATTTAATTATTTATTCTTGGATTTTAAATTATTTCAAATATTTGTTAGGATTGTGAGACTGAAAATAGTGACAAAATACCGCCACAGTGACCCAGAGCCCTAAATAATAATAATAATCATAAAAAAAAAATACATTTTATTTAAAAGGCCTTACTAAGTATAAAATAACATGCAGAACAAGACACTTTCACAGTTTGTTTTTCCAACTAACTGTACAAACCTTATTGTCATTACAAATGAATTTAAAATATTAAAATAATTACAAGGAAAAGCAGCTTATCATAACATTTACGAAGCTGAAATCATGAATTGCTTTTACATAAAAAATATATTTATTTAATTTCTGTCAATTGATTATCGTAATTGATTTATTGTCTAATCATTTCAGCTGTGGGCTAACGTTACTTGTATAAGCAGTTGGGCAGTTTAATTTATGACAAACTATTTTACAAGTTATTGGTATGTTTTGTGTGCAAAAAATCTTAATTTTCAGAGTAACTAAAGCTGTCGAATAAATGTAAAAATACAATATTTACCTTACAGATGTAGTGTAGTGTTGTTAGAGGGCGAAAGTGGTATTAAAAGAAACTACTCAAAGTAAAACCACCTCAAATTTGTATTTAAATGCAGTACTTGAGTAAATATACTTTGTTACATTGAGAAAAGGGGAAAATAAGACACAAATAATACAATTAATTAAGAAAATAGTTGGTTAAACAGTAGTTTGTAAAGAGATAAACCTATCAATAGATTTTAACGGTTGTTTAAACACCCCCGTTACTTTCAATGGTTACCACGGGCAACGCTGACTGTTCACTCGCCTCCACCAATCACAGAGCGAGATATTGCAAACGGGCCAATCAGGGCGCTTCTTTGTCAGTCCAAACAACCGTCCGCTCCACAGAGAGGCGTCGAGATTTATGAAGGAAACATGAAGCTAACTTAGCATGTTAGCACTTAAAACTACCGTTAAGCTTTTTAAATACTAGTTTAATGGGGTCCGGGTTGATCCTAAACTCGGTCTGAATGTTGTTGTGACGTCTCGAAGGAATGAAGACCCGGGATTCACCGCCGCCACCGGTTCACGTCCACGTACCGGAGACCACACCTGTGCATGTTCATATGAGGAGGAGTCCCAGCAAGACACCGCAGGTTATTATAACGTTACTGCTTTATTAAACTGATAAAGACAAGTTGATGTTATTGTAGGCCACTGTTTCAACTCTAGTACATGCATGGTGATCAAAGTTTAAATTTCCTAAATGCATACTGCAGTATTTTTGTATTTTATAGCAAATATGTTAAATTAATAGTGTCAAAAGAAGTACCCACAACTTCTACTTAAGTAAAAGTAGCGATACAAGAGTGTAGAAATACTCTGTTACAAGATAAGGTATTGGCATCAAAAGATACCTAAAGTACCAAAAATAAAAACGTACTCATAATGCAGAATTAGCCATTTAATAATAATGTATATTGTGTTCATCACTGTTATGTTCCAGCGGGTAAAAGTTGAGCTATTTTTATTAATTTAATTTTTTTTTTTTTTTTTTTAAATTTATTTGTATCTGCTGGGTAGGTTGCGAATTCCCCACAGAGATCAGTAACATTTTATTTAAATACATAATTTTACATCATGATTATTTTGTTTATTATATTTTTATTATATTTTTTAATAGAATAAATGAGTTGAAACAAAGTACAAATATAAATCAATTTAAAAAATGATCTAAAATGATATTGTTGGCAGATGTAAAGATGAGGAAAGGTTGTGTTAGGGGAGTGAGTGTATATTTATTTTCTAACACTGGGTGGTTCTTGCACTGTAAATAATATGGGTTTATTACTTCTTTATTTAATTGGGTGGTAAATAGACTGGGGATAGTTGTATATTAGTTGTAAATAAATTTGGGAACTTGTTGAAATAATATGAGTTAAAAGAAGAAATGTAAGAAAGGAGTAGGGACATATAAGTTTTAATTCTACCTACTCCTTTTTGGACACTGTTATCTTTGTCTTATTTGATTTCTTTTTATGTTGGTCTGAAATAAAGTCATTTATACATTCATAAAAAAGTACTCATATTGCAGAATTAGCCATTTAAGAATAATGTATGTTGTTATTATTATTATTATTATGCATACATGAGTTCATCATGTTGCAGCTGGTAAAAGTGGAGCTATTTTTATTACTTTATATACTTAATCTGCAGGGTAGGTTGTGAATTCCCCCAGAGATCAGTAACATTTTATCTAGATATATCATTTTACATCATGACTAATTTGTTTATAATATTTTTTAGTATTAATTTGATTCTGCAAAGTTGTCAGATAAATGAAGTGGACTAAAGAACACAATATTTGCCTCTGACATGTGGTGGAGTAGAGGTGTAAAGAGGCAGAAAATGCCCAGGCAAAGTACAAGTACCATAAAATTGTACTGCACTATTTAAACTAATGTGTAAAAGTCACTTTTCCACCAGTTTTTAAAGAGTTTAAAGTTAAAAAGACTGAACTACTAATTTATTATGAACTCTAATGTGTTTCCTTTTCTGCAGAGTAGAACAAAAGATGCCCAGGTGAAGGGAGACGGGGGGAGGCCAAAGGTGCGGACGCCGTGGATTCCTCCAGGAAGACTGTCCTGCAGGAGAGATGTGGGCTCGTACAAGTGCCAGGTCTCTTTTTAGTGTTTATCTCTCGCTGCAGTGTTTTCAGTGAGTGCCAAATAATAATACATATGCTGGAAAATTAGTTTAATTATGGAGAGGAAGGGATTCTCCGACAGGGATTTTCTTCCCATGACAGAATAGACAGGTTTGTGCTGAAACAAAAAAATTTAAGAAGAACAGAGTAAGAAGTAATAATTACATTTCATGGACTAAAGATAGTTGGTATTCATTTAAAGCTGTCGTTGCAAAGCAGAGATTTGACCCCTGTGAGAAACCAAGGACTAAGATTATGGATGGAGAATCACCGAAGGCAGTAAATGCTGCTGCAGTGCTTTAGCTGTATGATTTGACAATTAAATAAGCACAAAAACATGATGAAAACACTTAAGCTCCTGTTTTGATTGCAGATATGACAGATATTTATTGTTTTAAGCACAGCCCTGTTGCACATTATATTGTGAGTTGTGTTTGTTTGTGTCCTATGACCAGAGAAGCAGATTGGAGCATCGATCAGAACGTGATGAAGAGGAACAGGAACAAGAGCTGGCTGCTGTATCCAAAAACCTCAGTGTCCTACTCAGAGAACAAGACAGCACTCAGCATTTAAAGAAGTAAGTAGTGGAAGTGGGCTGCCGGGGCTTTGCTGGGCGCTCAATCTGTAAAGCACTGACAGGGCTAGGTGTAGCTGAAGCGGCAATGAGGGGGGCCATACAAACCATTACTGAAGCTGCAGATAAAGAGGGCGAGCCTCTGGATTGCTGCTGCTGGGGTGCAATCCAGGACTCCATCAAGCCCGGATGGGTCACTTGGATGAGGGGGTCTGATGTTGAAAGACCCGATACAATGGAAAATCCAATTTGCATTTAGCACAGGGAACCAGGCTGATGCTAACTTCCACTGACCTGCAAAAAAAACATCCCTGCAACACTGCAACCACTGAGTAGATTGCAGAGGGCCCAAAGAAAACCAGACAAACCAAATATCTAGAGCCCAGTTTCAACATTATGTCTCAACAATTCAAAATCTAAGTTCACACAGTATCTCCTCTGTTAAGCAACACAGTGGGGACATCGACTAAATGGGAGTTTGAATCATTCCCTCCATCTTCTCATGGAAACTATTTCAGATATAAATAATACATTTGGTGTCTGAATTCTACAGTTTTTATTTAAAATAGTTATTAAAAGAAGAGTAGAAGAGTACAAACATAACAGCTGAGTCATAGCGTTTGAGCAGTAGTGTATATGCACACTTTTTGTCCCTCATGCCTACAGGTCTGATTCTCAAGGTCAGCACAGAGAGACAGATGTGCTCCTGAGGGCGCTCGTAGAAGCAGAAATCGATGGCGTAGCTGTAGCTAATCAGCTGACAGCTGTGAAGGAAACTATCGACAGCTTTGCTAAGGTAAATCTGAAAGGATCAATGAAGGATGAACGAGTGGAGGAGGACTTATTTTTGTGCATGATCATGTTTTTATTTATTCACCTATTTGTTTTAGGACAAGCGTCTGTCAAAGTTGCACGCAGCTTCACTGGCACGACAGCAGGAGATGTTGCTGGAGAAGATCGAGATGTTTGACCACACGAATCACAGCCTGCGAGAGCTCCTCAGAGAGTGGAGTGGCTACGAGGTACAGTAAATAGAAGGTAAAGTCAAGGAGAATCAAATGTGCAGTGTTCCTTTTCTGACTGGCTGTGTTGTTGCGTCCACAGAGAGAATCACTGATGTGGTTAGAACAGAAAGACGCCATAAAGAAGAGACTGACTGACAGTGAAGCAGAGAACATTGTGAGTAATTATCACCTGGTCACGTGCAGCACTGCATCATCAGCCATCAGACAGCTGAGGAGATGTGTCTTGTTCTTCTTCTTCTCTTACAGAGACTGTTAGCCAAACTCACCAACAAGGAGAAAGAGGCCTCTAAACTTGCTGAGCATTTGGACTTTGAAAAGGTTTGAAACTTATCTTTAGATCTGTGCAACTACAACACTGGCTCACACAAGGTTTATATCTCCCACACACCGTTTAAAGGGATAGTTTGGATTTTTTTAAGCGGGGTTGTATGAGGTACTTATCCATTATCAGTGTAATACTTACAGTAGATGGTGATCGGCATGCCTCGTGTTTGTAGAAGCCAGCAGGAGTACCACCACAGAAGCTCAGCAATGTACTGCCGTGGACAGGGCAGCAGCAAAACGTATTTTAGCCTCCTAAAATAATCAGTATCAGTTTAGATGTATGCAGTATTTAGAATATTTTTACCACTTTACCATGCTGTCAGACAGCCCCTTCCAATGAGGACTGAAGCTGTTATCACCTCAAAGCCACCAGACTCCTTTGACAAAAACAGCAATTTTACCTCACAGAACACGAAAGCTGCTGGTCCACTGCTGCCTTGATCAGTTTAGGCCTGCTTCCACTGAAGAAGTTCCTGGTACTATTTGGGGGGCAGGAACTACTACAGGAACGTCCTCTCGCTCGGCCCTCTCAACCGCTGTGTCTCCACTGAGAGAGCGGAGTAGGAGGAAGGTTCCTGTAAAGTTACGGGCTCTGGATGTGACGTAATCGTTGCTCGACCATTTACTGGGGCGACGTAGGGACGCCGTTAGCTGATAGCCCTTAGCGGTGTCTGTAATAACTCACTAAATGGCCTGTGAAAAAAAAAATTCCAGCGGATGTCTTAGTTACAACATGATTGAGCTAACTGGAGTAGTTTCATGTCGTATCCGACAACGGGAGGCTTTTAACAGGTGACGTCCTGATGTTAGCCTGCTGTTAGCTGTCCTTGTCAGCTGCAGCCACTGATGCTTTCTAGACATTGTGATTTCCCAAAACTGAATAAATACCACACATAGCAACACAAAACTGCTTTGCTAGCTCAATCATGTTGTAACTAAGATATCCGCTAGAAAGAATATTTTTTTCATGGGCCATTTAGTGAGTTTTTTTTACATGGCGGAGGAAGCTATATGAACGAGCTAACCCTCGTCTGCTGAGTTTTAAAAATGCCGGCTATTTTGTTGCTTTCTGTTGACATCACATCCCTCCTTGAGTATATCCAATCAGCACCAAGTAAACCCCCAAGCCCCAGCCAGGAGTCTTTCGGGGCCGTTCTGAGTACCTACCCCGAGGCAGGGACTTGTTTAGCCCCTGTAAAAGTTCCGGAATTCTGTCCTTCGGTGGTTGTTCCTGCGGTGGAGACATGCACCAATGGCCCCTGCCCCGTAAAATTACCCCGAAGTTCCTGCGGTGGAAACGGGCCTTTTGTCTGTGTAATTGAGTAACTTTGGTGTTTTAAAGATTTCCCACAGTCATGACCTTCCTGGAAAAGTTAGGAAATTAGAAAAACAGTTTTCTAGGCCTGGAAATAATTTGGAGTTAACAGAATGTTTTGGAGAAGTTTTAAATAAACATTGTTTTGGCAATTGTTTAAAATATTCTCCTAAATACTCATTTAAAATCTAGTGCTGCGCTGCGTGACTGTTGAAACATCACCAGTATCACTTGATACACATCGGTCAATGAAGCTAGTTGACGACAGGATTGTCTAACAAGCAAGTAAAGTTGGAAATGGGATAGAATATGATGGAAAAAGTTTTGAAAATTCATCATTGAAAATGTGTGGTAACCCTGGGGTTAGCCTGGACTCACCAAAGTCACACAATAACACAAACAAAATAACTGATTGAGGCAGCAGTAGACCAGTGTTAATGTCTTCAGTGGGGTAAAATGACTTTGAAGAGAGAGCGCAGATTACGGCTTCAGTTCCCTGTCAAAAAGGGCTGTCTGATGATGAAATATTCTAATATAACGTACGCTTAAACTGGGGTACTCCTGCCAGCTTCTTCAAATTGGAGGCGTGCAAACTGACATCTACTGTAGGTTATACACTGACTAGGGATAAGTACCTCACACAATCCCACTTCAAAGCATCCAAATGATCCCTTCAAGGTTCAGGTGTTTACACTGTTTACTGCTTCTTTTTGTCATGGCAGGACAACGCAAAGACGACAGGGGAGCTTTCAAGAATCCTGCAGTCTACACGCGACCATCTGGAATCTGAGCTGAAGAGAACAGAGGCTGAAAAGGTCCACCTGGCTGCTCAGGCTCAGGTCTGTGAACGGAAAACACGACACAAAAATATGACCTGTGACTCGTGTGTTAGCCAGTTGAAGCTCAAGAAGATTGCAGTAGGTAGTGGAGGAGTAGATAAAGTTCTGCACATCCTTTTTATTAGTTGTTCATATGTAGTGAATGATGCAGACCACCTTATTTGACCCCGAGCTTTTCATCACTTTCAACCTGTCAGAGCAGCATATAAGAGCCTTCATTGCCCTTTAAACCAGACAGAGGAAGAGGAAGGATTCAGATCCTTTACTCAAGTTGAAGTACCAATACCACACTGTAAAAATACTCTTACAAACAAAAGTCCTGTCATGAAAATGTCACTAAGTAAGTGCAGACACATGAATGCCAATCACTCTCACATTTTGGGTCCAAATATTTAAATATTTTGGAGAAAAATATGTTCAGTTATTAAGATTTGGGGTATGAAATACCTATTGATGTCAAGGTCTTGTATTACGCTGCAATAAGAGAAGATGTGATAAATTTTAAAAAATGGTATCTGTGTAAAACACTGTTTACTGCCAGCAAGATAGTGATTACAAAGAACTGGTGCAAAGACATAATCAAGGAGATCTTTATAATGGAGAAGATGACTTTTTCCCTGAGGTCAAGAGGAGCAATATTCCTCAGAAAATGGGAGAAATGGACTGTCTTCATTTCTGAAGACACGGACGCAGCTTCACCGTGAATGTCTGGACAATAAAAGAACATTTAACACATGGACTCAGGACTACTTGGGCACTGGTGTGCCCCTATACAGTGTTCTCTATGGTGTTTATGTTGTGTCTAAGCATCTAAGAATACTTTAAATAAAGAGTTAAAAAAAGAAAATGTCACTAAGTAGCATGTATGTGTAACCAGGAAATAGATTTAAATAATTAAAAGAAAAAACAGCAAATTGTCACATCTGTGAAGCTGAAACCATGGATCCTTTGACATTTTATCATGAGAAATGACTTTAACTATGAGCAAAATAGTTGCTTATTAATTCAATAAGTTAATTGACTAATCGATAAATCAACTAGTTAGTTTAGCTGTACTTGTATAAACTGCTGGGTAGTTTCATTTTAGAATCTTTTTGTATATTATGTGTGCAAAAATCTTAATTTGCGAAGTAACAAAAGTACAGATAATTGGGGGGAAGTAAAAATTAAAAGATACTTCCACCTCAGATGTCGTGGAATAGAATTAGAAAGTGGCATTAAAACTAAGTACAAGTACTTATATTTGTACTCAAGTACAGTACTTGAGTACTTGTACTTTCAGCGCTGAAACCTGATGTGTGAATATCTGTTTCCTCATCTGTGTGTGGAGCAGAGGATGCAGCAGATTCAGGAGCAGCAGCAGGAGGAGCTGCAGGCTTTGCAGGAGGAGCTACAGACTCTGAGGCAGCGGAGAGAAGAGGAGGAGAAGGAGGAGCAGAGGCGGCAAGACCAGGAGGCGCTGGTCATGCTGACCCAGCAGGCCGAGCGAGCCGAAGAGTCCGCCAGGCAGCTCGCTGTGAAACTGCAGGAGAAGGTCAGTATTCAGAGGGACCATACATCCACACCGTGATGTCTGAAAATATCAGAGTGGTGCATCAAGCATCAGAAAATACAAGCAGCATCTCTTTCTATAAATCCCCAGGATGATCCGCAGAGCTCTCTGCAGCGTATCCTGCATGCAAATGAGTTTTCTCACTGGTGGCGGTGTCTTGTTGTCTGATCACATGCTTTTATGCAAATCGAGTTCAAAGGAAGTTCAGCCAGCCTCCTGGTTCAGTAGAAATACCCCGGTGAAACACACACAGGCCAAAGTCTGAGGCCAGCACGGCTGCAACTAACGATTATTTTAGTATCGATTAATCTGCCCATTATTTTCTCAATTAATCGATTTGTCAATAAAATGTCAGAAAATAATGAAACATGCCCTCCTGTGTAGTTTCAGAGCTCAATGTGACATCTTCAAATGATATGTTTAATCTGATCAACAGTCCAAAAATTACCTTTTGTCAAGATTCTCAGAACACTTATCTGCAATATAAATGTGTTCCAGCTATGAAATAAAGGCTAAAATATGAACAATAATGATTTGACAACATTTGTATTTTGTTGAAGGAATCCCAGTTGGCTCAGGCTCTGTCCACATCCAGTGACTGGTGCCTCCGTCACTCTAAAGAGATGGCAGCTAAAGGACAGCTGGAGGAGGAAATCTCTGTTCTCAAACTGTGAGTATGTGTGAGGAGACACATTTAAGCCCTGTTTCCACCGAACAGTACAGTTTAGTATGTCATTTTTCCGTCTCCACAGTAAAAGTTGTGGATGGTACCAGCAGAAGCGTTCCTTAGCGTCCCCATGTTTGGTCCCCCCTCTGTTGGGGTACCTAGCACACTGATCTGGTACTAAAAGGTGGAGCTGTGAACACTGCAGTCTGATTGGTCAGTAGAGGACGGTCACTCTGCTCAGGGCTGAGTTGTGTCTGGTTTTGAGGCTCATGTAACCACTGTTCATACTGTGGAGAGTTTTATTAGTAGACTGTAAGTAAAATAATTAAAAAATGATAAAGTAATAATATAATTAATTGGACCGACTGCCGGAGACTTTTAAGGTGGAATGTTAACTTGTAATGTTGTAATGTCAAGTTTAAATGACAGTGTTACTGTGACTACAACATGACACAGTGTTGACGTACCTGTTTCCTTTACAGTCAGGTGTCCGAGCTGAACTCTCAGCTTCATTCAGCGGAGGAGAGGATTCGGACAGAGAGGGAGGAGCTCAGAGAGCAGCTTCATCATTTCAGTGCTGAAAACGCCTCCATCAAGCTGGACAACCAACGACTCAAGGTATCTTCAATAACCTACAACAGTACTTTAAATCTGCATGAAACTGCTTTATTCAGTGTTTTTACCGGTTTAAATCACCGGGTCCATTTGTTCTGGTAAAGAAGAGGACCTTTGCAGACAATTCAGCCTCCGTTAAAAACTTCCTGAACATCTGGATCTTGAGTAAAAGCCTCTTGAATGATGAATACTGAAGGAAATGGCAGAAACTGACTGTACTGACGGCACTGCTCTGTGTGTTCTTATTGTTTGACAGTGGCAAGACAACTGTTGTCTATGTTATAATAGCTGTCTGTTCCCAAATCTTTATCACATCAAAATGTGTTTTATTTAATTTTGCAGCTTTTACAAGTAATTTTCTAACAAAAGTGTGACAATGTTTTGACATCTTCTTCTTCTACTGTTTCATGATTTCTGTGCACTAAATGAAATGTGTTTCAGTGGCATTTATCATAAACATACATTATGTTTAGGGTCAGCTGACGTCCTCTGAGGAGAAGCTCAGTGGTCTGCAGTCTGAAGCCCGACGCCTGAAATCGTCGATCAAAAAGCACGAAAACCTGGTGGAGAAATACAAGAAGAAGGTACAGTCACACTCTCAGATTAAAATATATATAACAGTAAATAAAGGAGTTAAAATGTGTTTCCCTTTTCTAAATTTGGAGGTTTTTATCGAGTCCGTGAACATGGCACAGGCGGAGCAGCAGTTTGTGGAGTTTTCTGTTGTGGGATGGATAATTGTTCAGTCATTCTGATCAGAGCTGATCAGATAGATGGATAAGAGGAGCAGCTGTTTGTGAGTGAGAGCAGACTTTTAGACCCAGCGCGATGAACGATTAATTTTCACTTTATCAGCACCTGGTGTTCTGCTGCTCCATCTGTGCCCAGAGTGAGTATGCTGTGCACAAAATAGGTGAACACACATTAGTAGGTGCCGGGTTAGTGGCTCGTCTCCGGCATGCCAAACAGTGTAGGAGAAATACTGATTTGTAACATGGAGCGGAAGAGACCTCTATGGATAATTCAGCTCCCAGTTAAAACCTCTAAAAGAATCTAAATACTTTATCCATCACTGTATAATTGCAAAATGGATGTGGAGACAAAACGATTTCTGCAACCATGTCTTGGGTAAAGAATATACTTGTGTCACAACCCCCCATAAAATCTAATCTCCTCACTGAAACACGTCAGACACTAGAACATGTTGAAGTTACCTGTGTTATCTAGTGACTCCATACTTCTCTGTGCAGGTCCAGCAGGTTCGTCTGGAATCAGATGAGTACTGCCTGAAGCTGGAGGCAACACAGAAGGAGGCGCGGGAGGTGAAGGTGAGTCTGGAGAGGGAGACGGAGCAGGTGAGGAGGGAGCTGTTGGGCCGGATCAGGGAGCTTGAGACGCTGCCCGACAGGCTGAGGAGGACCGAGCAGCAGCTCAGAGATGCCCAGCAGGAGGCCGACATCCATGAGAGGAGGAACATGGAGCACGGCTCAGCCCTGTCTGAAGTCAGACACAAGGTACTCAAGACACACCGATCAGCCACAATATTAAAACCACTGACAGGTGAAATGATACCATTGATTATCTTGTTACGTTACAATGTCCTACTGGGGAACCTTGAGTCCTGGTGTAAATGTGGAAGCCACCTGACATGCACCACCCGCCCAAACACTGATGCAGACCAGTACGCCCCCTCATAGCAACGAGAATGCAACATGCTTCACCACAAAAGCTTCTCAGGAATGGCCAGAGGAACGCGACAAAGAGCTCAAGGCATTGGCCTGTTCTCCAGTTTCCCCAGATCCCTGTCTGATCGGCATCTGAGGGACATGACAATACCCCAGAGGTCCTGTGTCCATGCCTGGACAGGTCAGAGGCCCACCATGGATCAGACTTGGCTCTGAGCTGTTGAGGTATGGATACAGCACCACTGGGGGTGTCCTGTGGTGTCTGGCACCAGAGTGTAGGTGGCCACAGATGCTCGATCTGATTGGGATCTTGGGATTTAGGAGGCCAGGTTGACTCCTTGAGCCCTGTCCTTCCTGAACAGTTTTTGTGGTGTGGCATGGTGAATTGTCCTGCTGGGGGGGGGCAGCACCTTCATGGAGTGACATGCCATGAGGAGGGGTACTCGGTCTGTAACGGTGTTTGGGTGGGTGGAGTGCATCCAGTGACATTCACATGAATGCATGAGGACCCAAGGTTTCCCAACAGAATGTTGCATTGTAAAGAAATGATCAATGATATTCACTTAGCTGTCAACTTAACATAGCTTCAATATGCGTTGATGTGTGACAGCGTCATGTGTACCCTCACGTACATTTCGTCATTGTCTCCCTGGGTTTGTCTCTCCCTTCATGTATGCCCACTAGCTGGAATTATATTTGAATAGAGTTTGAATCTGATTTGCAAGCGGGCAAGAAAAAAAACTTGTTTTATGGGTCCTTGAAAAGTCATGGAAAAGTTTGGAAATTTGTCCATGCAAATGTGTGGGAGCCCTGTTGTGGAGCCTCACTGGCTTCCTGCTGTGAAAGGTGGTGAAGGATTTCCCTTCATCTGTGCTCCCTTTAAATAAAAACTGTTGCAGTCTGCCTTTATTGGCATTCTAGCATACAAAGTCTATTAAGACACAAAAAAATGTGTGCTGGTGAACTTGATATGAAATATAATCCAACCTCGTTACCATCTTGTCATTCTTGATACGACCACTAGATGGTGCCAAAGTGTATTATTGACTGACTTAATGAGAAATCCTCAATCTACAAATCTGTAAATATCGACAAATCCTCCCACAAATCGTTCCTCCATACTTCCTAATTTAGTTCAACCAGAGAGAGTTCATTGGCTGCAATAATGCAGGATGAATGCATGGAAGTAGGTTTCTTACTTAGCGATTATTTGAAAGCAGAGATTTCAGAAGTGACAGAAAATAAAAGGAGAGACAAGAGATGTTACAAGAGTTACAAGCTGGACTCATACTGGGGATGTTGCTGTTATATGACCAGTGATTTAGACCTCGAGGCCGCCACAACGCCACATATAGGTTCATTTCTGTCATTACTCATTGTGTTACATCACAGGTGGAACAGCAAGGCACTCAGCTGGAGACGTTCCAGCAGAGGAACCTGCTGCTGCAGGAGGAGAACAACTTCCTCAAAGAGAAGATTCACAACTTGGAGAGGTACAGACACTTACATTACAATCTGTGGAAAATAGATGGATACAGTTTCAAGACAAAAGTATCACTTGTTCACATTTGCGCAAAACACAGAAATGGTTTCTAAACATTTTTCCAAACTGCAGCTGTAGATTTCCTGTGTCGTCTGTTGCAGGAGGCTGGAGGACATGATGGTGGAAAATGAAGACATGTCTCAGGCTGTCCTGTCAAAGGACAGCAGTATCCGCAGCGTTCAGCAGCAGCTGGAAGAGAAGAGCCGTGAGTGCAGCGTCCTGTCCAGACAGCTGCAACACGCTCTGGACGACGCACAGAGACAGGTGTGGAAATATATCGCCACTTCTTGTAGGGTAAAAATGTTCAAACCGGTTTGATATTAAGAGCCGGACCAGGCAGGTTTACTGAATTGTATGCACTTGTCTTAAAAGTTGCTCTCAAGTGGAACATAATGACACTGTGTCCCAACAGCGCAGGAGTGTCCAGCTGTCACATTACATCATGTAACATCGGAGGTCTCTGTCAGCTATGTGCACGAGATCCACTTAAAAGATGAGTGAGGAGCCTACTTGCTATCGTCCTACGTTTGAAATGTTACTTTTTAAAACAGAAAACACGTTTGATATGATTATATATTTTCTGGAAATGGTATACAGTGTAGCAAACAGAAAGTAGCCTAGCTTGTTATTAGCGATAGTCATTTAGCTAACCAGGAACTTTCAGCTCCCTGGCGATGTCCCTCCAGCCAGCTGCCACCTTATGTTGGTTTCTGCAGTGAAAAAAGGAGGTTTCACAAAGATAATCCCTCATTTCAACTTCAAAATGGCACACAGCATCGCCCACAGCCAATTAGGACACCGTCTTTCGTCACCTTCAAATCCAAAATGTTGGCATATTGGCGCAGTTTTACTTTTCTTGAGAGATTAACTCTGCCATGTCTCCTCTTGTTATCATTATCTCGTTAAAAAACACATGAACTTTCTGTTAAACAAACACATTGTGTGCTGCTTGTCCCCTCTCCCACCACTGAGAACTGACCTCCTTTATGTTGCCATACTCGGCTCACAGCCTGTCAGACACTCGTGGCTCTGTTAGCCCGTTTATACAAGACGGTAATATATTCATCATGTTGTCATGTTGCTATTACTATTACAATATGAGTTGGATTCAGCACTGTTGATGCTGACGTAGGCTACTTTTTAATTTGCCAGAATGTGTCATAACAGAAAATGCTGGTTCCGACATTTTTTAAAAATGAAATCAGACTAGTTAAAGTTCATACATAGGACCGGCAAAACCAGAAATGGACCCAACTGTCCTGTCAAGTGTCCACAGAACAAAAGTTAAATCCTAAAATATAATTTTTGTGGCTATTTAGTATTGCACTTGTGTCGGAGTGTTGCAGAAGTAAAGGGGCAGGCTGTGAATTAAATTGTACAACTAAATGTTTTAGTGTGTCTGACAACAGTCTCAGAACTCATCTGCTATTCTCTGACAAGGATAAAGCCTCAGAGAGCAGGAGTCAGTAATTTAGTGTGATCCAAGGGGGATGAAGACTTCCTCTTCTGTGCGCCGGCCATTTCAGTTAATCTTTATAAACAGATATCTTCATATTAATGCAGATACATTTTTAAAAAGATAATACCACGATAACTCATCAGACAATAGCAGATGGGTTCTAAGACTGCATTTCAGCCAATGTGCTCCTTTAACCTGCATTTCAAACATGATTGCTCAATACTGCTTGGACGACAAAATGAAAAACAGAAGACCTCCAATGCCAAAATCTTCTTCCATCACCTACAGATTCTTCACACATAAGCAAAGTCTGTTTATAGAGATTAATCTGACTATTGTCAGTGGTGGAGGAAGTATTCAGATCCTTTACTGAAGCAAAAGAACGAATAAAACAACAAGTGTTACATATGAGTGTTACATATTGTAAAAGTATGCAAGTATAATCAGGTAAATGTCCCGAAAGTATTTGGAAATTGGAAAGTAGTGATAAATGGCGTCACAGTGACCCAGCACCCAAAGTAACACCTTCACAATTTTTGTTTTGTTTAACCAACAGTCCAAACCTCAACATTATTAAACATGTATCAAAATAATTAAAAGGAAAAGCAGCGTTTCCTAACTTTTGTGAACTTGAAACCATGCAGTGATTTTGCATGAACAATTACTAATCTGTTACTAATCAATGAATTGATAAATCAACTAATCGCTTCAGCTGTACTTGTGTATACTATTTGCTGACTGTGATGTCATTAGGTGAGGTGAGTACAGCGGTCCTTGAAGGCATCGTGAGGAGACCTTAGACTCCATGTTTTCCTGTCTGCAGGTTGACAGCAGCATGCAGAGGGTTTTAGCCAAAGAGAGAGCGTCTCAGTCCAAAGCTCTGGACCTGCAGAGCCAGCTGAGCCGAGCCAGAACCGAGCAGAGTCAGCTGCAGCGAAGCAAAGAGGAGGTTCGTCACAATGTCCGTGAGTTTTCACCTTAGACACACAAACTGTTGATACTCATGTGTTGTTTGTTTCCTTCAGATGGAGCGTCGTCTCCAGAGTCAGCTGCAGAACATGAGGGACAGACTGGAGCAGTCGGACTCGACAAACCGCAGTTTGCAGAACTACGTTCATTTCCTCAAAACCTCCTACGGGAATGTGTTCGGTGATTCTTTGCTTGCGAGCTGACGGCAACAAACCTGACCAACATTTGTCCGTTCCCAAATCATTGCAGTCGACCTGAATGACATTTACTGACTGTTTTTGACTTGAGAGTTTTATACTATGAAATTAAAACTTTTTAAAATTAAATGCTTACAAATTAGTCACATGCAATTTATTTATACTCTTTTTAATAAATAACTTCCTGCACAATAATTGATTCTGACGGCATTTTGTTTGAATAATCTTCTACCTTTCAAGTATCTGAATTCAGGGATGCACAGATTGTTGACTGATTGTTATTGATTCATCCTTTTGTGCCAGAAAAACAAAGAATATTTATTATAGAAAAATAACTGTTTTAAAGTCAAGCAGCCCTTCATTACACCACCTTTGAACAAGCAAAAATTCTACCATACAAATGTATAAAAAAACACTTTAATATAATCTTCTTTCACATGAAAAATAGCTTTTTAAAAATAACTGCTTCTGCCGATGATATATTATTACAGTTATCCAGCCCAGAACAATCTCTTGTACAGTTGTTTTCGCTTTTGGAACAATACGGATCTTTTTCAGGATTGAATGTTTCAAAAACACAAATTCTTACTTTTAATTACAGTCCCTCAGAAAATGTGAAGAAGAGGTATAACTTGAGATGGGAAGCTGAATCCATGAGATATCTGGGGGTAAATATACCTACAGACCTGTCAAAATTGTTTTCACTCAACTTTATCCCCCTGAACAACAAAATTAGGGAAGACATAAGGAGATGGGATTCAATACCTTTTCTTAATTTTGGATCTCGTATTGAATCAGTTAAAATGAGTATTCTGCCGAGAATGTTGTATCTCTTTCAATCCCTTCCACTAGATTTATCTGATCAACAGTTTCAGGAGTGGGGGCTCTCCCGTGTCTAAAAGATTATTATACTGCTGCTCAACTGAGACCGTTAATATGTTGTAATCCAGAATACAGGGCTAGATGGGGGGAGATTGAGGGGGATATCACAGGGGAGTTTCCAATTCAAGCGGCAATAGGGGATAAGGGGTTAATGAATAAGTTAATGGATCTGGGAAACCCGTTGATTGTTTTGCCACTTAAGCTGTGGAACAGGGTTATAGCTCAAAATCCTTTAAAGGAAGCGATAAAAGTTTTGAGGTGGTGTGCGTTTGATCCAGATTTTGTGCCTAAAAATTGGGATGCGAGGTTTAAGGGATGGGTAACTCATGGTTTAACAGCATATTGCACTTTTTTGAGTAAGGAGTCAGTGAACAATTTTCAAAACCTAAAGAGACAATTCAGTTTGAATAATGATGATTTCTATAGATTTCTACAGGCCCGTCATTACATTGAGCAAATTAGGAAGAAGATCACATAAGAGCAATGGGATAACATTTTATTAAAAGTCTTTATAGATGCTTATGCTTAGGGCCCAAAACAAAAAACCATCTCAAAACTTTCTAGGGGCTTACAACAAATGAAAGGTAGCTCACTGCATGTGAAACAGAAATGAGAGAAGGAAGGGAACCTAGTTCTAAATGCAGAAGACTGGGAACAGTTATGTGGGATACAATGGAAAATTTCAAATTCAACACTTTGGAGAGAGTTCTGCTGGAAAAAATTAGATTCTTTATAACACCAGCTCAAAAAAGACACTACACCAACTCATCTGCATGCTGGAGACAGTGTGGATGCCTTGAGGCAAATCATTTTCACATATTCTGGTCTTGTCCAGTATTGTTACCTTTTTGGCAGGAGGTCTATCAAATTTTGCGAAAAATATTTCTGACAGACATTCCATTTAAGTTTGTTTCTTTATATCTAGGAGCTCTGCCACCAGATAATTTTTCCTCTAATGATAAATATCTATTTCAGATTCTTAGTGCTGCCTGTAGGAAAGCCATTATAAGGAGGTGGTTAAAACTAGAAAAACCTATGGTGGATGAGTGGATTGACATTATTTATGACATTTTTAAGATGGAAAGAATTACATTTGCCGTAAGACTGCAACAAAGTGTTTTTGAAAAGATGGGAAAGATGGATCATGTATGTTACACCGGTGCGACCATCTTTTGTCTAATGCTAAATTGTATGTCCCTTTTCTCCTATTCTTCCCCTTTTTACTTCATTTTAAAGTTTAAAGTTTGTTTTTTTTTAAATATCGTGGAGGTGCACCCCAGCGTTCCTGTTCTACGAAGTTCAGTTCTTATATTGTATTAACAGATTGCCTTATAATATGGTGGATGGACCAATCATTCATCTCTGTATTATTTATATAGACTTGGATATACTGTGGAGATTCAACTGTAATTTACAGATGAATGGATGAGAATGGTGAAATGTTATGTCAATGAACATGTGAACCATGTAAAATCCTAATAAAAATAGAATTGAAAAAAAATAAATAACTGCTTCAAAATCCATTTTAATATACTTTTTTAATTAATATCTATTTTATATTACTTTATTTGTTTCTGCTGCGAACAAACTTCAAGTATCTTGCCAAATCTAAATTTTACAAGATTATATTTGAACACTTTAATAATACTAATAATAATTTAACTAACCTCCATTAGCTGTTAGCTCAGGCCACAAGCTGCTGACAGCTGATGTTAACCAGCTCTCCTCATGCTCTGGAGAGTTTTAAGGGCAGTAACTAAATATGTAAATACATAAATAATTATATAATTCAATGCTCAAATAAATAAATACATGATTGTATAATTAAATGCCTGAATATATGAATAAATATAATAACATTTCTAAATAACTAAACACATGATTAGGTAATTTAATGCGTAAATGTCACCTAAATAAATCACAGATTAAATAAAACTTTAATTAAATATATAAATGAGGGAACAGTATTCACAGTGTAGTTGCAGTGTGATAAATAAATCTGTAACCATCTATCAAACGTCAGGGGGCAGGTTGAAGCTTCTGGTTTGCTGTTCGACGGTCCAGGCATCTGCTATTTTTGATTTTTCTATGTTTAATTTCCGTATACTATTTCAGTATTGAATTCAAAAACGTTCATTGCCCTTAAATCCCATTTCTCCTAAAATACACACAATTTCAGTTCTGATTTTACATCTGTCTCGCTTCACTCTGCAGGGCTGTTAAGGTATCGTCTACATTTAACTGACGTCCTTTTGAGCTCTTTCACAATTTAAGATTAACAAAATTTGGCAGTGGTGGAATCATTTTGTACAGGTGAACAAAAGCAGCAACAACAGTGTAAAAATACTCCTCATACTCCATGTTGGTGGTTAGTAGAGATAAGACAATTTATTGTTAGACGACATAACATGAGATCAGAATACAGCAGTTTGTTTCCCGAGTCTCTTTGAGCACTGATCATTAGTGTTTAGTCACAGGTCATTACAGCTGCTCAGGCTGATGTGTTGACAGCAGCACGTGGTACATCATCTACAATTAGTGTTTGGGTGTCACTTCTAAATTTCAAAACAACTGCAATTACAAAACATATAAAAACATCAAATTAAAAGTTGCAGCCAAAAATACAAAAATAATTGTAATATAACTGAGGTAGTTTATAAATATTGTAAAAAAAAAAAAAGACTACTTATTTAACTGTTCAAACATTTTTTAAGAACTCTGAACTCACCACGTAACAAACATTTTTCAAAGATTTGGGAGATAATTTCAAAGAAATACTTTTGCCAACAGAAATATGATTAACTGTAAAACTTCAATTAAAAGCCTTGTTCCTATTTAACACCCTGTCTCTTTTACTAGCCTGGTGTGGCTACACATTTTGACGAACAAAGGCCTGTCTCAATTAGATGTGCGTAGGGGAGACTGGGGTAAGTTGAGCCAAAGGGTAACTTGAGCCACCCCTTGTTGCTAGGAAACCGTAAATAAAATTGAGCATGTGACCAAATATTTAGTCTGTTAAGAACCACATGGGTTAAATGGTTAGAGATTTATGTCCAAAAAAGCATTTTTCACTCATGAAAGTGAATTTAGTCTGTCATAAGTTTCATGGGGATTGTGTTTAAACCAAAATAGATAATTTTCATTTGTTTTATACATCAACTGTGGTATCTATTAACTACAAAATGAGGTAGTACAGCTATCATGAAAGTGCACCATTTTAGTTGTGGGGGCTAATAAAGTCAATATGGTAGCTATGGGGTAAGTTGAGCCGTTAGTTTCTGAGAAGAGGCAAAGCTGGATATGGTAAACCAAGCTTTACTTTCAAGGAGAAAGATGAGGGATTCTTCCCAAGAAGTGATGTAATCGCAAAACTCCCCAAACCTCAGAGTCCCAGCAGTTTGTATTCCCCTGCAACCTGGACAGGTGGGATATTGAGTAAATGGGCAGGTGGGTTATGGATGGAAGGAGGGAGGGGGGTGGATGGAACGTGTGTAAGATGGAGGGAGGAGTTTAGAGAGGATGAAGGAGGCCCTCCTGTCAGCAAGGACACCAAACTAGGATTCACGTTTACAGATTTAGTTCAGTGCTTTCTTTCCAAAAACACAGCTGTTAAGGTTCTCTTGCTAAACGTACTTTAAGGCATTCTCAGGCCTATGTTAAAATGTTTTGAAGTTGTTTTATGCAATAATAATTTAAAAAAACATTTGTACCTGTTGAATTGTGTATTATAAATAAAAATACACATGAATTTGAAAAAGCGTCTTATTGAATTGAGTACAGACATGTACGTGGGTAAGTTGTGCCACGAGACCACTTTTTTTGGACATGCTATATTATCAACACAGTTATGTTTACACTCATTCTGTTTGTTTGTAGGGATGCACAACATCCTGAAATATATGCACATATATTAGTTAGCTACAAAACTATAATAGCCTTGATGTAGTGATCCTGAATATGAAAAGTGGCTCATCTTACCCCGGTCTCCCCTACGGACAAAAGCCTCTGACAATATCTACAATCAAGCTTCCACCTTACCATCTATGTCGCCAATTTCAACGTTTCTCCCATTAAGTCTGTTTTTATGAATCACAACTTTTGCGCGGGAAGTGGCGTACGCGTCTTTCAGGCCTCGTTTTGTGTGTGTTTATAATTGAGACCCCAGGTCTGGTTGTCAAGCAGTTCATTTTTATAGACGTTCTCTGGACGTATAAAGCAGGTGGTTGGCTATCTGCTTAAGCTAACGTTAGTTAGGTGCTTCGACTGCACATACAAATATAAATGTTTGAACTTTTGTCAATATGGAGATGCTACATGTTGTTAGCTTGGTTAGATTCTCCACAATTCAGTCGTTTAGATCATTTTACAAATCTACAGTATAAGACAGTAATTCAGACAGACAACCATTCACACTCACATTCACACCTACGGACAATTTAGAGTCACCACTTAACCTGCATGTCTTTGGACTGTGGGAGGAAGCTGGAGCACCGACAATGCAGGCGACAATGCTTACCGTTGCACCACTGTGTCACCTGATATGTTCTGCAAAGCCTAAAATTTATACAATTAATATTGATACTGTATATCCCATCTTTGATGAGCAACAGTTTTGTGTGACAGGAGTTAAAGGCCTGTCCCAAATATAGGCCTGCTGAGGTCAGCAAATAAGCAAATAATAACCTGGGCTATAAACTGAAGTTTTACGGTAATGCTAACAATAATACAAAGGGAAAAATATGAGTTAATTTACTTCTTTCAATATATTGTGACCTCTTCCAAAAGGGAATTAAAATATACATTGACTTTCAGAAGTAGAGCTGTTGCAAAGGTTTATTTTATTCAGTTGGTGAATATGTCGTCAGGAGAGTTTTCGCCCAGTGGTTTCTCTTGTGTATGTTGATCCTCGGGTGTTTTTCAAGAACATGATTTGAGTCAAACTTTTCAATTAAGTGGCTGTTCACTTCTGTGAGTTTTTGTACAAGCCTTTAACCACTTCTCCTGTTGGGAGTCACAGAAGGATGGAGAGTATCCCGGCTGACACTGGACGAGAGGCGGGGTACACCCTGGACAGATCGCCGGACTATCACAGAACACAAACTGAACCGCCTCCCACATATTTTGGATGATATTCAAGACTACTTGGTTGCATGCGATGTTACATGCTTTGCCAACTCGGACACGTTAAAGCATCTTCTCCCGCAGATCTTGCAGAGGTACGGCTTCACACTCGGCCTCTTGTGTATTCTCATGTGGACCGTCACGTCACTTTTACGCCTGAAATCTTTTCCACACACTTCACAAGTGAACGGCTTCTCACCTGTGTGAATTTTAATGTGGGACAACAAGGCGCCACTACGCCCGAAATCTTTCCCACACGTTCTGCAGACGTACGGCTTCTCACCTGTGTGTATTCTCATGTGGTACATCAACTCATTTTTACGGATGAAACCCTTTCCACATGTTGTGCAAGAGTACGGCCTCTCACCCGTGTGTGTTCTCATGTGGACCATCAAGTCAAAGTTACGCCCGAAACCTTTTCCGCATGTTTTGCAAGAAAATGGCTTCTCATCAGTGTGGACGTTTGTATGAGCCTTCAGTTCTGTTGCCTGACAGAATCTTTTCCCACAGGTGTTGCAAAGGTACGGCTTCTCACCGGTGTGTGCTCTTCTCATGTGGGCCGTCAAGCCGTCGCCGTGTCTGAAAGCTCTCCCACACACTCTGCATGTATACGGCTTCTCGCCTGTGTGTCTTCTCATGTGCACATTCAGGTGACCTTTATATCCGAAGGTTCTTCCACATGTTTTGCAAGGAAACGGCTTCTCGCCTGTGTGTCTTCTCATGTGCACATTCAGGTGACACATATATGCGAAGGTTCTTCCACATGTGTTGCAACAATACGGCTTCTCACCCGTGTGGCTCCTCCGGTGCGTTTTCAATTGAGACTTGAAATTGAAAGTTTTTCCACAAATGTCACATTGGAAAACTGTCTCAAATGGGTTTGCATCATCGGGAATCTCTGACATATTGGAGTTATTATCATTGTTGCTTTGACTTCTGCTTTCCTGATGCGCTCTCTCTGGCTTTGGTTCTGCATTTCTAGTTGCTCCCGAGTCTCCGTGTTTGTCTCTCTCTCTCTGATCTTGGCTCTCAGCTTCAGGAGAGTTGTGAGAGAGGAGCTGTTGGTCACTGTTAGCCTCTGATACCACAGAGCTTATAACTGGCATGTTCACTACAGACTCCTTATTTGTGTCATCAGGTTTTGGCTTTGCACTGTGGTGCTTTCTCATGTGTTCTGTCAAGCCACTACTACGTCTGAAATCTTTTCCACATACTTTGCAAGAATATGGCTTCTCACCCGTGTGGGTTCGTAAATGAGAACTTAAATCGTATGACCGACTGAATCTTTTCCCACAGGTGTTGCAAAGGTACGGCTTCTCGCCTGTGTGTATCATCTGGTGTCTCTGCAAAGCTTGCTTAGACTTAAAGATTTTCCAACAAGTGTCACATTGGAAAATTAACTTACTGGTTTGAGTAATACAGGGTATCTTTGACATGTTTGAGTCTTTTACAGTGTGATTCTGACTTTTGCTTTTGTGATTTATTTTCTTTGGTTTTGGTTCTGCATTGCTAGTTGATCCACAGTCTCCATGTTTGTCTCCTCTCTGATGTTGGCTCTCAGCTTCAGGAGAGTTGTGAGAGATAAGCTGGTGATAGGTGTGCTCTTCTGATACCCCGGGGCTTATAACTGGTGTGTTGACCTCAAACTCCTTCTCTGCTGCACTTGAAGTGTCCTCAGGACTGAAGTTGAGAGTCTGATCTTCACTGTGGTCTCTTTCCTCATGAGTAGGATTCAACATGGAGGCATCAGTCTCCTGCTTCAGTTCAAGCTGCTCTCCCTCCTGACTGGTGCAGAGTTCCTCCTCTTCCTCTTTAATCTGTGGAGGCTCTGGTTCCTCTTGGTCCACACTGGAGTTCCTCTCCTGAATACAGAGCTGCTGCTCAGAGAGAACCTCCTCCTCCTTACACACATGTTGCTGTGGGAGCTCTGGAGGGACACACAACAGAATGATTAGGATACTAATGGGATGGTAGAGAAACATCTGACCAAATAAATACAACTAATAATTCAAAGCCATACTCCTCTGTAAGTTTTATAGACCTTTAAAGTTGTACCCACCTATCCTGTTTAGCCTTATTTCAGGTTTCCAAACGACATCCAACAGCCTCCTCTGACGGTCGATCTCTTCTTCATACTTGACGATAGTTTTATGAAAAACTCCGAATATTTCTTGAGCAGCAGCAGTTAGTCTCTCATTAACAAACTCTCTCAGATACTCAGCTGAAGACATTGTTGCTTTATTACTAATTAAAAACTACAACACCGTCTTTAAGCTAATTCCACACCTCTTTAAAGCTAAACGCTAATCGCACCTTTATTGTTTACCGCTGGTGTCACACTGTGAAGTTCCGGCAGTCGAGGTGAGCCAGACTTTCGTTCCGCTTTCACTCTGGGTTGCACATCTCTCTGGTTTCTTTCTCTCTGTCTTTCTTATTTCGTTTCTGTCTCTTTTTCTAATTTCTTTCTTTCTTTTCTTTCTCTATTTTTCTTTTCTTTCTTTCTGTCTTTCTTTTTCTTATTTCTTTCCTTTCTTTTCCTTTTCTATTTTCTTTTCTTTCTTTTTCTTTCCTTTCTTTCTTAGTTTATCTTTCTTTCTTTTTCTTATTTCTTTCCTTTCTTTTCCTTTTCTATTTTCTTTCTTTCTTTCTTTCTTTCTTTGTTTGTTTTTCTTATTCCTTTCTTTCTTAGTTTAGCTTTCTTTTTCTTTGTTTCTTTCTTTGTTTCTTTCCGTTTTTCTTTCTTTCTTTCAGTTTTCCTTTCTTTTCCTTTTCTATTTTCTTGTCTTTTTTCTTTCATTCTTTTTCTTATTCCTTTCTTTCTTTTTCTTTCCTTTCCTTTCTTTCTTAGTTTATCTTTCTTTTTCTAATTTCTTTCTTTCTTTTCTTTTTCTATTTTTCTTTTCTTTGTTTTTCTTATTTCTTTCTTTTCTTTTTCTATTTTTCTTTTCTTTCTTTCTTTTCCTTATTTCTCTCCTTTCTTTTCCTTTTCTATTTTCTTGTCTTTTTTCTTTCATTCTTTTTCTTATTTCCTTTTTCCTTCCTTTCCTTTCTTAGTTTATCTTTCTTTTTCTAATTTCTTTCTTTCTTTTCTTTCTCTATTTTTCTATTCTTTCTTTGTTTGTTTTTCTTCTTTCCTTTCTTTCTTTTCTTCTTTCTTTCTTTCTTCTTATTTCTTTCCTTTTCTTTTCTTTCTTTTATTATTTTTTCTTTGTTTTTATTATCGAAAATTTTAAGAATATACAAAAAACATATAATATCTCAGAGGATGTTCCTTCTATAAATATACAGAGCACAATAATAGTCCACCATGATGATGATGAGGGAAAAGACTAAACAAATAAATAAACAAATAAATAAAACAGACTAGGGGAGATTTATATATAAATACATAAGAATTGTAAAAGGTAAATTAATAAATTAATAAATTAAAGCACCAGGCGTACAAAATGTAACAAACAGGAGCAGAAACATCAAGAACAAAACAAGGACCATAATTCAAAACAACAAGAATTGAGAAAGGCCAACACTTATCTTTTGTTAAGTTCTAAGATATACTTTATTAATCCCTGAGGGGAAATTCAGTGTATTTTTTCACTCTGTTGTCATATACATACACACAGGCCTGAAATACACACACATGCTCAAACAGGACCTACACATGCATAAAACAGAGAGGTGAGTAAGTGAGGAGGCTGCCTGTGGACAGGCTCTCTGGGCAGGTGGGAATTTGGTGCCTTGCATGGGGGCACCTTGCCGGTGTCCAGGAGTGTGGGCTGGCCCCTCTCCAGTTGCCAGTCCACACTCCATGCTTGGACTGTATGGAGACTTGAACCATATGGACTGAGCTGCTACTGCCTTTTTGAGTTATTTATATTTCAGTGACCATAAAAACAACTTTTAACAACATTTATAAACCAGTTAAAGGAGTGCTTACTATTCCTCCACTGGCTACAATGGATACGATATTTAACCATAAGCAAGATAATATTTATTGTGTCAGAGACAGATTAATTATCTCTCATTTCACTTTACCAGAAAATTCAGTTGTTGTTTTTTTATCCACTACTATGTTTAACTCAAATCTTTTGAGTTGTTTAAAAAAATGTCTTCATTAGCAGAAATGGAAAAACTTACCTCAGGCAAGATGAAGTAACACTTTTTTGATTTGAAAAATATATATCATATTTAAAATATATACCCAATTCATTCACAATGTTAGTGAACACATTAAATTACTCTCAGAAAAAAGTAAAGTGTAAAATGTGAAAGCAATCACACCCGTTATCACTGTCAGTGTTACGGAGGCCATGGTGTGTGACATGGAGCTGTTTCTCTTTACTGTTTTTTGTGTGTGATTCTTTTCATATGTTAAAATTTTTTGGTTAAGCAAGGAAACTATAGCTGTCAGGTAAATGTGCTGCCCTGAAATGTACAATATTCACCTATAAAATGTATTAAAACAGAACTACATGTTGCATAAAAAGAAATCAATCAAAGGAAACGTCAAAACTTATGATTTTCTTTATTTGAAGTGTTCAAGATTTCATTCATGTGCGGAGAACAATCAATCATGTTGCATCTTTGTTCAATATAAGGTAGCTCCACTGATTAAACTACCAAATGCTATCAAATTATACATTAACTCAACCTCCGGTCAGTGAGCTGCAACATTTAAACACATCCTGCGTAACAAAATAAGTATTCTTAAGTTCACAGAGGGTTTCAGCCTCAACATCACAGTTTACGATCCACTCACACAACTGAGGTAGTGTATAGAAATAGAAAACAAACAAAAACATTTGTGAGAACTTTGAACTCACTGTGCGACAAACATTCAAATATTTGGGAGATCACGATAGTTAAAAGAAATACTTGTGCAAAAGGAAGAATGAGTATTGCAGTAATATGAAGGGGAAAAACTACGCTGGAATAAAATGCACTTAGTCAAAATTTTGCAACCTCTCCTGAGTAATGACTTTATACATTCAGTCGCAGTCATGGAGCTGTTGCAGAAGTGTTTGTCAGTCAGTTGATGAACATGTCTTCGCAGGCTGAGGATGTGTGGCTGAATGCCTGGGAAACATCCGGAAACAACCGGACGTGGGGAGACTTCCGCTGGGAAAACCTGATTCACTTTTTCATCACGCCAAACAAAGTGTCACCCAGCTCTGGGAATGTGGAGAAATCATGGTCGTCCATGCCCGTGTTTTTTGGTCTTGTCCTTCTATCCAGACTTTCTGGAAGGACGTAGCAACAATCAATTCAAAAACTTTTGGTTTCAGTAGTACATTCACGTCCCTTTATCTTGGACACGTCCCTGATGGACTAAGTAACGATGACACCTATCTACTAAAGATCTTGCAGCAAGTAAAAAGGCCATTAGAAAATACTGGCTCCTGAAAAGTGGCCCCACTGCTGACCTCTTTATTAACACTGTTAAACACTCACACCTTCTGGACGGATGACCTGCTCCGTATGGCTTCAAAAGAACTGGGAGAAAAATGTTGGAGAACATGGTGTTTATTCAGCCAACGAGACAGATGCCACATGATTACTGTATGTACCATATATGACATCCTACTTCCAATGAGGAAAATTTGTCACTCGTGAAAAAGACCCTGAGATACTTGAACTCCTCGCTTGAGGCAGTAACCTGGAGGGGAGCAATCCACCGGCGGTTTGGTGTGGCCTCTGCAGTGATGCGGGCGCTGTGCTGGACCGTCATGGTGAAGTGGGAGCTGAGCCAGAAGGCAAAGCTTTCAACTTACTGGTCCATCTACGTCCCAATCCTCACCTATGGTCATGAGCTCTGGGTAGTGACCGAAAGAATGAGGTCGCAAATACAAGCAGCCAAAATGAGTGTCTGGGCTCAGCCGTAGAGATAGGGTGAGGAGCTCAGACATCCGGAGGGAGCTCGGAGTAGAGCCGCTGCTCCTTTGTGTCAAAAAGGGTCAGCTGAGGTGGTTTGGGCTTCTGATCAGGATCCTCCTGGGCGCCTCCTGTAAGAGGTGTTCTGGGCACGTCCCACTGGTAGGAGGCCCCGGGGCAGACCCAGAACACACTGGAGGGATTATATATCTCATCTGGCCTGGGAACACCTTGGGGTCCCCCAGGAGGAGCTGGAAAGTGTTGCTGGAGAGGGATGTCTGGGGTGCGTTGCTCGGCCTGCTGCCCCCGCCACCTGGCCCGGATAAGCGGATGAAATTGTATGGATGGGTGTCATGTTTTTGTAAACATACCATGACCTCATACTTGTCTTTTTTTCCGTGTACTGCTTTTCTTTTTTTCCTGTACGTATTGAACGTAAAAAATGTTCATAAATAAAATGTATGAAAAAGAAAAGAAAATGTCTTCACAGGCGTTTCAGCTCGATGGTTCCTCCTGTGTATGTTCTTATGTTGTGTTCTTCAAGTACATGGTTCAAGTAAATCTTTTGCTTCAAGCGCCACAGTTATGCAAATACAAGTCTACCTGCCTGGATGTGACCTCGTACGCTTTGCCAAAGTAGATGCATAAAAGTTTCTTTTCCCACAGCCGTTGCGAGGTTACGTCTTCTCATTTGCGTTAGCTAATCTCATGTGGTCCATCACGCTACTACGATGTCTGAAATCTTTTCCACATGTTATGCAAGGAAACAGCCTCTCAACTGAGTGTGATCTCATGTGGACTTTCAAGCAAGCTCTATTTATGAAATCCTTTCCACAGATTTTGCAAGAACGTAGTTTCAGAGTTCCCGTGGGGATTTTCAGTATTGACATCCCATAGAATCTGATACCACCAGTCTTGGTGGTCTCTGTATTAAAAGTGTCGTTAGGATTGAAGTTGAGAGTCTGATCTTCACTGTGGTCTCTTTCCTCATGAGTAGGAATCAACATGGAGGCATCAGTCTCCTGCATCAGTTCAAGCTGCTCTCCCTCCTGACTGGTGCAGAGTTCCTCCTCTTCTTCTTTAATCTGTGGAGGCTCTGGGTCCTCCTGGTCCACACTGGAGTTCCTCTCCTGAATACAGAGCTGCTGCTCAGAGAGAACCTCCTCCTCCTTACACACATGTTGCTGTGGGAGCTCTGGAGGGACACACAACAGAATTATTAGGATACTAATGGGATGGTAGAGAAACACACATCTGAGCAAATAAATACAACTAATAATTCAAAGCCATACTCCTCTGTAAATTTTTAAAGACCTTTAAAGTTGTACCCACCTATCCTGTGTAGCCTTATTCGAGGTTTCAAAACGATAGCCAACAGCCTCCTCTGACGGTCGAGCTCTTCTTCATACTTGACGATAGTTGATTTAAAAACTCCGAGTATTTCTTGAGCAGCAGCAGTTAGTCTCTCATTAACAAACTCTCTCAGATACCCTGAAGACATGGTCAAAATTATCCATACAACCACAATATCGTCTCCCAGTTACTTCTACACATCTAACGCTAACGCTGACTGAGCTTGTGTACGTTGTTTCTTCTTCCATGGTTTTCCCGGCGGGCTATAAACCAACATTAAAGGCACATACTGCCACCTACTGTATTGTAATGACATGACGACAAAACTAGCAAACAATAAGTAATGAATGAGACACAATATAAATAAATAAATAGATAAATACATTTTTTGTGTTAGCCATTTCATACATTTTGAACCCTACTGTAGCTATTTCTTATATTTTGCACCCAACCGTTAGCTAGTTTTTATATTTTGCAACTTAGCTAGTTAGGTTTTTTCTTTTTGCACTTAAGCTAGTTAGCTTTTATCTATATTTCGCACCTTACTGTTAGCTAGTTGTTTTTTTGCACCTTAGCTTGTTAGCTATTTCTTATATTTTTCACCTTACTGTTAGTTAGTGTTTTTGCACCTTAGCTAGTTAGCTATTTCTTATATTTTTCACCTTACTGTTAGTTTTTTTGCACTTTAGCTTGTTAGCTATGTCTTACATTTTGCACCTTACTGTTAGTTTTTTTGCACCTTAGCTAGTTAGCTATTTCTTATATTTTTCACCTACTGTTAGTTTTTTTGCATTTTAGCTTGTTAGCTATGTCTTACATTTTGCACCTTACTGTTAGCTAGTTTTTTGCACCTTAGCTAGTTAGCTATTTCTTATATTTTGCACCTTACTGTTAGTTAGGTTGTTTTTTTTGCACTTTAGCTAGTTAGCTTTTATCTATATTTCGCACCTTACTGTTAGCTAGTTGTTTTTTTTGCACCTTCGCTTGTTAGCTATTTCTTATATTTTTCACCTTACTGTTAGTTAGTTTTTTTTGCACCTTAGCTAGTTAGCTATTTCTTATATTTTTCACCTTACCGTTAGTTTTTTTGCACTTTAGCTTGTTAGCTATGTCTTACATTTTGCACCTTACTGTTAGCTAGTTTTTTGCACCTTAGCTAGTTAGCTATTTCTTATATTTTTCACCTTACTGTTAGTTTTTTTGCACCTTAGCTAGTTAGCTATTTCTTATATTTTTCACCTTACTGTTAGTTTTTTTGCACTTTAGCTTGTTAGCTATGTCTTACATTTTGCACCTTACTGTTAGCTAGGTTTTTTTTTAACCTTAGCTAGTTAGCTATTTCTCATATTTTTCACCTTACAAACTTGACTATCTAGAGGAAGTAAAAGTCGTAACAAGGTTTCCGTAGGTGAACCTGCGGAAGGATCATTTTCTCGTTAGGTTAGGTTGTTCTTTTTGCACTTTAGCTAGTTAGCTATTTTTTATATTTTGCACCTTACTGTTAGCTAGTGTTATATTTTACATCTTGCTAGTAGCTATTTTATATATTTTGAACCACTGTTAGCTAGTTCTTTTAGCACCTTAGCTAGTGGGCTAGTTTTTATATTTTGCACCTCACTATTAGCTAGTTTTTTTGCACTTCAGCTAGTTAGCTTTTTCTTATATTTTTCACCTTACTATGAATTAGGTTTTTTTGTGCTTCATCTAGTTAGCTTTTATCTATATTTAGCACCTTACTGTTAGCTAGTTGTTGTTTTTTTGCACCGTAGCTTGTTAGCTAAGTCTTAATTTTCACCTTACTGTTAGCTATTTTTTTTGCACCTTAGCTCATTAGCTATTTCTTATATTTTTCACCTTACTGTTAGTTAGGTTTTTTGTTTTTTGCATTTTAGCTCGTTAGCTATTACTTATATTTTGCACCCTACTGTTAGCTAGTGTTATATTTTAGATTTTGCTCTTATTATTTCATATATTTTGAACCCTACTGTTAGCTAGTTTTTTTTTAGCACCTTAGCTAGTAAGCTAGTTTTTATATTTTGCACCTTACTGTTAGCTAGTTGTTTTTTGTTTTTTTTTGCACTTTAGCTAGTTAGCTATTTCTTATATTTTTCACCCTACTGTTGGCTATTTTTTTCCTCACCTTAGCATGTTAGCTAATTCTTTTATTCCCTATATCCTGTGCACCTTATTTAAAATAAAATTTTCAAATGCATGAGTGAAAACCTGACACACTTTTTTAGAACTGCTCCCACACTGTAATTTGAGCACCTGTTAACAAAAACAAATTGTTGCAAAAACAGATTTGGTCATGGGTTTTTTTTTCTGATGGAGGCCTTCATCGCACGACATGTCCGAGGTCTATTGGAAATGTAAAAATCCAGTGATAATTTCTGCTTTTACTGTTTCCATCTATGATAAGTGGTGTAATTCTAGATATTTTAAATAAAACATGACTTGTTGTCTTTAAATATCAAAATACGAAGCATGCACATCTGGAAGGCATGCTGTATAAGTCAGCAGTAAGATGAATACAAAATACAGCCATGTAAAGATGTATGTCCTTCCCCTAAGCCAAAATAAAAATATAAGTCCCTGCCCATTGCTTAAAAAATATATGATTTGCAACACCCCCGTCCCCCTCATAATTAAGGAACAGTCCCTAATGCATTCACTTGAGAAAATACTACTACTTCACCTTAACCAACTGCTACTAAACATAAAGAGGAACTAAATGATAATAATAATAATAATAATAATAATATGATGATGATGATGATAATACACACATATAGTTATTATTATTATTATTATTATTATTATTATTATTATTATTATAAAAACAGACTTTGGCCCATCCGGAAACATAGAGCGGGCTGTTTCTTGTCGGATTGTGATTTATGTAACTCCATCCTCCGGTTCAAATCTTGTTTGCCCGACGCTGTCGGTAGTTTTTAGTTTTAGTTTTCTTTATCGTCCTGTCGTGATGCCTGCTGAAAATCTACGATGGGAAACTTTAGAGGCCTTAAAAAATTCACCGAAGGGAAAAATCTTATACGACCCGTTCTGGTCGGAAAGAGGCGAGGTGAGCTAACTTTGCTAACTCAGACACCAAGCTAACTAGCTAAGGGCTAGTTTGTGTTAGCCGGGCCAAGATGTCTCCGCTTGTTTAGCTACATAACTTCAGGAATTCACTCTGTAAAATTACCACAGGACGATCTGTAATGAGGGAAATTAAGTGCTACAGTTTTCTAAATCATCATTAGGACAAATAAGAAGCAGGTGTTAGCATTGTCTTCAATTAGCTAACGTTTATCTAACTAAATAATTATGTGACCGCACACTAACCCACATAATTTCATTTTATTTCTTGTTTTCAAGCCGAAGAGTTTAACACAAGATACATCGTTAAATAAACACAGTGGTGCATTTTCGTGAAGTGTATTTGCTTAATCTACTTGTTCAATTTTTAGGTGCTTTGTTGTACTTGAGTACTTCCATGTTATGCTACTTTATACTTCATTTAAATGTGCATGCTGTACTTTTCCTCCTCTGTCAATGTTTTATTCATCATTAGTGTGTCTTTGTGTCAAAATATACACTATTGTTTAAAGTTTGTAATCTCCTGCCGCTAAAACTTGATATGGTATTTCCTCGCTTTTGGTTGTAGAAAGTCCTTTTTACAAATGTTTTTTTTATTTTTATTATTTTTTTGTATAAATGGTTTGTTTTGATATATGATATTTATTTTGAACATGTAAAAAAAAGACATGAACATAGAAACAAGCAGACAGAAAGAAAGTAATATTTATAAATAATGAAAAGCATAAGGTAAAGGCAATTGTCACCTTGATTTACACATCCGAAAAGGAGTGGGAGGAAGTATAAACTTATTAAATCCCACGCCTTCTCCATCAGCCATCGAGTGAAATGAAACTTATGTAGATAAACCTATACCTAAAATTTTTCTAAATATACAATTCCTATTACCAGTTAACTTTGTCACACAAAAATAACCCATGTGTATATATATATAATATTAATTACAATATATCTATCTTTATATGTAATATAAATTACCAATTAACCATGACTTCCAAAAATAACCAGTCTACACGTAAGATATATATTACCAATTGTCTTAGCCTTACTAAAAATAAATCTAAATATTAATATTACATATATATCTTAATCAACTTGTCCTGCTATCTTATTTGTATTTAAATAAGTGAACAAATGAATTATACAAAGTAGAAATAGTAAACAGTAATCCCTGTGAGTAACTGGTGAATGTCCAGCCCCTGTTTTGTACATGGAAAACAAAACGCCAAACATTGGTTCAACCAGACTGACAACTGAAAGGGCAAAAAGAGACAAACATCCCTTCAACATCTGAATATGTGCAGAAGTGAAAATGAGCAGTCATTGGTTAAACAAACTGGAAGCTTATGCTCAAAATGTTTGCAGATTTAAACAGGAGCAGGTTCCTGCGTTAGTGTCAAGTGAACAATAATGCCAATAATAACAAGCTGGAATTAACAGGCAACATGATGATTTCACAAAGCTCATCTTCAAAATTCAAAATAGAAAGAGAAGGTTTGTCCAGAGTTAACACTGATGAAATAGGATCAGGGAATATTGGCTGACACTGTGGGCCGACAAGTCACAATTTAAATCTTGTCAGTAGTGCTGCAACAGTTTATTTCCCGATTAAATTAGCAATTCTTCATTCAATTAGTCAATTACTTACTAATTTCTTGATTAGAATAAACATTATTTTTATTATGCAATTAATATAATAATTAATTTATCCTAAATAAATATAAAAATGTGCATAGTTAATATTTAAATATTTTATTCAGTCATCTTCTCTGGAAAACAAACACGTTTTAGAAGAAACAAAGTGATGATAATTGCATATTAAGTTGCATATTTAACTGCAAATTTTGAAGTTAGTCCAATTTCCCTCAGTCTATCCACCGAGGAGCGTGCAGGAGGCCCAAAGTAAAATGACCAAACATATTTAAAGCCGAGTTGCACCATTGTTCAATAATGATCATGTGTCCGGACTCTTCCCTGTCATACAACACTGTGAGGTAATTCAGCTTACAACACAGCACTGATAAACAATAACTGTAAACACATGACAGAACAATAATTAAGTCTTTAAAAAGACCTTTTAACTTTTTGTAGTGTTTATGTATTCAAGACTATATCTGTAAACCTGTGTGAGGTTGAAATGTGTGTGATGTGATAAAATCAATGGAGCTAAATGTGTACTCATCCCATGTTAAAACCTAAAAGCCCTTTGGTACATTTAAACCGTACACTTAAATTTAAACATTTAAACACTCCATGAATGAAGCAAACCCGTGGTTTTACGTATCTGTGTTCTTGCAGCACATTCTGGCAGGTTGCAAAGAGGCCGTCATCCTGTCCTCGCACTCTGGGGTCATACTGGAGCGTCTCGGCTCCTTGCCCCTGCAGAACTCCTCCTTTCTGAACTCCAGCTCCAGAGACTCCAGCCCGGGCCTCTCTGAGGAGATCTCAGCCTCGGTCTCCTCCACAGGATCCATCCCCGACCTCAGCACAAGGCACGCCACACTTTCTGCAGCCCCGTCTTTAAAGGCCGAGCGTGAGCAGGCAAGTCTCTCGTCCAGAATACATTATGTATTTTCTGTTTTTTTTTCTTTTTTTTTATGGGGGGAAAGTGCAGTGTTTTCTGGGGGGTCAAAGAAGAAATAACTGTAATAACTTTTGTGTGATTTGTGAAGGTTTTTTGGAGCTTACTGGTATTTGTAATATTCTGTATATTTGAAACAACCCAGTGGCAAAAGCTATTTTTTGTACTATATTGGTTTCAGAAAGTCATCAAAATGAGTTGTTATCATTTTGTAAGGACAGGCATTCCTCAGAGGTTTTAAAAGAACTGAGAATTTTTGTTTTGCAGTAACCTTTTCTTGAATTTAATTCATTTGCAAGATTGTAAAAGTTTCACTGTTGACTCTGAAAACCTGCAGATTACTGTTTTTTTTCCAAGGAGGTATTTTAACTTTTCCGTGAGGCTGGATGTTGTACTTTCTTCCCTGTAAGATAAAAACAGTAACACACAATGTATGCCTTCCTGTGACTGTGAATTTCTGACTCCTATCTCTTCGTCACGCGCTGCAGGCTGTTAGTGATGAGGCGAAGGATGAAGATCCAGAGGCAGATGTCAGCGAAGTTTCCAGTCCTACATCACTACCTGCCATTTCCCTGCTGTCGCCCAAAGCCATGGAGACGGCAGGCCGCATTCTCAAGTTTGAGGAGCAACAACGAGAAAAAGCCAAGGTCAGACACAGAGATCCTTATTATCCTACGTGAAGTCTCATGAGGCCAAGTTTAATAGCTGTGTGGCAAGAAAATGTTTAAATGTTTAATGTTAAATAGACATGGTGTGTTTTGATCAAGAGCAAGAGCATAAAGACATTTTTGGACAGAACATCATCTTGTGAAAAAAACTGCATTGGTTAGATCATTCAGTGTTTGATTAATTAATTTGTCAATCAACAGAAAACTAATTAAGAATATGTTTGTATTGATGAGTGATTAAAAGCAAGAACACCAAACATTTTACAGTTTTTCCCTGTTTTTTTAATAGTAAAGTTAATTTATTACTTTTCTCTTTTGGACTTTTGGTCGCAAAAAAAGACCTTTTAAGAAATCTGACAAAACAGTCGATCAAAACAACTGATGGATAGATCAATTCTGTTTTCTTTCTTTGGATGTAACCTGTTTACTGTGTGTGCTCTGCTGTCTCACCTGACAACTATCTGAAATCTGTCTGCCCAGGTGGCGCTCAAACTGCGGCAGGAGATGCAGGAGAAGCTGGTGGCAGCAGTGGCGAGCTCCGAGTCGGAGCAGCTGAAACGTTTTGAGGAGTTCATGGAGCTGAAGCAGAGGCAGGAGTTCCAGACCATGAGGGACATGATGGACAGAGAGTAAGCGCGGTTTACATCTGTAGTTTGTTTGCTCTGGTCTGAATCAGCTGAGTTTGTAAACTTGGAGCTTGTTCCCCTTCAGTTGAGTTTCTTTTCACACAGAGAAAAATATATGTGAAACAAAATTCATCACTACAAATCAAGTGAGAGGTTTCACTCCAGCTATTGGTCAGATGTGTCACGGGCAGGAGTAAGAATGTAAATACAGGAAGAAGGTCCTTCCTTGGCGTTTGTTCATAGCTGTGATAATTATCTGGGCGATGTAACAGGCAAAACTGAACCAGCAGTATGCTGAATGCACTTTAAGGAAGACGTGCTGCCTTCAGACAACTGAACAGGACAAGGGAGCTCATATTGAGCCTGAGTCTGATTTAACAGGACTTAAAGTTCAGGTGTGAAAACACTCTAAGAGCTGCTGTCAAGGATGCAGAGTCTTTATGTTGTTTCCAAAACGTGCCATCAACCCTGGTCTGCTTTTTACTTTCTGTAGAACTAAAGAAAGCATCGGGCGTCAGGAGAAGCTGAAGGAAGAGCAGCGACACAGAATGAAGGTAAGAGTTGAAGAAAAAAATCAAAGCTAACTGGATTAAAAATTTCAGAGAGATGTATTTTAGATCTAGAGGTCAAAGCATTGTCTCAATTTAATTAACTTAGGTAAGAACACCTCTTTGTGCTGCTATGCAGGAGACTCTTGATATGCCAGGACATGAAGGTCAGACACAGACATGTCATATTAACTGATGCCAATTAGCTTATTAAAAGATGCAGCTTTGGCAAAAATCAAATATATATTTTTTAATAAACTAATGCCAGAGAGAGCTCATGATTTCACTGCATAATTGAAGTCCTCACAAGCTTATGTTTCCGGGGAAAATGCAGCTTTGAAACTAGAAAAAGTTTATCTTGAAAAGGTTTTGAAAAGCGTCTGATACCTGTAGACACACTGTTAATCCAAATAGCTCACTGGCAGATATCAATACGATTTACGAGCTATTAAACTATTAAACTAAAGTCCTACTCTGAGTTACGAGTGCTTCATGACATAGTTTCACTGGTGGCACAGTTTCATGACTGATTCTGAGACGCTTCATTAATTAATGTCCTCACTGTTTTGTGATGATGTGATACACCTGAACTCACATCGTGTGTCAGCAGCTGTGCATGTTTTGTACAGTATAAACTCATTTTCTATTCTCGCTGTCAGATCCTCAACCTGCGACTGAGGGAGGCGGAGCAGCAGCGCATGCGGGAGGCGGAGCTCGAGCGTCAGCGGCAGGCGGAGGGCAGGGAGCGACTGCGTAACCTCAACACCATCCAGGAGGAGATCCTGCAGCTCAACCAGCTGCTGGAGCCGTCTACCAAAACTGATCTCCCACCGGCCAGCCTTAACTCCTACTGCACCCGCGGGAACCAGCTGTGCTCGCAGCTGTCAGAGGTGGTGCGGAAGACGGCAGAGGTCAGTTTAAATCCTGATTTGTGAAATTCAGGTTTGGATCATGGCTCCTTCGTACATTAAGAGGAAGAAAGTTGGGACAGACGTAGTTGTGTGTAAGAGCTACTGTGTCTTTCCAGGGAGAGTTCCCCAGCGTGGATGACATGACCGTGGCTGAGCGAGCCCTCCACGAGATGAGGGCACTGATCCGGCAGATGCAGGAGGAAGTTGCAAAGGCTCAAGAGAAGAAGAAGAAGGAGCATGAGGAGGAGGAGCAGCGCAGGAAGCAGGCGGAGCTGCAGGCGCAGCAGGAAGCGCAGAAGAAGGCGGCAGAGTCGGCCAAAGAGAAGGCAAAGAGGAAAGGTGAGAGTCGGGTTCATTACTGCAGTAGTGACCACTCCCTCATCACGTGTAGTGATCTGACCCGTCCTTAAGATACTGTATGTTGTTTAGAGAAGCACTAAAGAACAGATGATTAAGAATGAGACTTTAAACCCTCACAGCGCAGCAAGAAGTGACTGTATACATTTGATTCTAGCTGATATTTTTCAGTCTGTAACCCACGGATACAGAATACTCTGAGAGCTTTAAGAGTATTTGATGGTTATAAGTAGTGTAATTCAAAGTGATTGTACTTTACTGAAGTATTTCCATATGATGAAGCTTCATACTCCACAACATCTCAGAGGTAAATATTGTACTTTTCACTGCTCTACATTTGTCTGACAGCTTTAGTTACTTTTCAGATTACAATTTTTAATTCCCTTCCTCTCCAGTGAAAATCATGTGTCTCCAGTTGTGTTTATGTTGAGTGTTTGTGATAAACTGAGGTCCTGATCACACAGAAAGTGTTTTAGCAGCTGGAAGCGTCTTTTTGTGATTTGTTTTTAATGAGAATGAAGATTTTTGCTCGCTGTGTTTGCACTGCTAGGCGCCTCGCGGTTTGTTTGTTTTTTGTTGTCGTTTTTTTAAAGATTATTTTTGTGGGCTTTTTTGCCTTTAATGACAGGACAGAGAGTCAAATGGGGAGACAGAGAGAAAGTGGGGACTGACATGCAGCAAAGGGCCGCAAGCTGAACTCGAACCCGCGGCCACTGCAGCAAGGCAATGCCTCTGTATATGGGGCGCCGGCACTATCCACTGGCGTTTTTGCCAGCGCTCTGAACTTCTTGAGTTGAAAAAACTCAGAGTAGAAGTGCCCCACGTCACCTCTTTTTCCCCATTGTGCAATCAGATGATTTGAGAGGCGGGCCTTCTGTGTTGGTCACGACAACAAGTTTGCAGTTGGTAAACAATGGAGGAGAAACTGGTGGTAGTGGTTGCTGGATACCCAGAGCTATACGGCCTGACGATAGACAGCAGGTTGTCAAACTGCCCCTGAGTCATCCTAAAATATGCCTGGAAACTGGGGCGTCGGTGGCTTGGTGGATGGAGTGGGCGGCCCGTGTACGGGGCTGTTGCCGCATCGGCCCGGGTTCGACTCCAGCCTGTGGCCCGTTGCTGCTTGTCATTCCCTCTCTCTCTCTCTCTCTCTCTCTCTCTCTCTCTCTCTCTCTCTCTCTCTCTCTCCCCTTCACACTTATCTGTCCTATCAATTAAAGGCAAAAATGCCCCAAAAATATCTATCTGCCTCAACATGTCAGGAACTAGATACTGAAACGCTCTGTGTGACCAGGGCCTGAAGGATGAAGTGTTCCTTTACGTGTTGAGAAAATTTTAGTACTTCTTAAGCTACTTAAACTCTTTAAAAACCATCTTGGATCAGCTGGAAAATGCATCGTCACAAAGCTGAAAACAGACTGTTTTTCTGACTTTATAGAGATGCATGGTTCTCACAGAACAGCCACGCTTCAGTTATAGAATATGATGCATTGCCATAGAATAACAGTATATAAGGGAGTTAAAAACCTGAAACATCTACAGCAGGAAAATGACACATACACGTTAATGCAGCAGGAATATTAATCCAAAAACACAAGATGGAATAAAACACTGACAGCAGGGAACATTTTACTGCACAATCAGTACTTTTACTCTGCATACTTAATGTACTACTTACTGGTAATAATTCCAAACTTTTACTGAAGTAAGCAGGTCTTTTATTTGTAGTGAAATATTTTCACAGTGTTGTATTAGTGCTTTTATGTAAGTGAAGTATCTGAATACCTCTGCTCCCACTGATGGATGTTGTTCTCCAACAGGGCTGCAGAACAGCGCTGAAGACAGCACTCTGAAATGGTACAAGGAGCTGCAGGAGTTGGCTGCACAGTCCGCTCAGTCCTTCAACCAGCTCAACACCTCAAAAGACGTCCAGGTCAGTTTGTGCTTCAATAATGATAATAATCTTATATTTATAGAGAACTTTATATCCATAACCTTAAGTTCTTATGCCTTTGCGCTGGCTACAGCCGTGGCCGGAGGACCCTAAAAGTATTGAATTTCAACAAGCCATATAATTAAGCGCTGTAGTGGCAAGCAAAAATATGCAATGATTAACGTTTAACTCGTGAGCAGAACTCTGTACAGATGGTTTCATTTCTCCTCAAAGACAAAGAAGCTGAAGCTGGAGCTCCAGAAAGCAGCCACCATCCCTGTCAGTCAAATCGCCAGCGACTCCGGATCGCAGCTCCGGGAAATCTTTGACAAGATCGACAAGCTGCTGTCGGGACGAGCGGTGGTGTCGGGGGGGAGGTCTGTCTCCACCTCCCAGCATCCTCAGGGCCTGGAATTTGTCAGCTACAAACTGGCTGAGAAGTTTGTGGTGAGTCTGATTGACATGTTATATAAATATCTCTGAAACACTCGTCACAAAAAGGTGGGGAAAATGTATGTTGCAACACCAAAATCAACAAATAAATAAACCATACAAATAAACCAAATCTACAACAAATTAAATGACAGTAAAACTCCTGTGGAATTGGATTTTTCCTCCCTATAGAAACAAGGAGAGGAGGAGGTGGCGTCTCACCATGAAGCTGCTTTCCCCATCGCCGTGGTGGCCTCTGGCGTCTGGGAGCTGCACCCTCGAGTGGGCGACCTCATCCTCGCCCACCTGCACAAGAAATGTCCGTACGCAGTCCCACATTACCCTCCGATGAAGGATGGCACACCTGTGGAGGAATACCAGAGGTCAGGGAGACAGACACGTGTTGCTGCACTCATTTTTTACTCCATCATTACATTTGTTTAATCACAACAATAATCCTCACTTCTCCAGGATTCTTGGTTACCGTGTGGACGACACCGGGGTCGAAGGTCAGGATAGTTTCCTAAAGAGGATGTCTGGGATGATCCGTCTCTACGCAGCCGTGATCCAGCTGAGGTGGCCCTACGGCTCCAAGCACGGGGTAAGAACTGTTTCACCTCCCTTTAAAAACATTATTACGTTTCTTCATCTTTAAACTTTTGATTCTCACTCTTTCCTTGATGTGTTCCAGTCTGCTCCTCACGGACTGAACCAAGGCTGGCGTTGGCTGGCTCAGATGCTGAATATGGAGCCTCTGGCTGACATCACAGCGACGCTGCTGTTCGACTTTCTCGAGGTGAGTGTACACTGCTTTTTTAAACATCAATATAGCTGTTCCTGTACACACAGATCCCAACAGAGCACAGAGGTTATTCAGCTAAATTATACTTTGATTACTTATTTAAATATGCAGATGAAGGCCTCGTCTGTTGGTCGAGGGTAATGTGTAATAATAATATAAACATTTTGTCACTGGGTTATTTTCTTAAAGTTTAAAAAAAATAAAATGCAAAAAAAATCAAATGTAAAAAAAAAAAACTCTTTGAAAAGTGTGTACTCAAAAAATGAAGAGAATTTGAGTTTTTGAGTTTTTTACTTGTATCGGCATCGGCCGATACGCGCGTGGGTTCGCGGATTTATTTTTCCCTGGCATGATTTACAGACAGGCATCCACGGGCAGCTCTGTGTTGCTGGAAGACCCTGCAGTGCACATGCAGCGAATCCTACTGTGTACAGTAGTTGTTGTTTTATTTATGCTTCAGCTTAAATATTTGTTTATTTTATAAAGACATTACTGGAAGATTTAAGAGCACTGAACTCTTTTTTTTTTTATTTGAATGTATAATAATAATAATAATAATAATAATAATAATAATAATATTCTACCTGTTCTACCTCAACTTTCCATCTTGTTTTAGTATTTTTTACTGTTCAATAAATTTTTCTTATTTTAAACTTGAGACCTGTAATATTTGTTATCATTGTGTCATTTTTTTTATGTAAATTGAGGGAGCAAAAGCAGTATCGGCCCCAAATATCGGCTCAAGAAAATTGCCATTCCATAATCGGTCATCGGCTAAGGGTGATGGAAAAAAATCGGTATCGGCATCGGCCCTAAAAAATCCATATCGGTGTATCCCTATTCAAAACGGGAGTCCACAAACGTTGGCTATGTCCATTATTTTGTACTGTCTATGGTAGTGTTGTCACGATACCAAAATCTTTGTTTCGGTACCAATACCAATATGAATTTCGATACTTTTCGATACTCTTCAGTACTTTTCCTAAGGAAAAGTCCTTTTGGCTACAAACCTTTAGAACAATAAATAGTAGGGGTGTAACAGTACCAAAAAAATCATGGTTCGGTAAGTACCTTGGTACGGACGTCACGGTTTGGTTGCTCAAATGTTTCACCAAGTTGGTGTTGTCTCATGTTGTCTCCCTTTGTGAGGCAGACTTTCTCTTGTCTTTTTTCACGTACGCTAGCTGCGAATGTTGATACAGGTGTTGTCATACACACCACTTGCACAATATGTGCTCCAATAGGAACAAGGAAGGTGTTTGTGTGCATAAATGAATTAAATAAATGAATGAATTGAATCAATTTAAAAAGTACCGGTATTTTCCAAATGCAGTATAATACCGTTTGGAATACTCTAGTACCACGGTACTATTTTAGTACCGGTATACTGTGCAACACTAGTCTATGGTTAAAAATCTAAACTTCTGTGCTGATGTTTGTGTTTTTGTTCAGGTCTGTGGTAATGCTTTGATGAAGCAGTATCAGGGCCAGTTCTGGAAACTCATCCTGCTGCTGAAAGAGGAATACTTCCCCAGGTACATGCTCTCTTTAAACATTTAAATCATGGAGTGAAATATTTTATCAGCAGCTGTCGCCACAAGTTTCTTCTGTCTGATGTGTTGCATGTGTCTCTTTGATGTCTCCAGAATTGAAGCGGTGACCAGCAGTGGACAGATGGGCTCAGTCATCAGACTCAAACAGTTTCTAGAGGTACGTTACCCACTGCTAATGTTAGCTATGAACTGGGCAGATGCTGTACACTACACTCGTTAATCAGCCTGTAATCTATTCTTTAAACCTTTCACTAAGTGTAGTACAACGTTTTATTTCCAACATGTTGTTTCTGTTTTATTATTATTGTTTGTATCTTATAATATCGGGCACTTTGTTCCATGAAGATTGAGAGATGCTCAGTTTACAGTGCAAATGCAAAATATAAGATAACGAGAAAAGATTTAAAAGAAAGAAAAGGGAAAAATACACCTGTGCACTGATAAATGCAAATGTAGTGTAGAAAAAAAGTTATGTGTATAAACATAATAAAGGCAAATCAACTTAAATATTTAAAAGTAAAGCAGTAATAATAATAAGTTTTTCTATTATTTTTATTTGTCTTATTACAGTTCTGAAATGTTTCAGCTGCATTAATAAAGTTTGTTAATAATCTGCACTGCCAAAACTATACTGGTTTTGTTCAAACGTGACGGCTACGTCTTCAAAAATGTTGGCAAAAGGGGAAAAAAAAATAAGCAAGAAGAAAAGTATGTTCTGTCTGTTTTTTCGGCAAAGTTTAGTTTTATTTATTTCACAGCACTTTTTTAGACACATGTAAAATTTTACATCATTAATATTAAAACAAGATCACTACAGTTTATGAAGGATCTTCTGATGTGATCACAGAATTGTTTAAACTGCAGATCAGGATTTTGGACCTTCCAGAAAGTCATCTGTTGGTCCAACAGATGGATTTATTATTTACTTAGCCAAACCAGCATCAAAGAACTAGTGATGACAAAGGCTGACGTCTGTGTCTCGGTCAAAAAGTTGCACTTTGCACCACAAAGACTGCAGCCAATGGCAGCTAGCATGTACATTCTGCACCTGGGTGAGAAGTAAATAGCGCTCAGTGCCAGCAGGCGGCAGTGGTCTGTATCAGTCATTCAAAAAGAGGAACCAAATGACCGTCAGCACGGATTCAGGACGCTAATAAGCACATGAACAAGACAATCTGATGTTGAAAGAACAAATGATATGTGCCGTGCACTAGCGAACAATAACCCGAACAGTTGCATAGCGTTTCTGCTTAGATACATAGGTAGTTAGACTTTTAGTTACTAGGTCAAAGTGCAGTGTCTGTTTTAGATTGTTCAGAGTGGTTATTGCAGAGGGAATGAAACATTTCTTGTAGATGTTTTTCTGGGCCAGTGGGACTTTGTAGCATCTGCCTGATGGAGGTAACTGAAGGACTGGTAGAGGGGGTGAGAAGGGTCCTCTGTGATCAGGGTGGCTTCTTGATCTGAGCGGTTATACAGTTCACACAGAGGAGTTTGGGGTGAGCCAGCGGCTAAAACAAAAAAATCTTACCTCATAAAACAAGTTTGTTTTTAACTCACGCCCTTTTGACTTGAGTTGTTTGCTGTCCTCACTTCTGTTTGTCTTCTCGTTCACTGAGCTGATCTGCCGGTCAGGGTGATTGATCTCACCGACGGGCTCCGCCAGCTGAAGCTGAAAAACAGCTGATAAGGGCCGAACACACTGTGAAAACTATAGCGCAACAGCCACTTAGCGACAGCTCAACATTGGCCAACAGCCGACCGTTGCCCTGATGTGTCAGGGATCACGATCAGTCTGAGTGTCAAACAGTTCAGCCCAGTTCATAACTTAAAAAATGTCTTGGTGACATGCAGTTACAGAGTCAAGAGAGGAAATGCAGAGTTTTATATGACAAATGTGAGAATATAGGAGTAGAGTTAACAACAGGATGTTTCTGTATCTGATTGTATGTTACGTCAGCTTTTTTGTCAGCATACACCACGGGAGTACACAATGAAATGCAGCTCCCTCCATGCTACACACACTGACAACATAGAAATAGGACTTCAATAGAAACAAGAAAAAGGTAGAATAAGAAAAAATACTTAAATAACAGGAGCACAGGAGGAAAAAACATGTTTACAAGAAAAAAATACCTTTAAAGTATGTTTAATTTTTTGTGCAGTCTCAAAATCTTGTTTTTGTTTCTTGTGAATAAACTCCACTTTTCCTCCCTTGTGTAGACGTCGCTGCAGAGCCGGCAGATCCGTCCACCCAAAGGCCAGCTGAGCTCCATGTTCTGGAACTCGTGATAGACGAGGAGGAAGAGGAGCCGCCATGTTGGATGTTGCTGCATGACGCCGTTCAGGACTGAATGAGGCAGAAAGTGAGGGACATGTGGTCTGACGCTGGGGACTAGGAGGCAACTTCAGCCAGTAAACAAGGAGGAAAAGTAGAAGCTGCTGGAGCTCATTAAATTTGTGTCATTTACTGGACGTCTCAGAGAAAATATCAGGAGGTGTTTGATAAGTAAAGACACAGTGGAGGCCACGCTCAACTACACGGTATATTCCAAATTGATTCACCAGCTTTGGATGAAGTTTCAAACGGCTAACGGCGAGACAGGAAGCACTTCTACTCCGACATCTGCTCCAATGATGGTTTTCTGCTTCTTACAGCTTTAAAATGTACTTCATGATTTATGTGTTGCAACAAAACAAAGCCAGATCTGCTCGTTCTTTAAAAACGACATGTAGTAATTATGTTGCTCTAAACGCTCTGAATCCTCCAGAAGAAAAGTGTTAAACATCCTGATGTTGAAGCTGTTTCTGTTGGTTTGTTGGAGGAAACAAGTTTTGTTTTCTCACTAAATCTGGTCACTACTGTTTGTGTTTTTATTTCAACACTCGCTGTTCAAATCCGAATTGTGTTGAATGATTTGAACGTTTTTGCTATTTATTTTTAATGAATCCACTGTGTGGATTGAAGCTTCGTGAGCTGATGAGCTGTCTTTAATAGTTGTGAATGAAGTCATCCCAAAATTAGGACGTATATCAATTTAAAACTGCTGACGTGTGTTAGTCAGTGTTTTCAGAATACAGCAGAGTTGATGGTCATGCTGAAAGAGGAATCTAAAGATGACTCAGTGCTTTCAAGTGAAACAAAAATGAAAGTCATGGTAGAGGAGCAGAGAAGAAGTCTGAATGTAGACTCTTGTGATGCAGATGTTTTATCAAAATGATTGTAATTTTCACATGTTGTGCAGAAATGTCTCCATCTGTAAACCAAATGTGTGGAATTAAACCTCATCAGCAGTTTACTGGAAGATTTTTGTTATTTGATTTTTATCTCTTTTTAAAAATAGTCAATTCTACTTCAGCTGGTTTGTCAGAAACTTTAAACAGTCTCTGGTTCAAGTTTCTAAATGTGAGGATTTGCTGCTTCTCTTTGTTTTTTTAAGCTGACATCTTCTTCTTCATCTTTTCTGGCCAGTCAGATGATTTGGAGGTGCTGACTCTCATCCCAACCACCTCACACTCTAACTGCATTACATTAACTATTTTTTCTTTGGCACATAAGTCAATATTTTGCACATTTTATTATCAAAACGTTATTTTTTTCTGACAGATTTTACACTTTTTTTTGTGTAAATTGCCACTTTAAAGGTCTTAACTTGCAGCACTGGTGTCTTCATCTCTTACTGAGTTCATTGTGACCGTTAAGCACCAAATTACCAAGTCAAATTCTTGTACGTGGTCAAACCTGTTTCTGATTAGTGTAAGAGTAAAAGTAGATGGCTAGAAGATCAGTTCAGGAACGAGTTGATTTATTAGTGGGGTTTCTGTTGTAGCACTCTGATAACAGTCACATCATTTGTTACATCTGATGTAAAAACATGATTGAAAGAAAAAAATTCACGACCTGACTAGATGTTATCCTGCACGAGTCAAATCAAACACACAACTCCAGGTTTCCTTTTTTTATTTTTACCTTTTAACAACTATGCACATTAAGTTGTTTTAATACACTTAATTTAGGATTGATCTGCAGTTTGCATATTAAGTACATTCAAACTGGCAGCTCACCAGCTCTTCTTACATCTTATTTTATTTCACCCCCAAAGAGAAAAGCAGCTGATGAGCTCATTGAGTCCTCGCTGCCTCACTGATCCTGCGTCACTTACACAGAGAAACACCCGTCTGAAATAAATAGAGATAACCTGATGTGTAGAGAGTTTACACAGAAACGACTGAACCAAGAAGAAAATCAAAATAACACATTTTTCCCCAGATAAAGCGGCAATTATCTGAACATGCTTATTTGAAATTACATGACAGCTGAGTGAATCTGAGTCAAATGGATAAAAATAAACATTTTCAATCACTCAAAACTAAGTAATGCATACGTGACCTCCAATTGAATCTTATCTCTTTTCTATTGTTATTATTTTTTTTTTAATTTGTTGTGGTGGTGGTGAGGACTGAAAAATTATTCAAAATTATTTCCGTGTAGCCTGGAAATGTGTAAACTCATTCTCCAGACTTTTCCAGATCTGCATGGAAACCCTGTCTGTTATTAAAGGGACAATACGTGATGTTTTCACCTCCTCCACAACAAAAAATAAAGCAAACATATATGCAGTAAACTGACAGAACTGCTGCGTCAGAGATGCTGACTCATTTATTTTGTTTCTATTGTAAAAATGCGACTAAACTCTGGGTTAAATGTGTTTGAATTATTGCAGTTCCCATAGTTAACCAGTAGAGGTAAGTAAAACGTGCTTAAGATGACCAGCAGGTCTGACGTGTCCTCCACAGAAGCAGGTCATTAAATGGTCAAATTAAATATCTGGCGACAGTATTTTCAGTATTTTATCTACACAAACGTCTGCAGCTAATAGGTTTAAATTCATGAGGAAATCAATCAGGGCAGCAGCGACCGTCATCGAACCGTTTCCACAATAAAAGCAGGACTTCTTGCTTCCTGATGCCGGACGCCGTCTTTCTGTGTCGACAGTTTACTGTTCAGTCCTTTTGAGGCTGGAAGCGCTCGGTGTTCTGCCGTCTCCTTCCTTCACCTGTTCGGCCTCATTCACGGCCCTCGTGGTTGAGCGACGCCCTCTCCACCCGTCTGTACCAGTGTTTGACCTTGGTGTTCGCCATCATGTCGTCAAACGCCTGCAGGCCCTCCATCACTCTGAGGACGCCAAACACCGCCTGCAGACGGAGGGAAACAGGGATTAGTTTTAAAGCTGTTCTGTCATGAAGTCAGAGGATCATCAAACATGTCAGGAGAGACAGAGGCAGATATGTTCCCTCACCAAGTCTGCCAGGTTGGGATGATCTCCACCCATGAACTTCCTCTTCTTGCCGATGGCTGCCACCCACTCGTTGACGGCCTTGTAGAGATCCTGCCTGACGTCGTCCTGCAGGTTGTGTCTGTTGTATAAAAACAAAGGAAAGAATCAATACTTTGAGGTTCAAAATAAAAAAAACTACAAGTCCCAACTACCAGAAACATTTCCACAACACAAGGGACACAGACACAGTTCTTCACACTCGCTGTGAGACAACTTCCTGTGTAACTCACCGACTCTTCAGCCTTTTGGAGATGATGAACATGGCCACAGCGCCGACATATTTGGCAAAGAAGCCTTCGAAACTACCAAACTTGCCCTCGCGCACGATGTAGTCAAAGGATGCCAGGGCCTCGCCGGTTGTCCGGTACACGTTGGGGGATATAAGATGCACGAGCCAGTTGTCGGCCCACTGACGCCACTTCATCTCCTCTCTGAGAGAAAAAACACAACGTACAATTTACATCACAGTAAAAACACAAATGACCTTCAAATCATTTAAATAGTAAAAAGTGTATTTTTCTACACACAGCCATTGGTTGACAGACACCCTTTCAAAATAAGAGTAACTGACAGTTCCAGGCTGTTTCCTGTAGCGACTGACTGACAGTAGTTTGTGTGTGAGCCACAGGTCTGGACTTACTTCTGTATCCCCTTCTCAGGGTACAACGCCGCGGTCTCGTCCTTGCTCAGCATCAACCAGTACTTGTTGGTGTACTCCGTCACCTGCTTCCCTCTGTCGTTTGTCGCCTTCATCTCAGGGTAGCAGCGGATGATGTCAGTCATGCTCTTCTCCCTGGATGAGAAAAAAAAAGCTCACATTTAAAGGGTCAGTTCACCCAAATTACAGAACTATACAGTGTTGTCTTTTATGTCCAGTGCCTTATAGACATGCATGATAGCTTTGGTGTTATTTGCCTGGGAAATTTATGACAGAAACAACTGTTTTCATTATCAATTATCCTGCTGATTATTTTTAGTCCGAGGTGATGTCTTCAAATGTCTTGTTTTGTCCAACCAAGAGTCCAGGCTCATGCACACCTGCAAAACGTGTAGACAAGTGTGCAGGAGGAAAAGAATTCCCACACTCTGTCCTATTACTTAATAACCTTAATTAAAATGCACAACATTTAGATCCTCAGACCTTCATCGGGCAATGATGATGAGTGGTGATGAAGGTCTGAGGATCTAAACGTAATTAAATAAGGTTTATTGCTCTTAAAAGGACAGTGTGCGGGAATTCTCTCCAGTTCACCTTCGGCGTTTGTGCTTAAAAGATGATTAATTGATTCATTAATTATAAAATAGTTGCGGTTTAATTTTCTTTGTTGCATCTCTGCTGTTATCCGTGAAGTCTGAGGGTTATCCACAACACCTGAGACATTCTTTTTTAAATGGAAAGACTTATTTTTTAACAGTGTCTTAATATTTTATTTCAATCCTTTCAGCTCCAGAAACTAAATTATAATCATCTCCAGTGTACAGCAGTGGAGGCACAAAATCTCAGAGAGATCGATCTTGAAAAAACTAAGTCAAACCAAACTGAAAAACTATTGCGTGGCAAATACGGTAACCTTACCTTTTACTGGTCACATTATAATAACCCAGGGAAAACATACTTTCATACCACGTGACGGAAGCTACAACTTACTTGTTGATTAAATAAGTCTTGATGGAGCTGATGATGACAGACGAGTCGTTCAGTTGCTGCAGAACAACAAAAGAGAGAAAAGAAAAAGACATGAAGGGTTTCTCTGAGGTTAACTGCACATTTATGGAGAAAAAATTAAATAAAAAAGAGAATAATTTCTAAATTACAATGGAAAAAAATCCTCATCAAACCTCCGAGTTAAGGAGGTGGAGAAAAGGTTTTTACCTCAGTTAGGGCTGCACAATGCCGCAATTTTTGATTGAACATGTCACAACACACTGTTATAAATGAAATATTGTGAGATTATATTTCTTTTCAGAGAAAATGCAAAACTTAGCATTCCCACTAAAATCATGACTCATAGCACTCGCAGTATCTCTCAAAATAATCACAATATGATTTTTTTTCCCACATATCACGCAGCCCTAGTTTTAACCACACGAAAATCTGGTGTTAGTTTCAGCTAGTTCCTCTGTGTCAGTGTGAGGTGACTTTAGTGTCAGCAATAGTAGAATTACAGTAATATTTTTAAACTTTATCTGAGGTGAAGAGACTCCAGTAGAGGGGGAACATGTTGGCAGGTATCAGGTGTCTTACCACTTCTTCATTCACCATCAGGATGGGCACTTTTCTGTAGGTGGACCACTTGATCTCCTGCCTCATCACCGGGTTCACCTCCACGATCTCGTATGGCAGCCCGTGGTAGTCCAGGAAGGCTCGAACCTTGCTGCAGAACGGGCAGGTCTTGTACTGGTACAGAGTCAACTTCAGACCTCCTTCTGGGGCCTGGAACGAGACGGCAGAGGACAGACGATCCAACATTAAAGGTCCAGTGTGTGGATGTAAGGGGATGTATTAGCAGAGATGGAATGTAATATAATAAGTATGTTTCCTTTAGTGTATAATCACCTGAAAATAAGAACTGTTGTGTTTTCGTTACCATAAATTGAGACATTTTTAAGGAGCAGGTCCTCATCTAGGCAGATTGCCATGTTGCACTGGCATGTTTCTATAGAAGCCCAGAAAGGACAAACCAAACACTGGCTTTAGATAGGGACATTTGTGTTTTCATGTTGGCCACCGTAGTTGGCTGCCTCCAAAGCATTGGAAATTACATCTATTTCTTTAACGTGAAACTGCTTTATTCTGTGTTTTTACTGATTTAAATCACCTGGTCTGTTTGTTTTAGAGAGGAAGAGACCTCTGTGGATAATTCGGCTACTGTTAAACATCTAAATCTTAAGTTATCAGATAAAAAAGGTGACCTTACATTAGCAGGTGCTGGGGTAATGGCCTGCCTCAACTTGCCAAA